TCTGAACGACGCAGACGTACAAATGAATGCCTTTCATCATCTCATTGTATGTCAGGGATCTACATATTTGAGTGAGCTTGCCAGATGAAAGGATGTTGATATCAGAATCATGTGTTCCAGGGTTCTCCAATCTCTCTGAAAAGGAGCCTGGCGCTGTTTTGCGAACGGCGAGATCCCTGGAAGACACTTCAGAGGTGGTACTGTAGCATAGTGGCGAGATGATTGTGGATAGGAACTTGGATGATTCCTCCCCCCTGCTCTATCTTGCAGATGGCGTCGGTGATGGTTCTATTTTTAATTCGAACTTCTTCACTCTCCCTCGACCGGATCGAGCAACACGTCCATGAGATTGTCAACAAGCAATGGACTGTAACATTGATGGATGCTCAATCATCACAGACTAAGTCGGAGACTACTCTAATTCTCAGGTGTGCCTGCCTATGCTGCCACTCGACCGGACCAGTTGTTCTTCCTGTGGAGTCCAGCCTGCCTAGTATACGACTCATGTCATGAGCATGATTTAAGCCATATACTCATGATGTACTGTACAGATCAAGGTGTGACAATGGCGAGCGCAATTAGGGCACGCATCGTTATCAACCGCGGTCTAGGTGAAATAGTACCCGCATGCTATAGATAAGTTAGGGCAGCGCTCAGGACTCCTGACTGCAACTTGGGTAGCATTGGCACATCCAAAAATAACTAAAGCCGAAGCGAACGGATCAAGAATAGAACCGCCCCGTAAATTACAGTGCCATTGCCGTCTTGACCGACGATTTAAAGATTGACTGGGGGGGCTGCTAGTCGGGCCAGTGGTGGAATCTGGCGGGAGTCTGCAGGCTAACCCGCATGGGTAAGATTCTAGTAGAAGCGCTCTGCTTTTAAGCGCCGACCCCGCCTTCGGTGAGATATTAGTCTTCCAACATGCATATCCCATCTATCCATCCCTCCTATTCTTAGCTGTCGATAGATTAAAGCGGAATATATTGAGAGGCTGGCGCCAATCACCATCGTCCAGCCAGACAAGCCTGCAGGCCCCCGATCCGCAGATATTCCAATCATGGTGGACGACGACCACCTGGCATTCTGCAGCGCAGACGCTGGGTGAAACGGCCGTGTTTCGTGTGGTGACCTTTGTTGTCGCTGCTGGCACTACGTACTGCGAAGTCTTCAATGACTCTTTTTGCGGAGGGCCTGAAGGATCCTCTCCCGGCGCATCCATGGGCCAATGACCGAATGCGATATCGGCTCCTCCCCACGGGCGGCTTGAGAATCCCTGTGAATCGAAGGCTGTTTATAGCATACAGCAATTGTGGGTTTCGAAAAGCCGGTTCAATGCTTCGACTTCCTGCACATGCTGTCTAGCGCCGTGTCCGAGCATACATCATGTCTTGCAGTATATATCCCGTCGTGGCCATGCGGCCTCGTTGCCTGCCTTCTTCTCTGCAACCGTTGTGATTTTCCATTATACCCACTCCGCTCTGTCCTTTGAACTTGCGAGTCCGTCTGGGACGTTGCTCGTGAGCATAATTTCATTAATCTGTCCACCACATAGATTGTGCCGGTCCTTCGATACCGTTGACGTTCCTTGCTATTCCTCATCTCAGTCACATCGATACCCATTCACATCTGAACATAGAAAGTGCCTGGCATACCAATCAAGATGCGGCCCAGTCTTTGTTTCCTCGCATGCTTCGCTGCAGGCGCTCTTGCAGCTCCCACATGGCTGGACGATATATACGACTACTCTGAAGAAATGGCCTCATTCCTCGGGGAGGTGAGCAAGGAGATCGAGAAGGTTGCTATTAGCGCAACGACCTGTGACACATCCAAGATCTCGCTACCATCGTACGCATCGAACCTCCCATCTCCCTCTGGCTTGACGCCACTCTACGTGGCCGTCGGACGTGGCACCCAGGTTAGTATCCGATCATTACCCAGCCGATTGCGACAACAGTCCCCCCAAGCTAACAGCCTCCATAGAACTATACCTGTGCGACCTCCTCTTCGAATTCCACGCCGGTAGCCATCGGCGCCGTGGCACGCCTTTACAATGCAACCTGCATTGCAGCCAACTATCCGACCCTGCTGGAGCAGCTGCCAGACCTGGCGTACAAGATCTCCTTGCCCAGCGTGGAGGAGGACGCCCTCCCTCCGGCGAATCTGGACCTTCTGGGCCACCACTACTTCGAAGGTACCTCGACTCCGGTCTTCAACCTCGACACCACGGCCACCCAGCAGAACGGCATCGCCATCACCAAGAAACAAAGCTCTGTTGACGCCCCCTCCGATGCTGTCAAGGGCAGCACCGGGGCTGTCCCGTGGCTCTATCTCACCTCGATCGACGGGACCGTCGGAGAGTACAAGAGTGTCTATCGGGTGACGACCGTCTCGGGCGCTGCGCCGGACACGTGCAAGAACATGCAGTCGACTTTCACAGTTCAATATGCGGCGCTGTATTACTTCTATGGCGAGTCGTGATGTTCCGATGTTGGGGGTGATGCTTGATGCGTTGGAGATGTAAATAGTCCAATTCTGAACAGATGATCAACAGTAACGAGTACACAATCTGATGACCACAAATGAACTTCTGAAACGTAAAATGTCCCGGCCGAAACTTGTTAACAGTGTTTCTGTAAGCGCCGGGAATTCTTAGTACTGCAGCCGTACTACGTAAGGTTGATGGACGGACCGCGAAGGCAACCTCCGATTGGCAGGGCTGTCACGATCAGGTGATCTCGCTATTCTGCTGGATCACGTGATTAGAGTGCCCACAGCAGCAGTGAGGCGCTAGACCCGAACCGCCATAGCGCTTCCTGATTTTCGAAAGATTCCCAAGGCTCCGACTGAAAAATCTCGACCGCAACAACGACGAGCAGCACGGCCGCGACCGAACACTGAACGCCAGTGCGGAGACGATTTTTAGACAAAAAGTCTTTGATTTAAGCTCCTCGACACTTCGCCCTATTCCGATTTCTTTTTCTCATCCTTCCGAACGGATATTACTGTCTCTCGATACCTACGGAAGTTTTTCTTCAACCGCAAACTCGAGCATCAGCCAAATTTTTTCCGGCTGATAGCATTTGATCTTTTATCTCCGTCAACACTTTTCGACACATACAACTTACACAATGGGTTTCGGTGCCCCTAGAGGAGGACGCGGTGGTGGTCGCGGTGGCCCTCGTGGCGGTGGTGGTGGTGGTCGCGGTGGCAGAGGTTTGTTCACGACAACTCCAACTCCAACCTGGGACTGAGCAGACTTTTTTTGTGTGTGTGTGTGTGTGTGCCAGCATGATTGCGACACAGTGATTCCATGCTCTGTATCTTCAGACTTGATTTCGTGTGCTTTGCTCTCGAAAGCGGACATACTCGACACTGACCTGCGGTATCCTTCTGGGGGATAGTGATGCTAATTCGTTCTGTTCGCGGTCTCTAGGCGGTCTTGGTAGCGGTGGCCGTGGTCGTGGTGGCCCCCGTGGTGGTGGCCGTGGCGGCCGTGGTGCTCCCCGTGGTCGCGGTGGTCCCCGTGGTGGTGGCCGCGGTGGTGCTAGCGGTGCCAGAGGTGGTGCCAAGGTCATCATCGTAAGTGTTTCCCTTGCTCTCACGGCGGAACGAATTTGTGAACTGACACCCTCTGCGTAGGAGCCCCACCGTCACGCCGGTGTCTTTGTTGCCCGTGGTGGTAAGGAAGATTTGCTCGTCACCAAGAACCTTACTCCCGGAGAGGCTGTCTACGGTGAGAAGCGCATTGCCGTCGAGTCTCCCGCCGAGCAGGATGGTGCTGTGACCAAGACCGAGTACCGTGTCTGGAACCCCTTCCGTTCCAAGTTGGCTGCCGGTATCCTGGGTGGTCTCGATGACATCTACATGCGCCCTGGCTCCAAGGTCCTGTATCTCGGTTCCGCCAGCGGTACCTCCGTCTCCCACGTTGCCGATATCGTCGGCCCTACCGGTAACGTCTACGCTGTTGAGTTCTCTCACCGTTCCGGCCGTGACCTGATCGGCATGGCCACCCACCGCACCAACGTCATCCCCATTGTCGAGGACGCCAGACACCCTCTCCGCTACCGCATGCTCGTCCCCATGGTCGACGTCATCTTCGCCGATGTTGCCCAGCCCGACCAGGCCCGTATCGTCGGCCTGAACGCCCACATGTTCCTCAAGAACGAGGGTGGTGTCATCGTCTCCGTCAAGGCCAACTGTATCGACAGTACCGCCAAGCCCGAGGTTGTGTTCGCCCGCGAAGTCCAGAAGATGAGAGAGGAGAGAATCAAGCCCAAGGAGCAGCTGACCTTGGAGCCCTTCGAACGTGACCACTGTATAGTGTCTGGTATCTACAAGCGCTCTGCATGAATTTAAAGAACAAAAGAATCTGGTGGTCTGCTTTCTCATGTTTTAATTATTTATGCTCTTTACAACCGGCGTCGAGTGTTCCGTGATATGCTGAAATGCTTCAACTTTTTTTTTCTCTATATTGGTCGCTCTATCAAATCGTGTCCTTGCTTAGGTTTCCCTAAATGTACTTCTTAAGACAGAAATTCGAGGGTTACGATATCTGGTTGGTCTAAATGTATGCTCTAGCTTGTTGACTGCTTAATTGACGAGGGTAACCCTTGCCTCGGGTGCATGTAGATATCTTAGATCTGTGGCGATATGTCATGCGGAGAACGCAATATATGATAGCACTGCGTATGCGTGGACCCAAGTTTGATAAATCGGACTTTCGCCGGTTGTCCGGTCGTAGGCTAGCTCGGCAGTCGGATTATGTGCCGATGGAGTGAATGACCAGCCACCGGGTTCGGACTTGCTGCGTTCAACTCAAATCAACAGGCTCCGGTCAATCAGATTGTGGTGATTGATGGAAACGCAGGATAGTCGATCCGCGGGCGTGGAGCCGTGGGATGTGCTACTTATTGGAATCCTCTCCGCTCGAACCCCGCAGCGTACTGGTATATAGACTTTACCTATTACTCCTCACCACCTTAAGCAGCTACCTGACACCACCTACACTACAATCTCACCTCTGAAACCCGCCTCGCGACAGAGAGACATTCCAAAACTACAGCATGTCAATCATCATCACCGGCGCAAGCGGCTACGTGGGCCAGGAACTGGCCGCGGCGCTGCTAACCACCTACCCGGAGATCACGGTGACGCTGACGGACGTGGTCACGCCGACGGTCCCCGCAACCGCAGCGCAGCACGTCGCGCGGACCCGCTGCCTCGAAGCCGACCTGACCTCGCCCACGGTCGTCGACGAGCTCTTCCCCGCGGCGCAGCCCTACGAGACGGTCTACCTCCTGCACGGCATCATGTCCAGCGGGTCGGAGGCCAACTTCGAGCTGGGGATGCAGGTCAACCTGGACGCGACGCGGCGGATCCTGGACCGGCTCCGCACCGTGACCCCCGGGGTGAAGGTGGTTTTCACTTCCAGCCTGGCGGTGTATGGGCCCGCGCCGACGGGGCTCGTGATCGACGAGACCAACTTCCCGCCGGTGCCGTCGTCCTCCTACGGCTCGCAGAAGCTCATCGTCGAGACGCTGCTGAACGACTACTCGCGCCGCGGCTTCCTGGACGGCCGCGCCGTCCGTCTGCCCACCGTCACCGTGCGCGCCGGCAAACCCACCCAGGCCGCCAGCAGCTTCGCCAGCGATATCATCCGCGAGCCCTTCCACGGGCGCAGGGCGGTTCTGCCAGTCCCTAAGGACACGCAGATGTGGATCTGCTCGCCGCAGACGGTGGTCAGGAATCTCGTGCATGCGCGCGAGGTGCCCGCCGAGGCGTTCGGGGATTCTCGGGCGGTGAATTTGCCCGGGTTGTTGGTAAGCATTCAGGAGATGTTGGATGCGTTGGAGGAGGTGGGCGGGCCGGAGCGTAGGGCATTGGTCGAGGAGAAGTATGATCCGGATGTGGATCGCATCGTGCAGACGTGGACGCCGAATTTCAATACGGCCCGGGCGCTGAGGTTGGGGTTTGTGGAGGATGTGTCTATGATGGAGAATATTCGGCAGTATGCGAGTCGATTTGCGTGAGGAAATGAGATAATGTATTGGGAATGTGGAGGTGGAGGAGGTGGAGGAGGTGGTGGTGGTAGTTGAAGCTGTTGCTGTCATGTAGTATGATGTATGTTGTACTGTACAGCGAAATGAATGAATGAATGGCCGAATGGTGCTGCTAAGGAAACAGTCGGGATCGAAAGCGGTGGTTTGGAAAAGCGGGTCATGTGATTGGCTGGCGGATGGGCGAACAATTTGACTCCCGAACTTCAACCTCGCCATCTCCAGGCGCTGACCGTCTTGTTACACCCTTCCTTCATTCTCCCTCTTTCCCCCCCTCCCCCTCCCTCCAATTCACCCACCTCATCTATTACACAATGGCCTCTAGGCGCCTAGCGTTCAACTTCAACCAGGCTCTCCGGAGCCGGGCTGCCCTGAAGGCTGTCCAGCCCGTCAAGCGTGGCTTCGCTTCTCCCGTTACCCTGCCTTCCTCCACCCAGACCACCACCCTCTCCAACGGTTTCACGGTATGCGCTGTCATCTATCCGGTCTCAATTGCTTCTGACACTTACTGACGGGACCTAGATTGCCACTGAGCACTCCCCCTATGCTCAGACCTCCACTGTTGGCGTCTGGATCGATGCCGGTAGCCGGGCAGAGACTGACAAGACCAACGGCACTGCGCACTTCCTGGAGCACCTTGCTTTCAAGGTATGGTTCTCAGATAGTCTCAATTTAGATGCGGTAGCTAACACTCTGATATCATCACAGGGCACCAACAAGCGTTCCCAGCACCAATTGGAGCTTGAGATCGAGAACATGGGCGCTCACCTGAACGCCTACACCTCGGTACGGACCGGAAGGAAAAGTCTACTTGAGAATCGCGACTAACGCCCGATTGCAGCGCGAGAACACCGTCTACTACGCCAAGTCCTTCAACAACGATGTCCCCAAGGCCGTCGACATCCTCGCCGACATCCTCCAGAACTCCAAGTTGGAGCCCGGTGCCATTGAGCGCGAGCGCGACGTCATCCTCCGTGAGCAGGAGGAGGTCGACAAGCAGCTCGAGGAGGTCGTTTTCGACCACCTCCACGCCACTGCCTTCCAGCAACAGCCCCTCGGCCGCACCATCCTCGGCCCCAAGGAGAACATCCAGACCATCTCCCGTGACAACCTGGTCGACTACATCAAGACCAACTACACTGCCGACCGCATGGTCCTGGTCGGTGCCGGTGGCATCCCCCACGAGCAGCTCGTGAGACTCGCTGAGGAGCACTTCGGTGCCCTGCCCAGCAAGCCCCCTACCTCTGCTGCCCTGGCCCTCACCGCCGAGCAGAAGCGTACCCCCGAGTTCATCGGCTCTGAGGTCAGAGTCCGTGACGACACCCTCCCCACCGCTCACATCGCCCTTGCCGTCGAGGGTGTCAGCTGGAAGGATGACGACTACTTCACCGCCCTGGTTGCCCAGGCCATCGTTGGTAACTGGGACCGTGCCATGGGCAACTCCCCCTACCTTGGCAGCAAGCTCAGCTCCCTGGTTGAGCACCACGGCCTCGCCAACAGCTTCATGAGCTTCTCCACCAGCTACAGCGACACTGGGTGAGTTTTGTCTCTGTTTGGTGTCGATGACGCGTACTGACCGACATGTGCTACTAGTCTCTGGGGTATCTACCTCGTCTCCGAGAACCTGACCAACCTCGATGACCTGTGCCACTTCGCTCTCCGCGAGTGGTCTCGCCTGTCCTTCAGCGTCACGCCCGCCGAGGTTGAGCGTGCCAAGGCCCAGCTCAAGGCCTCGATCCTCCTCTCCCTCGACGGCACCACCGCCGTTGCCGAAGACATTGGTCGCCAGATCATCACGACCGGCCGCCGCCTCAGCCCCGAGGACGTCGAGCGCACGATCGGCCAGATCACCGAGAAGCACGTGATGGACTTCGCCCAGCGCAAGCTGTGGGATCAGGACATCGCCATGAGCGCCGTCGGCAGCATCGAGGGTATCCTCGACTACCAGCGTCTCCGCTCGGACTTGAGCCGCAACGCTGCTTAGATGTGCTGAGCTCGGTGTAGGTGAGGGTGTCTGTTGCGTTGTCCACCAGGAATTATGGCAAGTGTTTCTAGTTTTGGTGATTTTTAATAGATAGAAGCGGTGGTCGTGCCGAGGAAGCGTGTCTTGTACAGTACACAACTGTCGCTATATCAAAATGTATTGTTTGTTAAGTTCAGCCTTCAACCTAGGTGTTGTATGAGTAAAGGGCGGCAAGCACTGTCAACCTCCAAAGCCTTGGACCGAACCACCCCTTCGACATCTAGACCCAGCGCAGCAACAATAAAGAAAAGGTAAGATAACCCAACCCCAACGCTTCCCAAGCTATCAAAGCTATCAAAACTATCAAAACTAAGACCCATCCCACTGCCCCCGGGAGATCAAATTAAGTACAAGAAATAGTTAACATAAAATCAAACCATCAGCTCAATCCCCTACAGCAACCGAATGGCAGATACAAAATCATTTATACTCCATCCCCGCAGGAGCCTGATACCCGCCCTTCTCCAGCAGACCCGCGCGGCTCTCGGCCTCCTTCTCGTTCTGCATCAGCGTGCAGCAGGGGCAGCAGAACGACTTGAAGCAGTCGCCGCACCCGGACCCCTCGAGCTGGAACTTCTCGCGCAGCTTGCCCCGCTTCATCATCAGCGGGATGAAGCCCAGCCCGCAGTAGCCGACCAGGCAGTAGAGGCAGCACTGTTTTCAGCATTAGCTTGGCCGGGGGCCGGGAGGGGGGGGGGTTAGGGTTTGAGGGATTGGGTATTGGGAAGGTCGGGTGTGCGTGCTGCATACATCACCATTCATCGAGCCATGTTCCTTCAGGGCTGGGTCCTTGAGTCGGGAGGCGGTGCGGCCGAAGAGGCAGCAGGGACACCAGAAGGCGAGGCAGCCTGCGTTTTTGTTTCTTCTTGTTAGGTTTTGGGTATAGAGTTGAATCTCTGAAGGGAGGAAGGGCGTACAGATCTTGCATGGGGAGCAGCAGTCCCAAAAGCCATTGGTCCATTCTTGGCCTTCGCCCATTGTGAATTAGGTATTCTTCTTTGGGGCGAGGTTCGGTTGGATGGATTTGAGGTTAAGAGTAGGAGTTGTATTCGGTCCGTGAACGACTGGGGACTGGTTGTTGAACGAGTGGAGGAACGAATGGACGGTATGGGTTTAGGTCAGGTATGAACGAGAGGATAGTCTCTAGGACTGAGAGTCGACTTTTTTCAGATCTATTTGTTTTGGGAGAATTGGGGGGTAATGGGCGTGGCATGGCGTCTTAAATAAGACAAGACATGGGGCCGAGTACGAGGTTGCCTGTTGCCTGCGGTATTCACTGCACAAGAGTAGTACTAACTACGGAGTATTAGGAGGCTTATTTTTTTTTTCTGATGTGTGCTGTGTGGTGCTCGTGTCGGAAGTGTAAAGTACTCGTATAAAAAAGAGACACATGGGAATCAGCCCCAGATCCACATGGGTTGGACGCTATACATCCATCCATTGTAGTCTATGGTAGGTATACTCTAAGCCTTGCGTGGCACAGACAGATAGAGAGAGATGTTTTGGCCCTAGAATTGCACGGGTGCTGCGGTTGGGGGCCAACACCAAGGAAGCCACTTCAAACATGAGCAGGTACTGTATGTACATCACTTGTCAGGGGTTGTTTGCGGTGCTTGAGTCTCTACAAAATAATGTTACTCAATCGCTATCCTAAAGGTTGGTAGCGTACAAAAAGAGTTTCGATCATGAAGCATCACGAGGAGAAAGAAGATCATCACCGAAAACTTCACAACTAAAATGAGGTAGGGCATCTTGGCCGGCTGTGTAAGTTAGTCGAGCCCCGTGGAAATGGCTCACTTCAGCCCCCTCCCTCCCGGGTTCAGCCCCGTTTGAGCCTTAGTTTGAGACAACGGCTAGAGCTCCCTAGATGCATTGCATTGGATCGGACTCAGGTGCGAGGTACTGTACTTATTTCCTGTGCTCATTTCCCATAGACTAACCTACCCCTTTTGCTGACTGCTGACTGCATCGGGACCCTGGTCTAGTCTACGCCCTAGGGTTTCTGCTTGCCAACCCAAGCTTTTTTTTTCTTCCGCTAGGACAAACCCGGCACCGACAGCTCAGCCATAGCCACTGTTATGACAGGGATCTCAGGCTTAGTGTTGTATTGATGTGTTTCAACTCGTCTGTTCTCCTTTGAGCTGAAAGTAATCCCTGTTGGCGTTGAGGTGTTTGTTGTCTACGATGGTAGGAAGGCGGGCTGTAGGGGGTAGTCAAGAATCGCCAAGGATTTATGAACTTATAAACTCAAGACTTCGGATCCCGTTCGCTAACAGGAACATAGCTGATTGGTGGTAGACGATGCGAGGCTCTTTTACGTCCGGGCAATGGCCTGCTGGATGTATAGAGATCGTAATCCCTCCAACATGAATGTGTTCCCAGCCGTGACGAGAAAAGCACACGCAAGCACCAAGAACGATGGTACTTTCATTATCCAGTGGCTGGTTGCATAACCACCATCCTCAATGAGCCTGCATGGTGCAACGGCTCAGAACCTGACTCCCCACACCCAGCCACGACAAACCCCTCGAGCAACGACGAATGCCCCTGCAGCCGCAAGGAACAACACCCCGGAGAAGACAATGACGCCTCCATAGCTGTGCTGCTCTATCACCCCCGCTAACCCGATCCCCAAGAGCATCCCGATGCTGGCAATGCTGTACGCGATGCCACTTCGGCTCCCATACTCCGTGGCGCTGCATGTCTGGGAGATGCAGACGGGCGACAGGCTCAGCGCGGCACCGGACCAGAATCCGAAGAAGATGGCATAACACACGAGTGCTCCGAGGCTGTCTCCTGCTTTGTACCAGAGGGCGAGGGTTAGAATCGCACAGATGGCGGTCGTGATGATCATCGTGTTGAAGCGGCCAAGGCGGTCGGCGGCAAGAGGCGGCAGGAGTCGGCCTGGGATGGTCCCGAGGTTCAGGATAACGAGTAACAGGTATGCGATGAGGTTGCTCAGTCCCGCATGCACGGTATACGAGGGGATATAGGTGCTCGGGATGAAAACGGCGCACTCGGTCAGAAAGATAGCAGCGGTCGTGGCGGCGAAGCGAGGGTCTTTTAGTGGCTTGAGCGTTAGTTCTCTACAGGTGTCTGTCCTGGCGGGTAGCTGCGTCGTGATCAGGCAACAAGCGATGGAAAGCAAGGTAGCACTGATGAGAGCGATGATGTGAAACGACCACCCGAATCCGATCTTCGGCGCGGTGAAGTAGATGATGAGGGGGAAGATCACGCCTCCGAGTCCGCCGCCGGTGCAGGCGACGCCGGTTGCAAAGGCCCGGCGACGTTCGAACCAGTGGCCTATGGTTGCCATGGCTGGCGTGGTGAGTGCACTGGCTGATAGTCCACCTAGAAAGCTGAGGGAGAGGAAGATCGAATAGTACTCTGAGTACTGTTAGCTGCTGCTGCTATCTGACCCGTTCTTCAACAACATTACCGTCGCTGAAACTGAAGCAAATTAAAGACAGTACCATGCCAACTGACCCCGAAAGGACCAAGTAAGTCGGCCCCCAAGCATCAAAGATCAACCCTAGCTCAGACGGTCAGTTCTTTTGTCTCCGTACGATAAGTGCTGATATCTGTACACACCCATCGGGGCTCCCGCAAAGTAGACGAAGAACCCATACGCGCTGTAAATCCAGCCATAGCTCGCCGGCTCGTAACTCTGTAGCTGATGCGTGCTGGTCCATAAGTGAATCGCCCCAGCTGTGTGCAGCATCCCCCAGGCTGGAACCAAGGTGCACCACGCTCCGAACACGACCAGCCATGCTCTGAAGCCTCCTTCAGCATATCCTGCGCCCGGTGGTTGCTCTATACTGACAGACGAGGCGGACAAGTACTCGATGTGCTCGACGTTCATCACTCAGTGTAAGAGCCCTCAGTATCGTGCTCAATGCAAATTGACAGCCAAGGAAAGCCGGCGTCGTAACCGGCGTCTACGGTTCTTATATGCCTGCCTGTCAAACACGAGGCGGTGATTCTATGAGTTGGCGATATAGAGTTGACGCAGCGGGATGCAAGGGCTATATGCATCTCTGATGCACAATGACGACTGGTACAGAGGCTCATAGAGTAAGTGATGTGTTTGCTGTGCTGTAGCATGATTTACTGGACATGGGTGTCAATCTGCCTTGCGTGGAACTGTGTCGAGGCACAAGTTGGTGGGTCTAATTCATGGCATTTAGCTGAGTCAACATGCAGGTAACAAGTTAAGTATGGATCTGCTTAGTAGCTCAGTCATCAGGCAACTTGTGTAGTAAATAACAGCAGCATCATCGTGTTCGAATCCTTGGTATCTGATATCACATCTGGCGAAGTGTGGTTATGTCTCGATGCGGCCAGTTGTGATCGCTTGGGTGGATGTTTTGATCAATTGCACCAATTCATGCGTCAGATGTCCCATAAGACTACCGGCTTAAGCTTGGTCTTTTCAAATGCAGAGAAAGTTGACTGTCAATTGGAGAATAAACGCAATACTGCCCTCTATAGAGGACGGCTGTTTTAGGACTAGCTTGGATGCAATCCAGACCCGTTACATAAGCGCTCATGGCGAGCGGGCGAGCTTTGCTGATAAGATTTCTGCAGCGGAGAAATTGCGGCCAGTCCCAGCCCACTCCAATCTCTCACATCACAACTCGATCATCATGGGTAAACGCGGAAAGAAGGTATGTGTGGCCTTCTCAACCCTTTCCGACCTCTAGAGCACCGCTGCTCCCGGTTGATTCGGCTCTTGTCGTCCCGAATTCATGCTGATCCTCGGTCGCAGGGTGGTGGCAGAGGCGGCGAGCGCAAGAACTGGCAGCAGATTTCCAGAGAGAACGAGAAGTTCGAGAACTACTACAACTCCCAGGGTTTCATCCCGGAGGAGGAGAAGGAGGCTTTCTGGACTGCTCTCAAGAGGGACCTCCCCAACAGTTTCCGCTTCACTGGCTCTCGAGGGTACGTTATGCGCAACACAAAAAGAGCCTATCGTTGCGTAACAACCCCGCAGATAAAAGCTGCGCGATAGGCTATACTTGGCTCCTTGCTGACATTCATGATCGCACAGCCATGCCCTTGCCGTCCAGAAGAAGCTCAAGGATCAATATGTCCCCGAGATTACCTCCATCAAATATGAGGGCAACTTCGTCGAGCCCCCTCGCCCCGTCCCCTGGTATCCCGACGAGCTCGCATGGTCCATGACCACCCCCAAGCAGGTCGTTCGTCGCTTTGCGCCCTTCGCGTCTTTCCAGAAGTTCCTCGTCGCCGAGACCGAGGTTGGCAACATCAGCAGACAGGAGGTCGTCAGCATGATCCCCCCGCTCCTCATCGATCTCAAGCCTGGAATGACGGTTCTGGATATGTGTGCTGCCCCTGGCAGCAAGTCTGCACAATTGATGGAGATGGTTCACACTGGCGAGGAGGAAGCTATGCGCCAGGTCACGCAGCAGGTTGCTGAGGGTACCGCTGGCGAGGAGCCTATCGGACCCGAGGGCCTCAACGATGATGGCAGAACCACCGGCCTGCTCATCGCCAACGACGCTGACTACAAGCGTGCCCACATGCTTATCCACCAGATGAAGCGCTTGAGCTCCCCGAACCTGATTGTCACCAACCACGACGCTACCTTGTTCCCCTCGATCAAGCTGCCCTCCGAGCCCAGCGTCAACGGCAAGCCTGGCAAGGCTCGCTACCTGAAGTTCGACCGTATCCTGGCCGACGTGCCCTGCACTGGTGACGGAACTGCCCGGAAGAACTGGGGTGTCTGGAAGGATTGGAACGCGAACAATGCTCTTGGACTGCACGCCACCCAGGTCCGCATTCTCGTCCGTGCTCTGCAGATGCTGAAGGTCGGCGGTCGGGTCGTCTACTCCACTTGCAGTATGAACCCGATTGAGAACGAGGCTGTCATTGCCAGTGCGCTCAGCCGCTGTGGCTCTGCCAACGTCCGCATCGTGGATTGCAGCAAGGAGCTTCCTGAGCTGAAGCGCGCCCCTGGACTTCGCAACTGGAAGGTCATGGACCGCGAAGGCCGTTTCTACGATAGCTGGAAGGAGGTTGAAGAGCGCAAGGAGAAGGAAGGCATCAGCGGTCTGGGCAGAATCGCTGAAGGCATGTTCCCGCCTACCGAAGACCTGCCTCTTGAGAGATGTCTGCGCATCTACCCCCACATGCAGGACACCGGTGGCTTCTTCATCGTCGTTCTGGAGAAGCTGTCTGAGATCCGTGCCAAGCCCGAGGACTCCTCCAAGGTCATCCCTAAGGCATCTGTCGCTGCCCTTGCTGAGGAGCTTGATTTCAAGCAGAAGCATGGAAACGGACAGCCCCTGGAGAAGATTGATGCGTTGGATGACCTCGTTGCCCACGACAAGGAGGCTGACCTGGAGGCCCAGAAGAACGCGACCGTTGCTGAGGCTACACATCAATTGCCTTACTCGGCTACCAGCGAGCCCGTCTCTGTCAAGCGTGATGCGGAAAGCATTGAGGATGGGCTCCCCGCTAAGCGGACTAAGCTTGAGAACGGCGCTGAAGTTGTTATCGGCGACCGTCCTATTCACACTCCTGCACAGCCTGCCGTCACTGACGTTGAGACTTCTGATGCTACTCCGGCTCCTGTTGAAACCACACAAGCTCCGACCCAGTCGAAGCCTCAGCTCCCGCAGAAGCGCAAGAACGGTCAGCCGGTGGAGGAACCATTCAAGTACTTGGATCCTAACCACGCCGAGCTTGACCCCATCTACGAATTCTACCAGATTTCCAAGCGCTTCCCCCGAGACCGTTTCATGGTCCGCAATGCCGAAGCTATCCCCACGAGAACCATTTACTACACTAGCGCCCTGGCTCGCGACATCCTTTCCTCAAATGAGGGAGCCGGTATGAAGTTCGTGCACTGCGGTGTCAAGATGTTTGTCAAGCAGGATGTGCAGCGTGAAGGTGTCTGTCGCTGGCGTGTACAGACTGATGGCTTGAGAATGCTCGAGCCTTGGCTTGGCCCTGCTCGGGCCGTCACTCTGACCCAGAAGGAGACCCTACGTAGCCTCCTCGTGGAGATGTTCCCCAAGGTTGACCAGGACGGTTGGAAGAACCTTGGAGAGATTGGCGAGCGTGTCAGAGACATTCCCATGGGATGCAGCATCCTGTACATCAGACCTACTCCGGGTCAAGAAGGATTCACGTACGTATACAAACCCTTCCTCTAAATCAACGACAAAGGCTAACCCAAGACTAGTGAGAACATGGCCCTCCCCCTTTGGCGTTCCATGTACTCTGTCAATCTGATGCTTCCCAAGGAAGATCGCCGCGCGATGCTTCAGCGTCTGTTCAACGACCACACCCCGCTGGTCAACACCACACACAAGCGCTCTGGCGAGACCGGATCCTCGACCCCTGCGGTTGAGGAGGCTAGCGGAGAAGAGACCCCTGTTGACGCTCCTATGGAGACGGAAGAAGACCTTGAGAAACGTGAGAACCTTGTGTTGGGTGAGGCCGAACAGGAACAGATGGAGGCTCGGGAGACTTATACAAAGGATGGCGACGAGGAGGACCGCTTCAACACGACTGTATAATTTTAAAAAAATCGATTTAGGCAACATTTACTGGGCGTCGCTTAGCTCTTTGAAAATAATTGATTATTTCTTTGCTCTTCTGAAAGTATTTACAGATAATTTTCACATTGATGTCCAGCAGAAATGAGACACTGAAAACTGTTGGGGCCGAAGCAAACCGCAAGGTAACCGAACCGATTCCCCCAAGGTTGATCGATGCCTTCCCGAACAGTCAATAGTCAATGATCAATTCGCAACCTGAAGCACTGCGCGCCCAGCCAATTGACCTTTCTTCATCTTCTCGACCCACGAGTTGAGGTCTTCGAGTTTTCCCTTGACCAAAACGGGCTATCTGCTATTAGCGCGACTGACTAGAGATTTGGGTGGTAGTGGTGGTGCCTTACGTGGACGACATCTCGTGCGGTGAAATCCAGAGCCTCTTCAACGTCTTTCAGCGACCCTGTCAGAGTACCAACAATATTCAATCTCCTGAGAGACAACAACATGGGAGGAGCTCCGGCGAGTACGGTGGGGTCCGCAGGCAGGCCGACAGCCACCAACGTGCCATTCGGACGAAGATATGTGGGCGCTGTCGCATACACTGTCTTGGTTGCAGCTGTCACGATTACTCCATGTGCGCCGTACGTCGTGATCTTCTTGATCTCCGCAGGAATGTCTGTTGTGGTTAGGAAGTCAATGAACACCTCCGCCCCAAGCTTATGGCACAACTCTCGTTTATCATCACCGCCATCGATAGCAATGACTCGCATGCCCATCGCGCGTGCATATTGAATCGCCAGATGACCTAGGCCACCGCCAGCTCCGGGGAGTACAATCCACTGGCCAGCTTTGACATTGGCCCTAGTCAAGACACACACATGCTCAGTATAGCTCGACCGTCATCAAACAAGAGTAATGGTTACTTACCGCTTGCATGCAACATAGGCAGTCACTCCACCGCACATGATAGGCCCTGCCTCTTCATCCGAAACCCCGTCGGGGATTTTGGAAGTATACCGGCCATCAGCCACACAGTACTCTTGGAAGGTACCCGGGGTGGTAAACCCGCTGTTGATCTGTCTGAGGCAGTTGACCTCATCCACGCCGCTCAAACAAAACTCGCATTCGCCGCAGGTTTTCGCAATCCACTTGATTCCAGCGCGGTCCCCGATGCTCCAACGGCTCTCCATGCCTTCGCCAACCGCTACAACAACGCCGACACCTTCATGTCCCGCGACCCCCTTGCTCTGGGGCTTCATTGTCACCCCAAACCCGGCCCATTCATCCTGAAGGAGAGACTTATCAGAGCCGCAAAACCCGGTCCACGTAATGCGGACCAAGATCTCGCCTGGTCCGGGAAGATCCACATCAATGGTTTCAATACTGGTGGTGGCCGTGTCGCCTGACCCGATACGAACAGCAGCGCGCTGTTGCTTGGGAATAGGGTTCATGAGGATAGTCATGGTGTATTTGGGGTAATCCTTGTCTCAGATTCACAAGGCAGACGGCTGGGAAAGAAAAGGTTCGGCTCCTACCATGGTCAGGCGAAGGAGGAGTTGCTTCTTTATAGCTGCTTCGCCTCCTTCCCGCGTGATGGGACGTCAAAGGTACATCCACAGCTGCTGCTAATGAACTCAATTCAAAGCTGACATTGCCGACGATCATGCTCATCGATTCAGAGAGATAAAGATCGGGGCTTCATACAGCTTTGACATTGGTGGGCGTCATGATCTATCGAACTGACCGCGCGTTAGTCTCAGCAGACTAATGCTGGGAGGCAGCGTTCAAGCAAGCATATCACCATTGAAAGATCGATTGCCCTCATTGAGGATATTCTTCGGCAAAAGTTTGTGAGTAGGTTCCATGTATCGAAAACATACCGAGGATGCCTAGCAACCCCGCTCCATTGCCACAGGAAGAGGGGGTCTCGCAGTCCTGTTCCGGTAGGAGAGCAATGCTGCTTCTACTCCTCGTACAGTGATCGCCAATGAGAGAAATGCCTGACTCAAAATTTGGCCTTCGAGACCGGGGTCTTCGCAGGGATTGATTGGCAAACAATCCCTGCAGCAACCTCGGACATAGGGAGGTGCTTCCCCGCATCTTCGTGAATGAACGTCATGCGGTGGACTGGATGTGCCAGCTGATAGAGACCTCATCCTCCTTGCCCCATGAATTTTGCAACTACTCTGGCTAGAGAAAGACCATAAGGCATATGGGCCTGGAGGTAGGCTCAATAGTTCATCGCGAGCCAACTGGCTGTCTCAAGTTTAGGATCCTGTCAAATTGCCTTCCTGCAAGACCTCGGCCAATAAAGGTCTTACTGTGGGGCCTTTGGGTTGAGTGCAGACCCGCGTCAGATTGACTTATTGGTTTGTGACTGGAGTGAGCCACTGCATAAGGTCGAGTTGTTTCCCTCGAGTGATTACGAGAGTGCGAGCTGATGCCTACTATAGTTGTCATGGCGTTGATGCCATGCGGCCTCAGGCATGCAGGGCCAGGAGCTGATCTGACCGGGCTGACTAATTCTCCGCTGCCCCTCCCGAAAAAAATTGCCCCGCCACGGCGATAAGTTAGTGAGTGGAAGGCAAAGGAACGTTCCCGCCGACGCTGGCTAAAATTTCCATCTCTCTATAAACGCCCTTAGAGTAGCACTCTCCGCTTGCACTTTTTCATTTTGAAGATACCCTTGATCAATTTTTGAACAGCAAACAATCTCACAATGTCTGCAGACGACGAGCAGGTGGCTTTCCAGAAGCCTGGTGACCTCGTGGATCGCAACGAGGAAACCGGAGCGATGACGGTGGAAAGTCTTTGCATGAACTGCGAGCAGAACGTATGTCAATCCATCCACGCCTATCATTGACTCAGTAGACTGATACGCGAATCTTGCCAGGGACGTACCACTTTCCTACTGATCCGTATCCCTTATTTCCGCGACGTTATTCTCGAGGCTTTCGAATGCGAACACTGCCATTTCAAGAACAACTCGATCAAGTCCGCCTCACAGATCCAAGAGAAGGGATCTATTTACCATCTCGAGGTTGAGAATGAGACCGACTTGCAGCGCCAGGTGGTCCGCAGTGACGTCTCAGTCTTCAAGCTCGAGTCCCTCGGTATCGAGATGCCCAAAGGTGAGGGCCAGTTGACCACCGTCGAAGGTGTCATCCGCAAGATCTACGACAACCTGTCCAGCGAACAGGACCTGCGCAAAGAGCAAGCTCCTGAACTTTACAACGCTCTCGTGCCCATCATCGAGAAGCTCGAGAAGATCCTCGAAGGCCAAGGCTTCCCCTTCACTATTTCCCTCGACGACCCTAGCGGTAACTCCTGGATCGCCCCGACTACCCAAGATTCCGGCCACAAGTACCGTCGCCGTGACTACCTGCGCACCCACGAGCAGAACGAGGAGCTCGGTATCAGTGGCGACCCCAATGCTGTGCAGCACCAGAGTACGGGTCAGGAGGAAGACGAGGAGATTGTTGATGGCAAGGAATACTCTATCCCCGCCGAGTGCCCCGCCTGTCTCAAGTCTTGCGAGGTTAATCTTCGCAAGGTCAACATCCCTTACTTCCGCGAGGTCCTTCTTTGGGCCACCGTTTGCGAGCACTGTGGATACAAGTCCAGTGACGTGAAGACTGGTGGAGAGGTGCCCGAGAAGGGCAAGCGTATCACCCTCAGCGTTGAGAAGGAGGTTGACCTCGCCCGTGATATCCTCAAGAGCGACACCTGCGCCCTTTACAGCGAAGAGCTCGAGGTTCGCGTCGAGCCCGGCACTCTCGGTGGTCGATTCACCACCGTTGAAGGCCTCCTGACCGAGATTCGTGACCAGCTGCACGGCCAGATCTTCGACTTCGCCGACACCAGCGCCGGTGACAGTATGGCCACTGACGACAAGGCCAAGTGGGAGCGCTTCTTCAAGCGTCTCGACGCCGCCATCGCCGGCGAGATGAAGTTCGTCATCACCCTGGAGGACCCCATGGCCAGCAGCTACGTCCAGGACCTGTGCGCCCCGGCCAAGGACGAGCAGATCACCACTGAGGATTACATTCGCACGGACGAGGAGGAGGAGGAGCTCGGACTGAAGGACATGAAGACCGAGGGCTACGAGGCTGATGCGGAGCAGAAGGAGGAGCAGGAGGAGAAGCCCGCTGAGCAGCAGTGATGAACGGACTCGATACCCTTAGACTTTTTTTTCTTACTTAATGATGACATTTGTCTTGGTTTTCACGATGCCCATGATACATTCCAGGTGTTGTCTTCTGCCAATGTTGCAAGATATGCGAGAGTGAGCATTGTACGGTGCGGGCTATGTGGCCACGGAGCGCTTTTTTGCTAGTCTTGTTGTGCATATACAAAAGTTTGCGATGAACATAAATGAATGACCATTCTCGATATCAGCTGGTTCGCTTCTGTAGTACTTGTCGTAGCAGCAGACTGAAAAAAGCTGAGTTTTGAGCGCCGAGCCTCGACTAGGCGCCGGTGTCGAGTGCTATATCCTGAGCTGGGTTTCTGCGTCGTGATTGGCCACGGTTCTATACTTCAGCTTCTGCCGGTACTTGAACGACCCAGCCAGACGGCATGGAAAGCATAAGCAAGAATAGGACTAAGTGTACAGGAAACTAGGAGTGTGAACTTGGCACAGTCGTACTATTTTGTAGGAGATGCTTCATAGTATACGTCTTCTGCTCATGGAGGTGTTTGAAATCGAATGATTGTGCTCCACATACCTTCGCCTTCCACATATGATCACTTCCAGAAATTTGGGCCCACTCAAGGCAAGAGGTCCTATGGAGTAATCCCAGGCTGCTGATTATGGGGCGATGTTATCATGTGGAGCCTCATCCCTTGATGTCGTGTTGTATAGTCGAGCTGTATTCCGCGGGGGGCATGGTGGCTTGCTTGGATGGATGGTATGAGAGTAGCTGCCGCTGTAGCTGCCGGCCGTAGAGCGATGACGAACTCGGAGCCTGCAGGATGACCGGCAAAGTCAATCACTTGTTCTCAGCGAACACTGCTGAGCGGTTGATGCCAGGTTTTCCCAGGGCAACAAAGTCTCGAGGCCCGCAATTCCTCGAAGCTGGTCTCCGACTGGCCGGAGACTCGGACTCGACCTGAGTGATGCATATCTGTATCCAATCCCATCACCAGCAGTGACCCTGTCCCCTTTAGCCTTCCAATCCAAAGGAACCGGACGGCCCATTCAAGCAAGCGCACCCCTTCACCTACTAGTACCCTCATACCCCTTATTTCTCCAAAGAGACCCAAAGTCAAGTAGACACAAAAAAAAGAGAAAAAGTGTCTACCCCGCGAAAGGATTAGCATGCACGGTCACCCTCTCAATGCCCACCCGTTCCCAGACCCCCTCCTCCTCCTCTTGGGGGGAAGGCTGCACGACCCTCCCCTTCTTATCCACCTTAATCTTGGCCTTCTCCAGCCTCCCCAGAACATCACCCCCCTCATCCTGCGCCGTCAGATTCAACACCTTCCCGAACACCGTACTCGCCCCGTCCAGATGCGGCGCCGCCGCCAGCGTGATGAAGAACTGACTCCCGTTGATCGTGGGGCCCGTCGCGCCCTGCGACCCGGGCGCCGTGCGGTCCTTCACGGGCCGCGACGCCATCGACAGGATCCCCCGTGTGTGGTGTTTGAGGGCCGGCAGGTGGATCTCTTGGTTCAGGGCGTAGGGGTGGTGGATCGAGGTGCCGCCTTTGGGGATCGGGCCTACGATGGGCAGCGGCGGCTTTTGGGTGTCTGGGTTGATTTGGGTCGTGGAGAGGGAAATGTCGCCGCCCTGGATCATGAAGCCCGGGATATAGCGGTGGAATGGGGTGGTGTTGTAGGCGCCGCTGGCGCTGAGGGCGAGGAAATTCTGTATTTTTTTTGAGAGAGGTTAGTTGTGGAAGGGGTGGGTTTGGATTTGGCAGGAGGGATTTGGTGGGTGTGAGAATCGGGGTAGAGGCTGCGGCTGGGGTAAGACGCACCTCTGCAGTTTTGGGGACGGCTTCGCAGAAGAGTTCGACCTTTAGGTCGCCGTGGGTGGTGTGTAGCTTGTTTTCGTTAGCTGGTTGCGCTGCTGGAATGAGTGTGGTGCGGAAGGGAAGGGTAGCGTACTGTGACAGACATGGTGTGATTGTTGTCTGGAGATCAGGAGAGTAATCGCGAGGACCGTTATGCGTAGGAAAGACAGCTGCAGGCTCAATCAAGGTGAAGGAAAGGAAGCTCTATCGGAGGTGGTTATCGGCGCCGCGCAAATCCTCGGCCATCCGCCGGTCACATGACGGCCATGATCGTTGATTCGGCGCATTCAGTTTCGTTTGTTCCATGCTCATGACACATCACTTTGGCCAGATTGGAGACCATTGAGCCTGGCTGTGAGCTGCTACTGGTACATACTCATTACACTCATATTCCAGCCATTGGGAAATCCTGCCCGCCCTTTACTAGCACGCCCTTCGACATTCCACTTTCCTCATCTCTTGCGACAGACATCATGAACAACAGACCGGTGGAGCAGGCGCTCGCAACCCTCCTGCCCACTCATGCTCAAGACCTGCCACCGGATCTCCTCAGCTTGGCTGTCTCCCTCGTCGCGCAGTCGCGCAGCTTATCCTCGAGCCTGAAGCCTGAAGAAGAAATTGCGCGGCCCTATGCCTGTGCGGAGATCGCCTGTCGAAGGTCAGCTAGCTAGCTACACCCCCCGATAAACATGTTCGGACTGACCATGATACCGCCAGACTCACCCGCACGCTCAAGCTCCCTCCCCTCCTCGGCCACCCTCCGTGTCCACCCCGATCCTACAAGAAACTCTACGCCTTCCTCGACCGCTCCCTCTCCGGCGGCTCCTCCTCCGCCCCAGGCACGCCCTCACGCAGCCGCACCACCCCTTCCTCCACCCCGACGAAAGCAAATCGCCTCACCCAAACCCCGTCCAAGAACCCTTTAACGACTGGAACAACCGCAGCCCTCCAAAACACACCCACCAAATCCAGCCCCCTCAAACGATCCCTGCCGCACGACAGCACAAAGACTGCAACCAGCACCAGCACCCCGCGCCCCAGACCCAAACCCACGAGCACCCCCAACCATCTCCGCCTCAATGCCCCGATTCCCACATCCACCAAAATCCCCGACGCCCCCGACTGGGTCATGGCCTCGATCCGCACCGTCTGCAAAACCCTCTCCACCCCGGCCCCGCGCATGAGCACCTGGTCGCGGCCCCCGATCTCCCGAACCCTAGCCCCGCATATCTTCGCCGGCGTATCCTCGATCCTCTTCTTCGTGACCAAGACCAAGACCACGATGACCCACGCGAAACACGACGAGGACCTCGACGACGAGATGCTCGAGTTCCTGGAGCCCGTGCTCACCGCCGCCCGCAATTCTGATGCCAGTGAGGCAGTAGATGAAGAGTACAAAGAGATCGTGGATGCGCTGATCGTCGCGGTTTATTTCCTTGTTCTGGCGAGACGGCGTCAGCCTGCTGATGAGGACGCCCAAGCAGGGGAAGCAGGGGAGGATGCGAAAGTCATGGATAAGAAGACCTTTACGGAGATGCGGCAGACGGCGTTGGTGAGTCTGGGGCTGCCGGCGACGGAGAGGCGGCACCGTGAGGATGTGGATCAGTGGATTGCTTTGATCATGGAGCAGGGGTGGGCGCATGGGACGGAGTGGTTTGAGAATATCCCCAGGGCCGGGGAGGTGGATGGTGATGCGGAGTTTCTGGACGATGAGGGGGAAAATTGGGGTGAGGAGGATGGTGGTGGTGGTAATGGTGGTGGTGGTGTCGGTGCTCCGCGGCACAAGAAGCAGCGCTTCCAGTTGGGCCGCGAGACGAGGCGCGGGTTGCTGCCTGGGTTGGGGACGATGATGCAGGATCGCGTGGATTGGTTGAGTGAGGATCGCAGAGAGGATTTTTTGATCTGGAAGGCGGAGATTCTGGCGAGATGTGATCAGATCGAAAAGGCTGCTTTGGCTGCGTAGGGGTTTATTCTCCTGAAAGTACGTTGGTTAGAAAGTGTGTATGTGTATGATTAGCTACGTGAGAAATATGATACCCTTGGTAATGAAGACTATTTTTTTAGATGTCGAACTGGGTGACCTAGGAGTCTGCAAAGACAGCCAAACTCAACCCACAGTAACAAATGCCGGAGCGCAAGCCATGATATCAATGTAGTGTATTGTATTCTGTATAACATCCATATGCCTCATCCAAGAAGCGACAAAACTCCAGCAAGCACCGGACAACAAAGATGAGAGAAAAAGGTGGGTATAGTGTATCTATCAACAGATTTCGAGTCAAGTCACGCAACAGAAATCAAAACAGGCACCGATAATCAGTACCAGATACTCCGGGTGCGGTGGTGCGGGATGGATTCTTGCCCCTCCTTCTCCAGCTCCTTCATCGTGTCATAGAGGAAGAAATCGATCAGGATGGCGTTGATGCCCCGCGCCGACTTGCCCTGCACGGCCTCGTCGTCCGGAGCCGTTACGGTGAAATAGCCTTGTTGTGGTTGTTTTCCGATGTGCTCCTCAGGTTTCGTGCTTTTCTTGGAGCTGTCGGCGGAGGAGGGTGGCTTCGGCTCGGACTGTTGGATGGGCTTGGTTTTCACTTCCGGGTGGCGGCGCTCGATCTCCCGCTTGATGAGCTCCACGCACCAGATGCTGGCGCCGCGGAGCTCGGTTTCCCAGTTCGACCCGCTGGGGATGAGCTTCAGGTCGCGGATATGGGCTTCCAGTGGTGGTGAGTACATCAGGCATCCGAGCTGGTGGAGCATCTGGGGGATTCGGTAGTCTGAAGTGGCATTAGTAGAGCCCGACGGAGGGTGGGGCTTCAAGTCCGTAGGGATCAATCTTACCTGCGAACATGGTGATAGTGTCGATATCGTGGAACTCGCCGAAGCCTTCGCCGTTGAAACAAGCCCACAAGTCCGCAACCAGAATCTGGGCCCGTTTGTAGATCCGTACTCTCCGGCCGTTGAATGTGGTCTCGTCCCGGAAGCAGGCGAAGCTTTCTGTCAGAAGATTCACAAGTGCCGCGGCCGAGTAATTGGCGCTGTAGATGCAGTTCAAGAAGCTGCCTTCGAATTCCTGGAGCAGGGGTAAACCCGATTAGTCTTGCTGCACGTAGAAGATCTCCGAGGTGAGGTTTGTACTTACCCTGCATAGCACCCGGCCGGCTTCGCGCAAGCACTGCAGCCTTTCCTCAAGCAGCGGAATCTCTTCCTCAGTGGCAGACCGGAACACATGCTTGATGACCTCCTCGGTGCATTCCTCCTCGTTTGCCCAGAACTCCGGGGTAGTGATTGGGATATCTGCAACATGATGAGCATATGTGAAGCAATAACGTTGACCACTGCGTGAGCCTACCCTCGTCCAAAGCCCGTTGTAGCGCCGCCACCAAGCTCCAATATCCCGTCCACTTCTTGCCCCGATACTCGATCGCAAAGCGCTTGTCGCTCGGAAGTTCCGACCAGAAGCTGAAATTGAGGAGGTCCATGGTGAAGATGAAGTCGACGGTGCGCTCGTCCTTGGCTTTGGGGTGTAGCTCGTGCTCGGCCCAGGTCTGCGTGGAGTATTCTTTTTTCTGCATCATCTGCCAGATGGTCTCGGCGGCCTCTTTCGTCTTGGCCGAGTTTAAGGCCACGTCGATGGCATTGTCGAAGATGTACTGCGCATTCTGCAGGACCTTGGTCTCAGCCGTGTGTGGATCAGGCGAGCCTCCGAGGCCGAGCGTCTTGCGGAGGAGAGCAACCAACTCGGGATCGGCGTCGTCGTCGGACATGGCGACTGAGTTGCTGGATCGGGTGTTGTGTTGAAGATATCGAGATGGGGTAAGGACGGGATGGCTGGAGGGAGATCTGAAAGGGAATTTAGATGTGACTGCGAGGTGTCGGAGGGCCCCGAAGTTCTGAAAAGGAACAGTAGAGAAGAACGAATGCCGCGAAGCAAAAGATTGGTTGACAACTGAAGAAAGAGGGTGACTCCGCGGAAGACAGGCACCGACCAATCGACGGTCTGTGGTTGACCCAAAGAATGTGGTGAACGGGAACTGACCCGTCCAAAGAGAGTCAAGAAGCACAGAGGTCAGACCCAGAGAGTTCAGAGAACCAAAGGATCTTCTCATGAAATTTCAATGCCTGCTGAGACAAACTCCAACGGTGGACAGGCTGCCCCTGTTGTGGAGATTATTTTTTTTCTCCTGTGATATCCCCATCCCTATCGCTTATCGGTCATTTTGGGGGGGCGATAAGGCACGATTACTAAGCATCTGCAGGAGCCATCCTTTCTGCCTCGGTTATCTGCGCTGAGATGGTGTTAACTGCATAAACCTTTAACCCCATGAATAGAGATAACCAAGAGGCATTCAAACTACATTCTGGGCTGGTAGAAGAGAAGATGACTCCAATTGATCCAACATCAGTTGTCGATTCTGGATAAGCATTCCTGGATAAGTGCATCCACAGGAGTGTTCATACGCACGGGACACTTATAGGCAGCAAAGGTTGCTTCAGCATTATCTCCAAGCGACTTCTGTGTGAGTAGCATCTGCTCGCTGCTTCGTTCGTACTTCGGGATTTTCAACACCTCTTCAGTCTCGGTCCGATCGACAGAAGCGCCTTGTAGGCTGTTCTTCGAGTTGGGACGGCAGTGACAAGAGCAAGCTATGCCTCGAGCTGGGCACAGCGCTCACAACATTCTTTCGTAACCACCTTTATGTCACCTCTCTCGGACTTGATCTGAAGAAGTTCAATCATGAGGATATTTATCTGTCCTGCAAATCAATTCTAGCCAATTTATACTGAAACATAGTCTCACAGTGGCATAGACAAGCATAGACAAGCATTAGTCGTATAACCGGGGCATCTACTGTACCGCGAGCTGACTGGTTCTGTGTCAAACGAGCTCATAGCACAAACCGCACTTGCGTATATCACTTGATCCAATCGGAACCAAGTCAAACCGGGAACATAGGGGACTATTAGCAGTGGCCGACAGTACTTCTGTAGCCGAGACATGCCTTCGCAGGGTGCGTGTTCTATGCCTCATACTGCTGCCATCAAAAGCATCAAATGAAAGCAGTAGCCAATGGTGTAGATTCAGGAGATGTTCCGGTTTGCATTGCTGCATCAAACGTGTGCAGATGTGAATGACCGAGAAGTGTAGACTGCACTGTACTTCTGAACATCATAGATACTTCGGTGATCCGACCTCATGCGGGATGGGCCTAGATCCGGAAATAGAATGTGAGGTCTCACAATGCAGCCGGGGCCATGCATTGGCTTGACTTTCTGTTAACCCACAGGCTTGATGCTATCAAACAATCAATCCCTGGAGAAGCCGATCAAGAAACAAAAGTACCAAGCAAGCCTCGTGTCGGTACGACAAACAGGGAAATGCGATCGGGTCACGGACCGCCGGCTTTGATTGCTCGGCCTGCGCGGTCATTGCAATCCATAGATGGCAAAGCACGAGACGGATTGCTTGAATAAGTGCTTTTATCTTTCTCTTAGTCTCCTCCTTTTCAAGGCCATCCAAGCGATGGGCGTTGAAAGAAGGAAGCTCGAAGTGGAGTGAAGAGTGGTGGGATGGAAAGGGATTGAGGGACGGGGAGAGTTGCCGTCATTACCTCACCTTCACTTTACACACTCTCTCACTTCTCTCCAACTTCCCTTCCACCTTCACCTGCTTTCGGCTCGACTCTTTTCCTTCACTTCATTCTCCTCCATTCTTCTTCTTTTCAACCCCTCACCTCTGCCTCACCTCCCTCTCTTCTGTCGTTCTCTCACTAAACTTGGATATCTACCGGGCGATGCTCCTCAACCTTCCATACTGAGAGTAACACCAATTGTCTCGGGCTTCCTCCGTTCGCCGCAACCGCATCCGCAACCATGCCGCGCGACACTTACCACAAGCGCTCGCTGGGCACCCTCGCCAGACGAATCAAAGAGGTACTACATATCGTATCTCGTCCAAATTATGACTTCTTGTTTTGAATTAGCTCCTATCTCTCAACCACAATTGCTAATACAACCCGGGGTGGCTTAGTCGCGTGTACTCCTCGTCGGCGCTGGTGGCATCGGCTGCGAGCTGCTAAAGAACCTCCTCCTCTCCGGCTTTGGTGAAATCCACATCATCGATCTCGACACGATTGACCTGAGCAACCTGAATCGTCAGTTCCTTTTCCGCTTCGAACACATCAAGAAATCCAAAGCACTGGTGCGTCACTTCACACCTTGAATGCCAACTCCCCGCGCGGCCCGGCCGTCGCCAATTTCGCCTTGATCTCCCTTGTAACACATGCCTAACCAACACTGCTGCCGCATCTAGGTCGCCAAGGACGTCGCACACAAGTTTCAACCGAACGCGAAGCTCGAAGCCTACCATGCAAATATCAAAGATAGTCAATTCAATGTGGACTGGTTTGCCACTTTCGACATCGTCTTCAATGCGCTGGATAACCTCGAGGCTCGTCGTCATGTGAATCGCATGTGTCTGGCAGCGAACGTGCCTTTGATCGAGAGTGGAACTACTGGGTTCAACGGCCAGGTGCAGGTTATCAAGAAGGTGGGGTTACTGTGGTTGCCTGCTGTTCTTATGATACTGATGGCCGGTAGGGATTGACCGAGTGCTACGACTGCACTTCGAAAGAGGTTCCCAAGTCGTTTCCTGTGTGTACCATCCGCAGCACCCCCAGCCAGCCGATTCACTGCATCGTCTGGGCGAAGAGCTATCTGTTCCCGTAAGTAACCCCTCTCGTGACCGGAAGACATGGTCTCCAGCCAGCGACTGACGTTCTCAAGTGAGCTGTTTGGTACCAGTGATGAAGATTCTAGCGAGTTTGATCATTCAGAGGATGCCGAAAACTGTGAGTTCTGCCCGGTCTTTACTCTAGGCTCTTCTAACTTGTGACAGCTGCGGAAATCGAAAACCTTCGCAAGGAAGCACAGGCTCTCAAAGAGATCCGCCAATCGATGGGATCTGATGAGTTCGCCAAGAAGGTCTTCGACAAGGTCTTCAGTGAGGATATTGAGCGGCTGCGTGGGATGGAAGATATGTGGAAAACCCGCAGCCCTCCGGAATCTCTGAATTTCGAGAAACTGACCGAGGAGTCGGCCGACGCGGCGATTACGATATCATGCAATGATCAGAAGGTCTGGACTACAGCCGAAGATTTTGTTGTCTTCAAGGACAGCTTGGATCGTTTAAGCAAACGCCTAAAGACATTGCAAGAGACCACGAATAGCGACGTCAAGCCGATCCTTGTGTTTGATAAAGACGACGTCGATACATTGGACTTCGTGACAGCGGCGGCTAATCTTCGAGCGACGATCTTCAAGATCGATCCGAAGTCCAAGTTCGATACTAAGCAAATGGCCGGAAACATCATCCCCGCGATCGCCACAACCAACGCCATGACCGCTGGATTGTGTGTGCTGGAAGCCTTCAAGGTGATGAAAGGAGATTACAACCAAACAAAGATGGTCTTCCTCGAGCGTTCGGGTGCCCGCGCAATCAACTCTGATTCTCTGCAACCTCCCAATCCAAATTGTCCGGTCTGCTCCTCCGCGCATGCGCGGCTCAAGATTGATCCCGAGCGTGCGACTGTCAACGATCTAGTCGAACAAATTCTTCGGTTGCAGCTGGGATACGGCGAGGAGTTTTCCCTGACCACGGAATCGGGCATCATCTACGATCCCGATCTGGAGGACAACCTGCCGAAGAAATTGTTAGACTTGGGCGTGAAGAACGAGAGCTTCATCACCGTCATCGACGACGAAGATGAGCCGCGCGTCAACCTCCAGCTCTTTGTACTAGCAGCCGAGCCTGCCGAACAGAACGGAGCCGAGGCAGAGAGACCAATTTCTATCGATGCCGTCCCCGAGATTCCGCGCAAACCGAAAACACCCACCCCCGCGGCTCCTGAGCAAATCAACGGCACGTCGTCGGATCCAGCAGCCGCCAAGCTCAAGCGTAGCGCGGATGAAGCTGGTTTGAGCAACGGAGACGACCGCGCCAAACGGGTTGCCGGCGTGTCTGAAGCGAACGGGGACGGGGCCAATCCCATCGTTCTGGACGAGGCAACAGGCGGTGCCATTCTGATTGATGATGATTGATGATACCAGATAGGGCAATGACTTGCATATGGTGCTCTTTGCTGCCATATCACATTGCACGGTTACGTGTTTCCCTTATTCTAGACTATTGGCGCTCAACTGGCATATTATGTTCCCCTTTGCTGCATGTACGAGTATATTCCACCAGATGACTTGAATCATGAGATGCCGATGTTTGTAGCCAGGGATCTCTCGCATGGAGTTGACCCGTAATGATGAGATGCCATACTATGTATGTAATACCGAGAAGTAGCCAAGCATCTTCCTACCACCCCCCCTCCCCCAACTTGACCACGGAGACATCAAACAGCACTCAAACCCCCATCCAAGTTCAAAACACAGTTATTGGCGTACTCATTCAGCGCCAGAAACACCGCCGCATCGGCGACCTCGTGCGGCAGCCCAAACCGACCCAGCGGGATACTCTGTTTGAGGCGGGTGGTTTCTCCCTCGCTGAAATCTGCAGAAACAGAAGAGTTAGTCTGTTTCCCAACCAAACCCTAGTTCTTGAGTCCCCCTCCCTCTTCAATCCATCCTCATATCTCCAATCCAACCCAGACCCGAAGAAAAGGCAAAACTCACCCTCAATCATCGGCGTCTCCACATAACCCGGCACAATGGCATTCGACCGCACCCGCACCTCGCGCATCGCCGTCCCGGCCTCCACCGCCACGGAGCGCGTCAACCCCAGGATCCCGGCCTTGGACGCAGCGTATGTCACCGCCCCCGTGCCGCCTTTATGCGCCAGCAACGAGGCGATGTTGATGATGGATTTCGAGGGTGTGGGTGGATCTAAAACCCCGCTGCTGTTCTCACCATCCCCATTCCCCATAACCGTTGAAGCAGCAGGGGAAGGGGAAGGGGCAGGAGACGAGGACCGTTTCGTGCGCACATGATTCCGCATGGCGGCGCGCAGGAACGCCCGCGTGGTCAGGATCGCGCCTTGCAGGTTCGTGTCGAGGATGCGGGCGATGTCCTCCGGGGAGGATTTGGGGAGGACGCTGGAGATGGAGAGGCCCGCTGCGTTTATTAGGTGCGTGGGGTTCGTGGTTTGCTATACTCCTTTTAGCTGGGGCTTATCTTGGAGGGACTGAGGAGGAATGGGACTGGGCTGGGCTGGCAAGGAGGGTGCCGGGCTAAGCTTACCATGACTTTCTCCAGCTCGCGACTCCAGCTCGCTGCGTCGGCGATGTCGCCGACGAGGAGGCTAATGGTTTGGGAGAAGGGGAGGAGGGTATGTTGCTGTGGTGTTTCGGGGGAGGATGAGCTTTGTGGTTGAGATGGGGGCTCCGCGGTGCTGGAGGAGAGCTTTGTTGCTGCGCTGACGAGACGCGCGTGAGATCGGCCGACGAGGATCACCTGGTCGATGCCTTCGTGGAGGAAGCGGGCGGCGATGGCATAGCCGATTCCGGAGGTTCCGCCTGTGATCATGCAGGAGCGGCCTTTGAGGCGGTTGGAGGGGGGGTAGACTGATGTGGTGGCGGTGGTGTAGGTTCGGGGCCTGGTGGGGGGTTGTGGAGGTGTGGTGATGGGGATGAGATGGGATGTGCTGGGCTGTGGTGATGATGCAGAGCGGAAGAGTTGGCGGGATGCTGCGCTAAGGCGCAGTGTGTGCTTTGGATACATGATTCTCTTTCTCTAGCCGGTTCCGTTAATGTTGGCTCAATTTCCCAAGGCTGCGGATGCTGCTGAAGCTTGATGGCTGAGGTATAGTTAGGTACTATAGGATGATTAGCATGGGTCTAGGATTTTGGGCCGCGTGTAGATTTGCCAACGATAGACTTCGAATTGAATGAGATGTAGCTCAATTCAGGTCAGTGATACCATGATTCAAATCAATCGTGTGTATTGAAAGAGAATCCGTCCAGAGACACGAAGTATACGGCAATCTCCGCGCAATTGAAAGAGTTCCCGAGTCGAAGTACTCCGCTCGGAAACCCTCCGCGGCGCAGCAAATAAAGCCAAGGGCGGGGACCCACTGACGCCAGTCCAGTCAAGTCCGCGGAGACTTTCACCTGCGCTCTCGCGCTCCAGAACCACCCGAACAAAGCCCATCCCATTTCGACGTCTGCGACGCAACCGACATCTACGAACATATAAACCAACTCTTTCCACCATAGACACCACCAACCCATCTTACCCTTCAAACCACTACCCAACCAACCACCCACCAAACAACCACACACACACCCGCAATGTCCACCCCCGAACAAGACCAAGAGTTCGTAACCCTCGTCTCCGGCGACGGCTACGAGTTCATTCTCCCGCGCTCGACGGCGTGCATCTCCAAGACGCTCCGCATGATGTTCGATCCACTGAGTAGGTCCCACGCGCCCCCGCTGCCCGACATGCTCAAGGAGGAGAAGGCAAGGGAGGAGAAGGACACTGACAACGACCCCAATCTAGGCAAGTTCTCCGAAGCCCTGACCGGCCGCTGCGTCCTCGAGAACATCAGCGGCGAGGTCCTCGAGAAGGTCTGCGAGTACCTGTGCTACAATGAGAAGAACAAGGACCAGGTCAACGTGCCGGATATGGAGATCCCGCCCGAGTTGTGTCTGGAGTTGTTGATGGCGGCGGATTATTTGGATGTTTGATTCCTGTTGCTCCCGCTGCTGCTGCTGGCTTCGCTGGTTTGTGGTGGCGTTCAAGGGTGGTAAGTTCAGCATGAGAATTTAATTTTTGCGCCTGTTCTGACTATTGAATAGATTTCGATTTGACAACTTCTTCTCCCTTATTTCCGATTGACGATTTACGTGAAGACGATCCAGACACTTTTTATTGTGGTTTTTGTACAGTACCTACCTTGGAGTCGGGGTTTATGTTTCTGCTGCGTTGACGGATACAATCGAGTGGCGTTTTTGAGGGCAGCATAGATATACCAAGGCATTTTCACGGGCATATTCGGTGCCATTCACATCTTACTCTGTTCTCCGCTCATTTCCCTCTCCTCCCCGTGAGCCACCGGCCAAGCCATCTGAGCATCTGCATCCGCTCTTCCTACCCCCATAGACGGATGCCCTAAAGATGATGGCAGATTCAATCTCCTATCCCCTCTATTCAGCCCTCATCCTTTCATCCGTGGATCCGCAGGGCTTTCTCCAGAGTATTTTCTACCGAAAAGGGGAGACATATGCCGGTGGCCACCTAGCCGCACCAACCGTAAATAATTCGAATCACCTCCGCTAGTAGTGCCGCGCTCATCGCCCTTTCGGCGTCGGCTTCAACTTCGGCTTCGGCCGGTGCTGCGTCTTGTTCGCCAACGCCTTCTGCTTGTAAAGCTTCTCCTTGCCGAAGGCCGCCTCCGAGACCCGTAGATAACTCACCACACCCTCATCCACCACCGCAAGGATCACGTTCCGGTATCCGTGCCGCAGCCGCATGTACAGCTGCCGGCTCATCTTCTCGCTCGTCGGGGGATCCAGGGGCGTACTCTCGAGCAGAGCCCCCAGCTGCGACAGGGTCGGGATCGAGGTGTGCGCACGCGCGTCGACCACGGCGATCCGGAAATCCGGCGGCGGCGGCGCGGACTTCTTGAAGGGGGTGGAAGGTTTGTACACATGGAAGACGACTCGGTAGGGCGCTTGCGCGGGGGATCGGGCCGCGTGGGGAGCAGCCGTCGGGTCGTACCAGGGGATTATCGAGAGTTTGCTGTAGATATCATCTGCACGAGTATAGTTCGGTCAGCAACCGAAGAGAAGATGTTGTAGTCGCGGGCAAAAGCAGCTACTGACCATAGCTGCGGTGGAATCCGACTCCCGCCACGGGTCCCAACGCCGTGTTGGTACTCGGCGGGCAGAGCCACTTCATAAACCTCGAATAGACCCCGGCTAATCCAGCGCCTTGCTTCCTGAAATCCTCCGACCTCGAGTCTTCGATCCCAGCCGCATCCTCCCCGTCGTCGTCCCAGCCCGATGCCCGCGTGATCGTATAGCCCAGCCGTCGCAGCCCTGTATACACCGAGAACCGCTCGCTGTTCAGCCCGCCTCTCGATGCAAAGGCCGCATAGGCAGCCTGCAAGCTCATCGGAATCCCCGAGTCCTCGGTATTGTTCTCCTCACCCTCATCCTCCTCATCCTGGTCATACCCAACCTCCGAACGAGGCCAATGGATATTCAAACTCCCTCTCTCCAGCATAAACAACGCCTCCTCCGGAAGAAGCCAGATCCGATTCCACCGGTCCGCCTGGCCGATAGTCTTGAAGAGGTTGGACTTGGGGTTCGCGACGTACACGCAGGCGTCTGGATGGACGTTGCCTACCGTCGTCGTCGTTGTCGTCGTTGTCGTCGTCGTCGTGCTCGGTACTTCCGCATGAGGCTGAGGAGACCCCTCCGCTATCGATTCGAGATTCGAGGGCATGTGTTGGGATGGCGGCGCCGGTCCGTTGGGCGCGTACACGCCGATGATCTGATTCTTCGGGTGGTGGATGCGGGGGTAGGAGAGGGCGTTGTGCATCGCCTGGCGGGAGGCGGAGAGGATGTCGGCCTGGTACAGCGTCGGGTTCGGTTCGAAGTCCTTCTCTCCTCGTTTGGGGATGCTCGCTTGGGTGCCATCTGTAAGACTGTAACTGTTAGTCTGTTTGCAGGGACATATGCATTCCGCAAAGAAAGTGAAAAAAAAAAAACAGGTGATGGAAGGAAAGCTCACAAGGAGATATTGCTCAGCATGCGAAAGTCCTGCGTCTCATCGGACAAGTCGATTTCGATATGCGCCGACCCATCCTGCGACGGCATGTGGATCGCGGCTTCATCGGTGTCGGCCATTATGGTTGCAAGCACCAAATGCGCAAAGTATATGCGCCGGGACTATTGTAGAGGGGACGGAGCTTAGAGCTGCTGGGGGTTTGAACTCAAAAAGAAAGAGAAATGCAGGCGGGCTGATACGGGATGCGGGATGCGGGATGCGGGCCTTGTCGATAAGAAATTCTGCCCGCGGAATCTCCGAGTTGCGGTGATATCAGGCATGCATCTTCCGCCAGGTAGCAACAGGAACAGCTGACTGATTTAACCAACGTAACAGTCTGCTTGGGAAGAATATCGACACGATTCAACAGCTGTCGCTGCGAATAATCTTCATTCTCAGATTAAAACCTGCTGCCCAAAGCTCATCGGACTCGGACTCGCGGGGAGACGCAGGAGAGACAAAGGCAATCACCCAACCATGGAAGAGTCGATAGACTACAATGAACTTATCGCACAGGTGAGATTCAAGCACTTCTTCCTCTGGAATTTTGACAAGGTCTGACATTGAAGCATAGATCTCTGTAAACCTCAACAATGCACTCAACACGTTCGGTGCCTCATCTCCTCAGTTTCAGAATGTCCTCAATATCCTAAAAGACTGCCTGCGGGAGATGGACGAGCGATCGCGGAAATCGACCTCGGTGGATCCTGAGATGCTGAACCTCGCGATGGGCTTCTTGTCGCTGGGAGAGTAGTCGACTTAGGGCCGCGTGGCAGATTGTTTTGTTTATTTTATTTCTCTGGAAACTAGCGCCAACGTCTGCATGATTTGACCTGGTTCGAGTAATAGAGCCTCGACTGTTTACTTGTATCAATGCATTGCATTGCGATCGCAGATGTTGATTATTGGGATATTAGCAAGCCTCTTCAGATACATCTTACATATTATATTGAGCTTACACCACTATAGGAGACTGTGGGAGGGAACGCAAAAGAAACAAGGACGGATTCCTCTCTACCACCAACCCCTGGCAAAGCGAAGCAAAGTCAACCTGAACACCCTGTTTTGTCCTGGCCAATTGCGAATCAATCCACACTGCGACCATAATATTTATGCAACAAGAACTCCGTCGCCCATGCATTCGTAATACGTGTCCATGCTCTGTGCAGAAGTTGCAGGCATGCTGAAACGAAGAGAAGGAAGAATTAAAAGGAAAAGTCGTGAGATGCTGTCCTTGACCACTTGGCGTGGGATTGGTGCTTTTGTGGTCGGCACTGGAGCAGGAACGGCTGTCGACAACCCGAATGCTCGATCAGCTTGTGACAGGGCCGGTGTACGGTAGGTGCCCGCGTTATGATTCGCTCAATCGATTAAAGGTTTGTGTTTGCCTCCAACTATGGCCACCCCAAGATGGCGGAGAGCATTTGGGTCGTTAGGCCGTACAATGGAGGGCAGAGGCAGCATCGGGTTGTCCGGATTCACATGAACGGCGTCCCGAGCCGCCTGTTCTATAGCCTCCATCTCCTCTTTGCATCCTGCATGGTCGAGCGGGCAAACAACGATCGGCTGTCGGATGGTAATATCCCTTGCAGATGCCAAGTGGGCCTGTTCAGAATTAGCAGAGTTCGATCGTCCCAGTGTGGAATGACTATACCTTGACAGTCAAATAGTATTCGATCTTGTAAAGGCTTCCGGTTGTGGTAAACCCGCTCACTGCGTATGTAGGAAACCCCGGTCTACTTCTGGGGAGTATCCCCTCAGAGTCCCGCATATCCTTGGCTGGGAATACCAAGCCAAGATTCGTCAAAAAGCCAGAAGGGGGTAGTTTGACGCCGATCGGTTCTGTCCTTTTGGTCAAGGTCTTGACCTTGCGCTGTGGCTCGTCGCCCTCATGGTTGTATATAATTTCCTCATCAATACCAATCGTAATCTTGTTTATAGTGACTTTTCTGGCTTTGCTAATCCAATCCGGGTTTGGTGAGAGTTTCACGTAGACGCTCACCGGATCCAAAGGCCCGTAAGACCACCGGGGCAGGGATATCCCCAATGTGACCAAATGATCCGACACTCGCTCGGCTGACTCGGGGCGATTGTACATTCCAAACGTCGATAGGGTGTCGTACCGTGCCATTGGAACGGGAAACGAGTATTTCCGCTGTTCTGAGGGCCCTTGTTGAACCGCCACCACAATCTCATAATATGTCTCAGCAGTGCGACTGGGAAGTTGTAGACTGGCCGGAGGAACGCGCCTCGAGGCATCTGCTCCGCCCCGCCCAAAAGGAATGAAGAGCACGAAAGGCAAGTCCATGGAGATGACCTCTTCGGACTCTCGACCGGCCGGGCAGCGGAAAAGAAGCATCTCCTTGCCCACGATATCGGTAATCTCCTTCCGGGGTGGCGCAAGGTGCTTCTTGGTCACGGAATCCGCCGAGGGATGAATGGTCTCGCGACGATGAAGGGATATTGTAACGAGGGATACACTGACGGGGAGCGAAATGCCAGTGCTGGGCCTGATCTCGACTTTACCTTCAATACGTGGCTGGTATAGGGTCAGCGACTAGGTTGCGTACTGGGCAACAAAGAACAACCAGGGTTCAGCTCACCATTGTGGCAGAGATGCCAGGATATCCGATCAAGAAATTGCCATTAGGCGGGCCCGACACTCGCACGAAGGCGGGCTTGCTCATAGCGCTGCACCCGCACCACCATGGGCACGCGGCGGTTGAGAGGGATGCGCTCGGGGGTTGCTGCGGTGTATATAGGACCTCGAAGTCTCAAAATAAATTGACCCCTGCATAGAGATCAAATCCGGCAACCGTTCCTGGTTGATTGCGCTGCGCCGGAAAGGTCCTTCGAGGGGCGCAGATGCGGTATCCCGTTCTCGTTGCTATGCAGGACTAGCTCGGGCCTGAGTGCGGACAAGGCTGGACAAGGGCGGGTTTTGCTGTTCGAGACCGCAGACTGGGATTGTTGCTAAGCTCCGACAAAGGGCGCACAGATCTAAGGTTGTAGGAAAGTGAAACCGGGAGTGAGGCAAGGCGGCTTGGAGGGGTGAGGGGGTGGGTAGGGTAATTGCGAAGGAAGCGAGAGTTGTTTACAAGCGCCGATGTGGGGAGAGGAGAAGAGGATGATGATGCTGATGATGGGGGGGAGGGGGTTCAGTTGGAGGGTGCGGTTCAGTCGCAGCGGCGGCTAACACAAGACTAGCCAAATTTCCAACGGCGGCCACGGAACCAATTTGTCTGCTCTCCACCTTTCTGCTCGAGGCGCTTTTCTTCCGTCATCGATCCGCAGCGGGAATACGAGCAGCAACATGCAGCAAGGCAGCAAGCTCTACACGCAACTAACGTCCCGACTGCTGCTTGCTTAATCACTTTCAGCACTACAATACACATGAAATGGTCAATCTCCCAGCGACACGTGAGTAGTGGATTTCATGTTTGTTACTAGCGTCGCTCCTCACGCGAGGCTGAGACTCCAGCAGGAGCTGTACCTGAACCAGTACACTACAACCGGTCCGTCGGGTCAGCCTCGTCCTGGATTACATGGGCTGAATGACAATGGATTCCTTCTTCTTCTTATTTCCGAGACAAACAATCAATCCTATATTGCACCATAATGTCATGGCCTGAGGCGACTACAACAACCTAAATTGGTGGAATTCGTTGCGAACAGTCATGGTCCCTACAGCTCATTCACAGATCCGTCGCTTACACTTACATGCCAGCTGGGAGTCATAGAGTTGACCTAAAGTAGTCTGTACTGTACTTGATACTTGGCGAGGGCCTTGCATCCCACGTGACCCTGGGAAGTATATCTCACCGTTTCATGGCTGGTCGCGAGCTGGGAGTTCTTGTCAGGGATACCAAGAGTCAGCAAGTCTGTCGACCTCGAGTCCTTCATGCGGCCCCCCACGCACGACCTACACTACAATACGGGTACGCTATAGGCAGCATCAAATTGGCAGCTACTCGAGGATCACATGTGGCAGAAGCTCACTCTCCGGCCAATCTCTCCCTTTCCTTGATGGCTTGTAGCAGACTATCGGTCGCAGCCAGTGGTGTATTTTGTCTCTGATTGCACAATATGCGGAGGTGAAGTCGGCTTAACTGATACGGCGCTGTTTACATTTAGAGGCAGAAACCGCGTAGTCTTCGTATCAGTATGACGCAAATGTATATTTTGTTGATCTGCCGCAGACTTCAGAGGGCAAACGTATCCACAAGCATTGCCCCGTGCCCGTTTGTGTTTCTTGAGCATGTTTGGCACAAGCAATCAGATCATGTATTAGCATGTACTGTTTGTTCTAAGTCTCGTTCAGCGAGTAACCGAACTTGATCACAGCTTGTAAAGATCACGTAGAAAGTTGAGATATTCGTGAGTTTTCGCATCACCTTGGAGAAGAGGAGCCGAAGGTTATTAGCATGGTTACAATACAGTGTTTCTAGGACATACTGGAGAGGTATTCATCTCTCAAATTGTACTAGATCCAATGAGGTGTCCTCGAAGGTTGTTCATTAGATGCACTTTAATTTCCTGAGTTTTCAGGTGCCAGCAGCGAGCCAGCATAGATAGATGCCTTGATGCTTTGATCGCAAGTACCTTGTCAACAGCACAGGAGAAAGTCGCCTGTCTCTAAATAGCTCGATGGAGCCCTTTAGCCCGGCAAGTATTAACTCAGATTGACTCAAGTGATTGGAACAGGAGAGAGTTGGCTCTTTATAGTTGCTTCAAGTCCAGCATGTGAAATGTGAATGCTTGCGGAGGGCGATGTGCCAATATAACCCTTTTCGGCGAATGGCGGCGGTTGCCAGGTGCGACAAACACAATGACATCGTCCCCCCACACGCTCACCTTGGATCAGACCCTTCAAGTCTTCCAACGGTCGACGCTCATCACCAGCCTCTAGTGCCTTAACGTACAGAACCACATCACACCAAGCGAGCATCGTCTTCTACCGTCGTAATCCATAATCTCAAGATCAATTGTCAAGATGCCTCCTGCTCGTCGTCGAGGAGGCAACACCGCCGCCACCCGCTCCGGCCAGTCAACCCTGTCTTTTGGCTCCAAATCTAGAATCACCAAGCCATCTGCGGCTCCTACGACACGCTCGCAGAAAGCAAAGGATCTCGAACCGCTTGTTACTTCTCTTCCTGAGAAGGAGCCCGTCCAAAGTGCCTCCGAGCCAGAGGAGCTGAAAGACACTCCCACAGAATCCTCGCAGCCCCATGTGGCAGAACTCGCCGTTAGGCAACAAGCACAGACAGAGATCCAACAGCCAGTGTCAGAGGAGGACCAGAAGGCAAGCAAGCTTACGGAACGGGATTTGACCCGATACTGGAAGCAAGAAGAGGCTAAAAGGCGAGGGCCTCGGGGTAAGGAGTCCAAGAAAAACTACTTCAGTCATTGAGTTCAGTGCTGATGGGAACGTCTATTGGAATAGTCCACCAAAACGACCTCACGACGCATGAGAAAATCTTGCGACACTTTGATCTTTCCAGTCAATACGGGGTATGTGGCTGCCCCTGCGTCGTCCCTGAGCCCTTCGCCGTTCCTTTCTCCGTTGAACCCAACAACTAACCACTCTGTGTAGCCTTGCATTGGCATCGCCCGACTCCGACGCTGGAGGCGTGCTAACACACTCAAACTCAACCCGCCAATTGAGGTTCTTGCCGTACTCTTGAAAGAGAGTGATGATGCGAAGCAAAGAGCCTACATCGACGAGTTGTTGTCTTGAGTAAGAAATAGTTCTTGTACATGATATGTTGGATACAGTGAGAACTTGGAGTACGGTTTGGACTTTGGAAGCGGCGTTTCGGTCATGCTACGCATACCCTTCTCATTATTTCATTATTCCATCACTCTGGCTCGTTAATTGATTACACATGCCTCACCGGATTCTGGTCCTGTGACTTTCTTCCTTCTATAGTGTCTTCCATCCATAAAGGTAACGGGAATGAATGAACGGCTCCTGCCCCTTTTGCAACGCCATGATGCCATGGTAGGTCTCAATTTCCGAATATTCCAGGCAAATGGCCTGTGCCTTCCAGATTCCTTGGCTTGCCAGCTCCTACCCAGGGAACTTGCTCGGTGCCATTTCGCAGCCGCGTAAGATTGTCACACAGCAGGCAGAACGTGTCACACCCACCATCTTGCTCTCAAATGACCCGTCCGTCCTGCCATCAAAGTTGAGCCGGGGTTTGTGGTCCAATGGCTCAAATGGTTTCTACGCCACCGGCTTCTGCTTTTGCCTGGTTGCAGAGCCGTTGAGGTTGATATCGATATATATGACTTCTCAATAGTATGTGCCCGTCATGTGCACTGCGGACGGCACCAGTCCACACAAATAAGAGAGAGTACTTTGGGATTCTCGAAGTCACCGTGATGCTTGAGCTCGAAAGCAGCCCTACCACCATGATATAGATCCACAAATCCACAAAACTCGCACGATGGATTCAGTAACCACGACCCTGTCGCAAAATGCGACAGTTACACGTCACTGCCGACAAGCATATGTGGTATGTCTGCCCATGCTGATGGTTTACAGGAACGTAGGGCAGCCTAAACCAATGGGCCACAGTTTTGAAGTGCAATGGTTACGCACCTCGAAGATTGCGTTTGCTAGTACGCATTTCTTCTCTCCAATTACCCTCTCTTGCATCACATCGGAAAGTATGTCCGCAGGTCTCAAAGGGGTTGCGCCGTGCTTTCATAGGCTCCCCATCGTGCCCACGCCACCGGTGTGCCTTGGGGAAACACCACTGTATGTATATATAGCAATCTCAAAGGGACATGTGATGGCCTTCCCAAGGCTCTGTGCGAGGTGAACTCATTAGCTTATAAGAGCTAACGGCTGTCCCAAGGGGATTTGTCTCCGCGCCGCTGTATATTTTCAGCAGCTATCACTCGTTTGATTTCTCCTTTTCACACTCCTTTAGACTCAACTCTGCAGTCAAAGTTCCACCTTCATCCCGGCTTACTGTTATCCAGCAAGATAAAATTAATTGCCCAAGATGTACCACCACCGTGCATTGATCCTACTCCTTGTTAGCGGTCTCGCCAGAGCACAGCTACCCAACCTTCCCCAATGTTCTGTACGTGACCGGCCAGGACAGTAGCGGAAGCTCCAGGCTAACGAGTCCCAGCTGAACTGCTTCATCAGCGCGTTCCAAAATGATGGATGCTCGCGCCTCCTGGACTTCGCCTGTCATTGCTCGAAGCCAGAGGTAGTGCAAGTCGTGACTCCATGCGTGCAAAAGAACTGCAATGCTGCCGATCAGAGCGGTGTGGAAACCTCTCCTCTGCCTCTCATCTCTGTTGCACCGGCAACCTATTGACCACCATACAGCCGTATCGAACGAGGTCGTCCGCCAATGCTCCGCGGCTGGCCATCCCATCACCCTCCCACCCGTTGCTGGTGCCGAGACCACAACCACATCCCAGCCCCCGGCCACTACCCCCAACACGAGCGCACACCCCACCAACACAGGAGCGATGACTCTTCCCACCATCTCCTCGGCTGTGACTCCCTCCGGGCCCAAGTCCGCGCCTGGAGCCTCTGGCACCGCCTCCCGCAGCTCCTCATCGATCATTCAAGCATCGTCTAGTACCCCCGGGGCTTCCTCATCTCGGGCATCTCCTAGCACTCCTCTTGCCACGGGGGCCGGCTCTCACGCCGAGGCTAACATGGTAGGAGCCGCTCTTGCCGTCGCTGCGGCGGCTTACATCCTATAAGTGATAGGAGACAGACTTGAGCCTCACTCGTCGATGGGTGATCTTCTCAGGGGCCAGGCACGTGGATGGACTGTATGTCCAAGCGATACGATGGTTGGAATATCAAGACGAGAACGGATCCTGTAAGGGGAAGATACATTGGTCTTGAAAGGTCTTCGATCGTTCAGTGTCATTCGTGTTGTCTGTTTTCTCACCCCGCTGCTTTCGCGGTGTTTTCAGGTACGATGGGAATATGAGTTCTGTTTGCGCAGCTATGAAAGGAAATCGGCTCTAGGTAATGGTAATACATTGGCTTTGGGCTTAAGTCGGAGTGCATGAACCCTTCGGGTGTTGACGACGTTCAGTAAGGCAGTGTTCTGTCGTGCAGCGAGCGTATGTCCGTAGACAGAAGAAGTATTCTGCTTCTGTTTTCCTTGGCAAAAGTGGTAAAGAGGTGCCGGGATCCTGTTAGAAAAGATCACTACCCTCATTAAAAGCTGTGCGGCTCCGGACCAGGATCTTTGATGAAAGACTTGGAGGATTGCGGTGTGGGAGGAGAAAACACAAAATACCTAGACATCCACATTCCTTCCGCTAAGTTATATACCTACCGCCAGTCCAGCCACAAGAGAGGCCACCGGCTGCCACACCAATAGCTGAAACACTACCCACCAGGGACACCTATCATCTTTGGGAGATATTTCAGAGAATAGGAGAGGAGCTATGATGGAGCCACACAGCTCATTAAACCTGAAAAAAAGCGAAACATCAGCCTGAAGAACAAGTATCTTCAATTCAGCATGTTGATGTCCATATGTACTAGTAATCATCACCAGACCATTTTTGTTCTGTTATGTCCAGGGCCAAAGAAAACCACAAATCCGCTAGCTAAACGCAACAAATATCACATCTAGATCTGAACCCGCTGCCAACCGGACAATCGATCCTTGAAAGTGTACTGTACTGTAGGTAAATTGACCCAGACCCAGATGAACAAGGTCCCCGTTCCGAAAAGAAAAGTCATGTCAGACCCAGATGGCCACCTAAGCCGAGCAAAAGCCAAGCAGAAGTCGAAGAGAGAAGCACCAGATAAGTTAGACAGGCCGAGTCCAAACCATGAACAGATATGCAACGGCAGTGCACAAACACACCAGGTAAGCAGACAAAGCTCGCCCTTCCCAAAGGACCAGGACCAACTCCCCTTACCCAAATCTCACTTCTTCTCCTGCTTAGTAGGACCACCACCGCCACCGCCACCACCACCACTACCACTCGTATCCCCGGTAGTATCAGTATTCCCGGTATCCTCCAGATCCGACCAATCGCTGAACTCCTCCCGATCCGACGAATTGTCCGACTGATCGGCATCGTACGCGCGATCCGGGTCGTCGCGGAGCGGCTCGACGGCGAACAGGTGGGGGTGCACGGCCGCGATATCGAGGTAGGCGGCGCGGCGGGCCATGGGACGCTGGGGCAGGCGGTTACTGTCGCCGCGGCGTGGGACGGAGGCGTACGCGCTAAAGAAGCTGCGGATCACCGGGTGGTCGAGGTCGGAGTCCGAGCTCGAGTCGTAGGGTCGGCGGCGCACGATGGTGTTGCGGGGCGTCTTTGAGGCGGCAACGACGGTCTTCTTGCGGCGGGGGCGGGGGGTGGTGGTCGAGGAGGAGGGCCCCGAGGCGCGGGCACGGGCGGAAGCGGGAGCTGGGTACGGGGTTGCTGAGGTGGTGGCGCCGGGGACGACTTCGGGGCGGCCTAGGCGGATGTAGGTTGTGGTGTGGCGGAAGGGGGTGTTAGGGAGGATGTGGCTGTTGTCTTTTTGCGGGAGTTAGTTGGGGGGGGGACTTTGGTCCTTGGGGAGGGGGGCTTGTGTTTGTGTATAACGCAGGGGAGAAGGGGAAGGAAGACTTACGACCACGCTTGCACGCCTCAGTGTCGCTTGAACTGTTGCTGTGCATCCCACTGCGGACGCGATCGGAGCTCTCGTGCATAGACACGGACTCATCCAGAGACATAGTCTCGGCCATGGACATGGTCGCGTCCCCATCCTCAGAGTCGCTCGACGTCTGGGCCTCAGAGGCCTCGGGCCCGGCGCTCCCACTGCCGGTCTGGTCCTCGGCCTCGTCCTCCATGTCGGTGATGGGAGGCCACAGACGCATCCGCTGGCCGCGGCGCACAGGCTGCGTGTGGATGAGGGTCTGCGCGCCCTCCTCTTCGGACGAGGAATAACTCGAAGACATGGTGTCGGCGTCGGAGATATAGCCGTCTGAGCCAGTGGTGGAGAAATAGGAGGAGGTTGGAGAGGGAGTGTATCCAGGGCCACGCCCGAACAAAAAGGGGAACAAACACATCGTAAATGTCGTCTTGTCGCGCGATCGTAACGTGCAGTCGTGATGATTTGTAAGGATCGAAACTGATTTTGCGTAACGAAATCACTTCTGGACAGTCTGAGGTATGAAGGACGATCGATGAGCGCAGCACGGTTTCATACTTGCTTGCTTGCTGGGCTCACTTACTTGCTCAGACTGTGTCTGTGAGTGTATATCTTGGTTCTGCACGCCAGAGACGGTGAGGTGAAGCCTAAAGGCTACAGTGAAAGGTAGAGATCAAAAGGCTTACAACAGAGGAGGGGAAGAAGACGAGAACAACAGGCTCAGGTGGCAAGTTGATCGATATGAGCATACAAACAGCACCTGTATGCTCGAAAGCGGTGAGACCAAAAGAAACAAAGCCAATAGGTTTTTTTCAGAACATCTCAGAGTCAGCATGGCATTTGTTGGTTGTTCTCCTACATGGTGCACACCCTAGGGCGGCATAGCGGGTTCTTGTGGACTGGGAATCATGAAAGCAGACCTTTTCGGGTGAGTCTGATTCTATATTGCCTCTCCATCTTCAAAGGCATGTTCAGAGGATGAAGTGCTGAATGGGCGAGTATATTCATTTATCTAGCGCGTGGGAGTGAATGGTCAAGGAACCCAAAAGAATGCTCGATGCAATTCTACCATTTATTCTGGTGAGCGAAAACGAAACGACGATATCCCGAACGCCGTAGTTAAAGGCAACCTGTTATGCATATAGTAACAAAGAAGGCTCAGAAATAGGAGAGGAGAAACAGCGTCCGCCAAGACAGTATGGCTGCAGACGCAACTCGAGAGAAACAGACCTGGAGTGAACCTATGGCACCCACAGCCGGACAAACCCTCCAACTTCACGACGGCAAGTCACACAGCTGCCAAAGTTGTTCATCGCCAGGCTCACCCGACAATCCTCACAGATACATAAACACCGACAGGGCCATGTTATGATAGACCGTGGACTGGTCTGACAGATGACACAAGGCGGTCCGCTGGGACCAAGGCCTGATGCTCCCGACTCCCACGTCTGTTCATTTGATGGGGGTTTGTTCAATGACTCCGATCTTTGCGACAGGATGAGCTTCTCCAAGATTTCTGTCTCCTCCTCTGGTGTAGGTTTGCGCTTCTCGTCACCGGAGCTCTGCTGGTTGAGCCGTGAGAAACGCGAGGTAAGCAGAACTTGGGCCCTGTCGCGCTCGACCTGTTGCTGGAACTGGCGACGAGTCATGATCCGACCTTCACGGCCCGCAGCAAGGTGTGCCGCGAGTATACGAGCTTCCTGTCTGCTTTCCTGGTCGCGAGGATCCAGTAAACGGGCAAAGGAGCCAAGATCAACGAGTGTTTCCTGCACAGGAGTGTCTTCACGAGACAACCGACCAGGATACGGGTCTTCTTGTGTGGGAGTCCGGCGTCCATCTGACTCATAAGCTTCCCAGTCAGAGTCGCTAGTTGTTGCCATTGACACAACGCTGGTTGTGTCGTCCCAATCTTCAGCAGAGGGCACATAATCAGGACTTTGATCTTGATTGCCCCATGCACCTCCAGCTCTCCACCAGTCATATAGTTTCTCGTCAAGCCGCCGTTCGTCCGACTCTCCCCAACGGCTAGCATCGACGCTCTCCCGCCGACGCATCTCGGATTCCACATCAAACTCGGAGTTGGCAGGTACTTTGAGCACCCCATCCTCCGACATTATCCAGAAGTCTAGCTTCTCGAGATTGTTCTCCCTTCCCCGATGCTTCTTCTTCCGCTGGCTCCGAACCAACGATTTGAGCCACTGCGGCCGCCTGTTGATACCAATCTTGCTCAGTAGCTTGTCAAAGCCATACGCGGTCCACCGGAGCAAGAAATGGAAGATGGCACGAAAGAACGCGAAAGATTGATAGCACCGAACAACGCCTCGAAATGCGCCGACACCTTCGGATTCATCGTGTGCTCTCGCGGAATGCGAGACGCTGGTCTCGATTTTCTTCTCCCGAGCATATCCAGATTCCCACTCCCACTCCGCAGTGGCTTCCATCTCAAGCTCCTGCAACTCCTCACTTTTCTGGAGGTCGCCGTATACAGAGTCACGGCCTTGCGCACCTGAGTATTTGCGTTGCATAAGCTCGATTTCAGCTAGCCTGTCCCTTTCCAGCCAAGTCATTCTTTGCGCGACTACTCCCCGTCCCTCATTCAAGAAGACTGCCTGCCTGGCAGCAGTCAAGGCTCCATAGCCGATTCTTAATGAGGTGGTGTAGAAGTCATCGTGACGGTTGAAGCGTATGCTCTGGATCTGGTTGGCACCCTGCATATTTTCATGCGCCAGCGAGAATCTCTCTTTCAAGGATAGGTTCTGAGGTGCGTCCACAGGTAGCGAGAAGGCAGTAATCACAAGAGCTAGGGCATAGATAAAGACGCAAATCAATATTCCCAGCAAGATGAAAAGGTGGGGCACAAATCCAACAAGGCAGACTGTCGGTATCCTGAAGACCAGGCTTTCGGTGCCAGTTGATGTACCACCAAATGTGCCCCATGCGATGGCAGACATGAAACAAATCCCCCAGAAAGTCGTGTTAACGAGTCGATATTGACTCTGCTTTCCGAAGACATCAAGCAGATTGGATGTCAAACTATTACAGCAAGAGATCAAAGTGATGAGCAGCAATTCTGGAGAAACGTTCATTCGCTCCAAAGCTTGCGCCTTGCTCAGTGATTGAAGAACGGACTGACCGCCTTCTCCTTTGATGTCCTTCGCAGTACTCTGTTTGGACAGACCGAAGATACCAAGGCCGAGCGACTGACTTATCGTGGATTCTGATTCGGCAAAGGCAAGCGAATGCTCGAAGATAGACATCCCTGCCTCTGTAACAACCGACCTTCCCTGCAATGCGCAACAAAGCGTTTCCACAAAGTGACTTGTACACAGCCGGAGGAAGGCCGGCCACAGGAGCCGGAAGGAACCATATGATATGTCGGAGGCGTTGACAGGGCGGCCCATGTGTACTGCACTACAAGACTGCTCATCCGTTTCCCAAGGGAGCAGTGCTGAGCTGAAAGTATAGAGAAAGCCGCCGTTTCCGGCATAATCAAAAAACAATCGCTTGTTCGGCTTTCCGTACCGAATCAGCGAGTAGTCCGGCGATGTCTGGCATCGGAGAGCACGAAGCAGGGCATGAATTTGAGCGACAAAGAGGACGATGGGTATTATGCGCAGGGCGAATCTCCTGCTCCAATCTAATTGGAGTCGCCGTCGCGTGGATGCGTATATGGTGATTCTATTCAGGACAAGGGACTTGAAAAGGTCAGATGAACTGAATTGCCCAGAGCGACACGAGACCAAAAGTGATGATGTACTTACTACTGTGAAACAAGCTAATGACCACCGGCCGGTCAGATACGAAAAGAACCCACTGAACTTTACAACGGCTTGTACAATGTCGGAGAACTGGGGGAGGCTAGAGTCAGCCTGGGCGGCAGCGTCTGCTACGCTCTCTCGAACAACTTCCGCCGCGGCCTGCGTTGCAAGAACCACTGTATCGCCTTCCGAGCCCGTAGCCGGGGCTGAACCCCAGATGTGTGTCGCCATTTCTTGGAGTCCAGCCATCCTAGCAAACTGTTTTGGTACTATTGAGAACGCAAATGTCTCTGCTTTTGAAAGACCTCGAAGAGGTAAAGAGAGGAGCTCGCGCGGTGTAGAAGACAACAGGGATGTGGCGGTGATCGGAGGAGACGTGTTTAGGGGTTGCGCGGATGATGTTGCCGTTGTCACTGCTGCGGTAGCTTCTGAGAGTATCGACATTATTGAGAAGCTGAACGTCCACAGCGAGACCGGACGATTCTCGACGTGGCTCTCACGGCGGTTTTGTCAGGGAGTGAGCATGCGTGAGCGGGGAAGAGTGCTTCACGGCTTACAGTGCCAAAGGGGAGGGAGGAAGGTACGTAAAGCAGTAAGAGAAGCCAGAAGTCATTAGATCAGCCTCACAATATTAAGAAGGCAGAGTGGCCTGGAGTCATCTTCTATTGTCACAATAGAGCATAGCAAGACCCCAGGCGATGAAATCTGGAGGATCAAGCGTAGTCTCCGGACTCCGTTATACGTACGTGGACAGCCCGCGGCATGTTGAGTCCAAGCCGCCGCGGTCCAGTATCCGGCGCTAACCTAAATCAGGACAACGCACATGTCACTGGACAGTCAGCACGTGCCACAGGTAACTGACTATACCAGGCTGGCAAGCAACAACAACCTACCTCATAGATAATCGAACACATATGCCCTGAAGTGTAGAGTATACCAGCTTTAACTTTAGCGTTGATCTTCTAAGCCATCCATTCTATGGATGGTCTGGTGTCGTGCTTGAGCTGAACATGAATGTATATACATACATACTGTTCGTGCCGCTGGCTCGCAGTAGCACAGCGATAAACGATAAAAATGCAGCAAAACAACAGTGTTGAAAACATGTGTTGAATTTATAGCTTAGTGATCATCATCTAGTAAATCACTCCAGTCTAGAACAGAGATCGAGTATCTACTGACACTAACTAGCACTCCACAATTCATAGTAGTTGATTGGGCTGCCTTATACAAACTATTTTCTATGCCCCACAGTGGCTAGTCCAGACGGGCATACCATACGAATACGAGGCGAGTTTCGACCATAGACCCTTTTTTAGTATGCAAACCTTCTTGGTGACCCCAGCTCGGTTCCGACTACAAGTACATCCATTTCCACCAGAACTGAGAGAAAATGAGCATCTTTCCACGGATCCTTACTTTCGAGACCTGCAAACATGTCAAGGCCTACCAAAGAGGACTTAAACGACTTGAGGGCACCTGACGAACATGGTCTGCCCCCGTATTCTCTCCACCCCGATGGCGTCGACAACAATCTGGCCAATGAGATAGGGGATGTTCAGGGTGAGTCTTTGCAGGACCATCACTTCCGTATATAGTCGTTTGACATGAGACTTCCCTTGACCAAGCCGATGGACGCATCGATGTCGATCTCGACTCCGTGTTCGCCAAAACCCTCGCTCAAATCATCGAAGCTCAGCAAGAGGACATCCACAATCCGCCACCAGACTACTTCGACGAGCATTCAAAGCAGCCTGAACCGGTGATCTGCGATATTCAACTCAACATTGTGATCCAAATAGTAGGTAGCCGCGGAGACGTTCAGCCGTTCATTGCGTTGGGAAATGAATTGCAGAGATACGGACATCGCGTCCGCATTGCCACTCATGATGTGTTTAGGACCTTTGTGACAGAGCACGGGCTGGAATTCTTTCCCATTGGGGGCAATCCGGCAGAACTGATGGCGTTTATGGTTAAAAATCCCGGATTGATCCCGCAAATGAAGAGCCTGCGTGCTGGCGAGGTGCAGAAAAAGAGGACTATGGTGGCTGAGATGCTCGACGGCTGCTGGAGATCATGTATCGAGGACGATCCAGTCACACAGGTACCATTTGTGGCCGACGCTATTATTGCAAATCCGCCCAGCTTCGCCCATATACATTGTGCACAAGCTTTGAGTATTCCGGTTCATCTTATGTTCACCATGCCGTGGAGCAGCACGAGGGCTTTCCCGCATCCTCTTGCCAACCTTCGTGCTTCAGAAATGAACCCCACGACTGCGAACTGGGTGTCATATGGAGTTGTAGAATGGCTGACCTGGCAAGGGTACGTGTTCTGAAAGAAAGTGGCTGAGATTCCGGCTAATAGTGCTCATTGTAGATTAGGGGACGTGATCAATCGATGGCGAGCTGGTATCGACCTGGATCCTATCCCACTGTCGGAGGGACCCAGCCTTGCAAAGACCTTGAAGATACCTTTCACATACTGCTGGTCCCCAGCACTAGTACCTAAACCACGAGATTGGCCGAGTCACATTGGTACGTTTGCCGGTCGGATACAGTATACGCAAAACGAATTATAACACTCGGTACAGATATATGTGGATTTTTCTTCAGAAATACACCATCATACAGCCCGCCCAGGGAACTACTCGATTTTCTGCAGTCAGGCCCAGCTCCCATCTATATCGGTTTCGGCAGTATTGTCGTTGATAACCCCCGGCAATTGACGAGGACCATCCTCGACGCAGTCAGAAGTCTTGGCGTTCGTGCTATCATCTCACGTGGATGGAGTGATTTAGCAGGGGATTCGAACCAGAACATCTTCTACATTGATGATTGTCCGCATGAGTGGCTTTTTCAGCATGTTGCTGCAGTCGTACATCATGGTGGCGCGGGTACCACGGCATGTGGCCTTGCTCGTGGGCGGCCAACCGCTATTGTTCCTTTCTTTGGGGAGTGAGTCAACTCCGGTAGGGTTCGTCAATCTACCATCACTAACATGATATTATGTCAGTCAACCTTTCTGGGGTAACATGGTAGCCCGTGCTGGCGCGGGTGCCAGACCCATTCCCTACTCTCGCCTCGACTCAAAGAACCTGGCAGATGCCATACGACTTTGCCTCACACCGGAGGCAGCAGCAGCGGCTCAGCAAATTGCAACTAAGATGCGAGCCGAGTCTGGCGTCACTGCAGCTGTTCAATCGTTCCATCGCCATCTGCCTTTAGAGCGAATGCGTTGCCATGTAATGCCTAATCACGCTGCTGTCTGGACGTGTGTCAAATCGAAACGAAAAATCTATCTATCCAAGCCAGCTGCTCAAATCCTGATCGAAAAGTCGATGATCGACGCCAAAGACATTAGAAGGTCTGCTTATGCTTCCTAATATGCCTTGTAGATTCGAAGGTGATCTGCCGAGTTGCAAGTATGTTGACATTGTTTTCGAACTAGCCATGAAATCAACCCAATCTTCATTGAGAATCGCCGCTGGGACCCCCTCACGGGGATGATATCCGCCTCGACAAGTACAGGGTACGACATGCTCAGATCGAGCGGTGGGATGCTCTACAAGCCATACAAGGAATACAAGCGCAGCCGCTCCCCTAGACCCCCTACAGACCCCCTGAGCAGAAGCACGTCCTCCGTTACGAGCTCCACAGCATCAATTGCACACCTAAGCGTCGGCGAAACCAACTCTCGTGTTTCCAGAAAGAGCGGAAAAAGCAGGGAGATGCAACCAAGTTCGTTGGTCACCGCAGGCAACGTAGCCGGTGCGACTTTGAAGGAATTTGGCAAGTTTACCGGTTCTTACTTCAAAGGCGTGGTGGTGGACATCCCGCATGCCGCAGCAGAAGGGTTCCGCCAGGTCCCCCGACTCTATGGAGAAGAACCGAAGAATTATGGCACAGTAAAGGACTGGAAGTCAGGGGCTGTGATGGGTGGCCGAAATTTCGTGGATGGAATGGCAGATGGCTTCACGGGGTTCTTCACACAGCCCATCAAGGGAGCCAAAGAAGAAGGGGTACTGGGCGCTGTGAAAGGGTTTGCTAAAGGCACTATTGGACTGGCGACGAAGGTTCCTTCTGGTAAGTAAATGATTGCTCGCGCGCAAGCTCTGATGAGATACCAACTCGTGCAATGGAGAAAGCTGACTCGTTATGGGCGTAGCTGGAATCGGACTGGTGGCATACCCATTCCATGGCATTGCCAAAACGGTCGAAGGACTCGCCAAGTCGAAAACCAAAAAGCTCATCGTCAATGCTCGTCTTCGAGATGGTCTGTATATCGTACAACGGGCTCATTTGACGCAGGAGCAAGAGGCGGAGGTGGTCCAGGATTTTCAGGCTCTTGCGCGCTCCCCGGTGAACTGAGGCAGATGCAGTTCCACCTCACACCTATAGCATTTTGATTATATGGCCATGTCGCGACACAAGTCAGGTTTATCAGTGAAAGAGCTTGCACATGACCTTCATCACCCGACAACAGGCTAAAGACTTCAAGCTCCGCTCAAGAGGATATTGATGTTCTAGCCCAAGGAGGAAGTCATCGCCCGATTTGTGGTAGAAGCGAGTATCTTCAGCCGGACATTGCTCCTAGCGCCCCGGCAAATAGATTAATCTCATTATCTTCAACTCCCTCCCGAACCACTCTTGCCCAATCATTCTCACGAATGTCTCGGCATGCTCGCTACTGTCAAAGCTTCATTTCACTCTTCACTCCACTCTGCTCGCCAACAAGGGTCAATCATCGCCCAATGCAAAAGAACGTGCCTGAACCGAGGACGTCGAGGAGAATGCACTTGTCGACGCTCTCAATGCATGGGTTAGTCGGGAGGCACTCAATATGGTAGTTATAAAAGCTAGGTAAAACCGCTCGCTCTCTGGGCAAAGTCAAGCTTCATCCTCTCGAGCACCATGAAGATCTCTCAATTGCTTTGCTTTGCGGGTCTGCTTGGCGCCTCTGTCGCGTCAAGTAGACTGGACAAAAGATCAACAGTGAGCGAAATTCTGACGGATATCGAGGACGCTACGACATGTGCTGCGTGTGAGGTGAGCAAGCTTTTATCAGCATGGCTTCCTAGTGGTCTTGAACATTAAGCTGAATTGGCTCCAAGGCCTTGCTGGTTGTTCTCCAAGCGCTTGCTCACTTGGGCAACGATGACTTCGTGGATGTCATCACTGAGGTTTGTATCTTGGCTGAGGTAGGCGAGTCTCCATCGTCATCCAAAGAGCTCTACTGATGTAGATAAGGTCGACGACGACGATGTTTGCGAGGGTGCAATCTCGCGCGAAGGACCTATTCTGGCTCACGATCTTCGTAACATGGACGTCCCTTCCAAGACGGCAGTTCTCTTTTGTACTACCATCTTTGGACTTTGCGACTATCCGGCTGTGGCCGAATACAATGTTGAATTTCCTTCTGCCAAGCCAGCGAACGCGTCTCGGCCTGCTTCAAGTGGAGAGACCCCTCTGCAAATCGTCCACATCAGTGATATCCATGTTGATCTTTCTTATGAAACCGGTGCAAAGTATGTCCTTTAACCCTACGCCTCCTACCTTTTCACCCGACATTTATGCTGACCTTGATCTGTTTTTAGCTACAACTGTACCAAAAACATCTGCTGCCGCCCGTATACCGCTTCAGATGAGCCTGGATCGACGGACTATCCTGCAGGGGAGTATGGAAACCACAACTGCGACGCCCCTCTCACTTTGGAGGAAAGCATGTACGCAGCTATTCAAGAATTGGTCCCGGACGCCTCTTTCACGATCTTCACGGGTGACGTCGTCGAAGGCGCTGTGTGGCTCGTCAACGAGACTGAGGTAACCAATGATCTCAACGACGCCTACAAGACCCGAATGCCCAACTATCTCAACCTCGTCTACGGTGTCACCGGTAACCACGATACTGCGCCTGTAAATTCCTTCCCAACGTCGGACATCGACACTACGATCTCCAGCCAGTGGGCCTACGACACCCTGTCGGCCGATTGGAGCCAGTGGATTGGATCTACCGCTGCCAGCACTGCGGACGACTATGGCTCCTACTCGGTCAAGTACTCCGGCGGCAACCTCCGCATCATCTCCTTCAACACCAACTTCTACTACAAGGAGAACTTCTGGCTCTACGAGCAGACCATGCTGACCGACCCGAACGGCCAACTCGCCTGGCTAGTCAGCGAACTGGCCGCCGCCGAGACGGCCGGAGAGCGCGTCTGGCTGATGGGCCACATGCCGATGGGCTCGGGCGACACCTTCCACGACGGCTCCAATTACTTCGACCAGATCATCCAGCGGTACGAGGCAACCATCGCCGCCGTCTTCTACGGCCACACCCACAAGGACGAGTTCGAGATCGCCTACTCGAACTACACCGACCAGACCGCCGCCACCGCGACTATGATGTCGTACATTGCCCCCGCGCTGACCCCGACCTCCGGCAACCCGACCTTCCGCGTCTACTCGGTCGACCCGGTCACCTTCGGCATCCTCGACTTCACCGTCTACATCGCCAACATGTCCAGCCCCAGCTACCAGGAGAAGCCCGTCTGGGAGAAATACTACGCCGTCAAGGAAACCTACGGCGCCCTCCTCGACCCACCCGTCACCGACAGTGCCGCCGAGCTCACCCCGGCGTTCTGGCATAACGTCACCGCGCTCTTCGAGAGCGACGACGCCGTCTTCCAGGACTACTACGCCCGCAAGAGCCGCGGCTGGGACGTCTCCTCGTGCACCGGTGACTGCAAGACCGACGAGATCTGCCAGCTGCGCGCCGCCGAGGCGCAGTACAACTGCGTCGAAATCACGCCCGGGATCAGCTTCAAGAGGAAGCGAGACACAAGCTCCAGCTCGTCGGTCGCGCAGGAGAGCCCGTGCGGTGAGTCGGTTGTCGGGAATATTTTCTCGAACTTCGACGGCGCGGTCGAGGCGTTGATCCAGGCTGCGCAGGCGAAGCTGGGGTCGAGCTTCATGAATACCACTGTTAACTCGACAGTTGTGTAGTGTGCTATGGCCATACGGGTCAGATTAATCATCACGCAAGTAATCAGTTGACGTGTCTATGGCTGACTGAACCAACATGATGGCCTGGTAAGTCATATAGCAGTAGTTCAAGTATCTTTCATTTCACTCGAATCTCCTATTTGTATATATCGGTACAATTTACGTCAATTCAAGGTCCAAAGGTCTATATTTCAGCTTTTGCTACCTGTCATCGCGAGCTATACTAATTGGATAACTTCCTGCATCTTTCAATCGTTGCCCAATCCACTCACTACACCTTAGGAACTTCCCGGGACTTCTGTCTTGTCAGAGCTCGTTGGCGACATTGGGGCTTTATCAACCTCCACCATCTCTTTATGCTCGATGTGGGGAACGTCATGTTCCAGCTCACCAGAACCTTTCGAGCGATCATATGTCCACGCATGGCCCGTGAGCAACTCCAAGTCTCGCGCGATAACGCCCTCCTCATCTGCTAACGCGATACGCTGTTTCCATGCATAGTCACTCTCGCGGGAGCTGCGATTCACACAGGATCTGAGGTCGACCAGAAACACCCGAAGAAAGGGGGCGCTGCTCTCGTCGTCATCCTCATCCGGGTCCGTGATATAACACACGTCGAAGTCCTTCAGACTGAGATGATCCGTCCGCACGCCCCAATCCTGAATCGTCTGCACGATGTGCAGGACATCGTCGCAGGCGGCACCCCAGAGGCTATTCGGCAACTTCTGACACAGATCACAAAAACTGCACCCTTGAAGACACTGCTGCAGATACCCATGGCACGTGCCTGTCTTGATATACTCCCCGTCGTCTGCCCTGACCTCCCACGTCGCCAAGACGCCACCGTAGAACCGCGGGATGATCTTGCCCTCCAGCAGACGTAGGCGGTGCCAGACCGCCAATTCGTTCGCCAGGCTCCGCTGCACGAGCCCCTCGAGGTAGATCTCCTTGTGCGCGGGCGCCCAGCTCAGGTGCTGGAAGCGCGGGTTCTCGTTCTGCGAGAGGAGGTCCACCGCGATGTGGCTTTCCTGCTGGCAGAGGTATTCGTGGTAGTTCCGCTCGACCGCCGCAGCCCAGTGCGCGGCGTCGGTTTTCCTGCGCCCCAGCTTCTTGGTCCGGGCCTCGCCCGCGCAGCGTCGGTCGAACAGTTTCAGAAACATGGGCGAGGCCATCTTCCCCAGCGGCGGGTCCACGTTGATCAGCAGCACACAGGCCATCTGGTTCTCGACTTCGTACACGTCGAGGACTTTGGCGTGCATGACGGTGACCTGGTCGGCGCGGGGGCTGGTCGGGTGTAGTTTGATTTCTTGGCCTACATGATAAGGTAATTCGCTTCGCGGGGTCAGTTATTTGTTTCTGGTGAGTTAGGAAGAGAGGATGCTTACCTTGGCTTGGCTGGGTTCCGGGGGATGTCGGGGTCACCCTTGGTTGGTGTGGGTTCCATCTGAATCGGGGTGTTGCTTGACATTGACATTGAATAGAGTGTTCCGGTAGACTGCCTTGATGCAAGCAAGGAGTGATGATCGATAAGAATAGGTCGATGAGGTGGAGTGCGATTGATTGAGGTTTGTGTCGGTCATTGATGATGTCTCTGTTCCGGTCGTCGATGGGTTCACATTTACTGTCCTTGGGTTGGATTGCAGCGGAGGAAGTTGCGACCTGGTTTGGAGTGCTGGATGGATTCGAAGTTTGGTGGTATCTTTTCCACAGGCTAGTCAAGCGTCTCTACTGCTTCAACAATCACAGATTTATATGAGTAAGTAGTGTCTACGAGCGAGGTAGTCCCGTAAGCAAAGTGGTTTCTCTAAGGCAGTTTCTATAAGCAATGCGATCTCTGCAAGAATTTTATACAAAGGTATTTCACTGTCATAAATTGAATAAGCAAAGTAGTTTAAGCAAGTCAAGTAGGCCTTCTATTATAAGAAAACATTATGAATCATGATAAATTACTTGAGAAACCAATTGGAATAGGCGAAAATCCTGTAACCCTTCCAATTAAAAAAAACTGTCAATCACTTCCTTGGAGAACCCAGCACATACGCGCTCCGCGACAACCCGTGGACATTCTCACGTGGAAACTGCAATCTAAAGAACGATGACAACTGCCTCACCTTCCACCGCATCTGCCGCGGATGCAATGCCAGACCCACCGAGATTGCGGGGCCTGGGGGATTTCCGTGCGGGGGCGTTTCTTTACTTCAGACAGACTCGTGACCTTCGTCAAACTCACTCATTGCATCTCCCAAGCGTCACCCTTTCACCATGACGATCCTTCTAACGCAAAACCTGGGCAAGATCCGCGGGCGCGATAGCAACAAAGTGACCCAATTCCTAGGCATTAAATACGCCACTCTGAGCGACAGACTTGCAGACGCCCAACTCATTGAAACCCGCGACGGGGACGTGCTCGACGCGACCAAAGATGGGTAAGTCATTCTGCTCAATGGCTGGATTTCGTTGTGCAGCGGACTGACCGGCAACGCACTCCTCAAGCCCGACGGCGCTGTCTCCGTCGTTCGGATGCGACCTGGAGCTCAGCATCGTGCAGCATACCCTGCCCAAGAAGCCTCTTCCCCAATCCGACGTCGACTGCCTGAACTTGAACATTGCGACTCCAAGCGACGCCACGACCGATGCTCGTCTACCGGTCTTTGTTTTCATCCACGGCGGCGGGCTGTTCATCGGGGCCAATTCCTGGCCGCAGTTTGATCTCGAGCGGTTGGTTGCGCTGTCTGTGTCGAACGGGCTGCCCATTGTCGCAGTGTCGATCAAGTATGTTTGTTAGCTGGTCAGTGGCAAGATGCGTGTGTGCTAACTAGCAAAGCTATCGACTGGGCATGTTCGGGTTCATGACCTCAGAGGAATTGAGGAATGCCGGCTACAAAGCGAACAATGGCCTGCGAGACCAGCGCGTCGCCCTGGAGTGGGTGCGCAGGCACATCAGTGACTTTGGCGGGGATCCGGACAATATCACTCTTGCTGGGATGAGCGCCGGCGCTGGTATGTACTGTACTTGACTTGTGTGTGGCTGTTGGCATAGTTGACTGAGAGTCGCAGCATCTGTCGCCTGTCATCTCGAGTCTGAAACGCCTCTTTTCAAACGAGCCATCTTGATGAGCGGGAATCGCTTTTTCTCGCCCAGCTTACCCTACGAGAGTCATGAGAAAAGCTACGAGCAAGCGATGGCAGCATTGGGCTTGGCGGATGCCTCACCAGAAGAACGCATTGAGGCCTTGCTGAAGACTCCTGGCGAGGAGTTGGTCGCGAAGGTCCCTCCGTCCATAGCTCCGACATTTGCAGTGGATGGAGACCTGGTTCCATCCGCGATTACTTACTCACAGCTGGCGGACAGAACTAACCACATCCCCAAAGGCAAGGACTGGTGCCAGGACTTGATGGTTGGCGATGCGCAGATTGATGTAAGTGACAATCTTAATCTAGTCCGATGTTGTGCATGCTGAACCGACAGGCCAATATCATCCACGCCATTAGGTCTGATCTCAAGAACGGATGCGCCGAGCGTTTCTTCAGGTGTCTTACAACCGTCCTTGCCACGCAACCAGAAGTCGCAGAACAGATCTCGGTCAAGTACGGCATAACTAAGGATTTAAATGACGAGGATGCGTTTCTTGCGATCCTCGACTTCTTGAATGACGTTTGGATGTTCGCTCCTTCATTGGCATCTGCAAAAGGCTGGAAGGGACGCGCATTTGTCTACTACTTTAACGAAGGCAACCCATGGAATGGCGCTTGGAAAGGCCGAGCTGGGCACATTCTAGACCTTGCCTACCTCTTCCAGAACTTCCGTGAGTCTATGTCGCCTGCACAACAAAAAGTCGGCTCTGCGATTGCAGAGGACTTCTTCAAGTTCTGCCATGGCATCCAGCCGTGGCCTCCTGTCGTTGCTGGAGACCTTGAGGGCGGGTTTACTGCGCGAGTATATGGCCCCAGCTCGCAAGAGCCTGCGACCCAGCAAGTCCACCGACCTTTCGGTGGAAAAAGCCAACGTCGAGCCACAATCTTCGACCTTGGTGACAAGGTCTCTCTTGATGATCTCTCGAGAGTCGCTACCATGTTCACTGCAGGGCAGTAGTTGAACGACCGCCCCTGTAAATAGCCCCGTAACGAAAAGATATAACTCATTCAGAATGATAACTCTATCGCTTCCGCTCGAAAAATGCATCCCAACTCCATATGCGTAGTGTCATGATATACTGCCCCCTTGGGGGAACGTCAACCAGACTGGAAGTTCATGCTGTACCCGCCCGTCTTGGGGTCCTGAACGAATTTGAAATTCTCGGTGGAAAGACCAAAGGGCTTCAGGATCCCATTTCCCAGCTGAATCACTCCAGTTAGTATGATGGTAGAAAAAACAACGACGGCGCCGACTTACATCTTTCAGCTTGCCCATCATCTCGGCCATATCCTTCTCGCGGGCCTGGGCGATCCGGTCCGGCAGCTCCCGCAAACCCTTCTGCACCACGCGCCTGTCGTCCGGGGGGAGGTTATCCATGGCCGCCAGTGCCTTGTAGTCCTCCTCGGCGCCTTGCAGGTTGGCCCACCCGCCCAGCTGCATCCGGGCGCGCGCGCGGCGCATCAGCGCCTTCGCGCGGATCCGCAGCACGTCGCGCTTCGTCTGGTCCCGCTGCTGCAGCCGCTGGAGCTGGGCCTCCTCTGCCTCCTGGTCGTCCCCGGTGATCTCCACGACGGCTTCCTCTGTTCGGGGACTATTGCCTTCCCGACTCGTTGCCTCCGTGCTTGTACCCGTCGTTGGGGGAAGCACTTTGTCCAGCCGATCGAGACACGCCGTCGCCGCGTCCACGGAAGCCTTCCAGTCCTCCAGCTTCAGGTAGCAGGCGGCCATGTTGCTGCGCAGCACGGCGACTTCGTAGTCCAGGTAGTTGGGGCAGGAGGCCAGGGCGCGGTCGTAGCAGGTGATAGCTTCGTCGTAGCTGGCGGCTGTGAAGAGCTGGTTGGCTTCGGCTTTGAGGGAGCGGGATTCTTCAAGGAGTTTCTAGGATTCAGGTCTGTTAGGACTGGATGTGATGGCGAAGGTAGTGGTGGTGGTGGTAGTGGCTATACTTACCGTCTCCTCGTCGGCGGGGAAGCGGGCGTCATGGAAGACGTCCTCTTCGTCTTCGCTGTCGCTGGCGCTTGCCCTCTTCCCGTCTTTTGACATTTTGAGGATGGTGCCGAGCTGTGCAGGGGTTCTTCCGATTCTAATCCTGGAGCAAGCTTGAGCTTGGAGATGGGCGGTCCCGCGGCGGCGGTCGGCCGGCGGGGCTAAGACCAGCAGTGCCAGCCTGAGGCACCAACGGTCCCTTCCCCCCGCTATCGATAGCCGATATCGAATCATTGTCGCAAGTGCGGAGAAATCGACCACCTCAACTCAATTAGATTCCTTTGACTGCGGCCTGACTTTCAGCATTGCTTTTGGGAAAAACCAGCACACTCCCGTCCACCATGTCTGCTTCCACCCCTGAGTAAGTCAGCTATCACACTGCCGTATTTCCTCCTACCGATTGATCTGACTGGCGATGTGAAGATTACCCCGCGTGCGGGCATGTCTCTTCGACATGGACGGCCTCCTAATCGATTCAGAGGACATTTACACCGAGATCACCAACACGGTGCTGCAGGAGTACGGCAAACCGTTGCTTCCGTGGTCGGTCAAGGCCCAGCTCCAGGGCCGTCCTGCTCCTGAAGTAAGCCCCCCCCCCCGGGTCCCCTATCCCCAAACAACGACAACAAACAAAACTAACCCCCGGGCCCCCACGCCCCTCACCACCGAAAAGGCAGGCCGGATCTTCCACGACTGGGCGCAACTCCCCATCACGCAAGACGAATATATCGCCAAAATCACCGCGCTGCAACTAGCGCGCTTCCCCACCACCAAACCGCTCCCCGGCGTAGAACGCCTGCTGGAGACGCTAGTCGCCACGCAATCCACATCGCACCCCGTCCACATCGCCCTGGCCACCTCCTCGCACGCCAGAAACTTCCACCTCAAGTCCTCGCACCTGAGACAGTTGTTCGCGGCCTTCCCGGAGCACCAGCGCGTCCTGGGCGATGACCCGCGCATCGGTCGGGGGCGCGGGAAACCCCTTCCGGATATCTATCTGCTCGCGCTGGAGACGATTAATGCCGGGTTGCGGGAGAAGGGGGAGAGGGAGATTACGCCCGCGGAGTGTTTGGTGTTTGAGGATGCAGTGCCCGGTGTCGAGGCGGGGCGGCGCGCGGGGATGCAGGTCGTTTGGGTGCCGCATCCGGGGCTTTTGGAGGCGTATGCCGGGCGCGAGGAGGAGGTGTTGGCGGGGTTGACGGGGGAGCATAAGGAGGAGGAGAAGGGGGAGGCCGAGAAGGAGGCCGAGGAGTTGGTCGCGGAGCGCGAGGGCCAGCGCCAGGATAATGGGAATGGCACGCCGGGGAAGTTGGGCGATGGGTGGGGGGTGTTGTTGTCCTCGTTGGAGGATTTTCCCTACGAGCGGTTTGGGATCGTGCCTGCTTCTGCTCCTGGTGCTGGTGCTACTCAGTAGACTTTTTTCGGTGTTTGTTCTAACGAGTCGGATTCTGGTCGGATCTTAGCTGAAGAGCCAGACCCAGGGCCAGGGCCAGGGCCAGATCTACGCAGCTCCGCGGGGAGTGGAGTTTATCGGCTTTGCATTAAAGAATAACTGCATCAGAAACGAAGAAGCAACAAGAAGAAGAAACGAGTCTGCAATTTGAATTTGGGGAGCAGGAAGGAAAACACGAGCGAAAAAAAACGTACTTTCGTACCGGAAAGCCTTTGTCATCTGTACATCGCTGCCCATGGGCTTTGCATCATACACACAAACCCCTTGGCGCCATTCTCGCAGCGATCGTCCTTGCGTCCCTAAGGACCTTTACATCTGGGCATCGTCGCGGGTCTGTGTGCAAGACACAAAAGATAAAGATACAAAATTAGAGTAGAAATCACATTCAAACGGAGCACCTATCATTCCTCGTTCTCAAGCAGGTCCGTCCGTCCCATGGTGGATGGGTAGTCTTGAGCCAAACTTGCAGCTCCCACGGTTCTCAACTCTCCCTCCCATCCACCATGGGACAAACAGGCCTGTTCGTTTACAAAAGCAAAGAAGCAAAACAACAAAGCGCAACGCATAACCACCAAACTCCTAGAACCTGAGAAAAGCGAAAAGCAAGCAAGCACCACAAAAAGATAGCAACTGAGCAGCAAGCAACGAAACACCTGAAACCTGAGAAAAGCAAGAAAGCAACGCAAGAAGCAAAGACTAAATAGCAAGCAGCGAAACCGAAAAGCAAAGCAACGAAACCAAAGATCAAAACCACCTCCGCGAAAGCTGACGACAATCTCTCAGCAAATCCGAACGACAATCTCAGAAGCGAAACCTGAACCATAATCTCAAAAGCGTAAGTCCTCAAAATCCAAGCCGAAAGCAAAGACGACAAAGAGAAAAGGTAGAAATCCAAGCACCAAGATGTACTGGATTGTATGTATGTCAGTGTACCATATGTAAGCAGTAAGCTATTGCTTGCGCTTGCGCCGCTGAGCATCATCCTGAATGCCAGCGTCCGCCTGCTTGCGCTTGTTCCTCGCTTTGTTCATATCCTGAAAGACACCCTGAGCCCTAGCAAGCTCCGATGGGGCGGGCTCACAGAGGGCGGGTCGAGACGAAGGTGGAGCGGCCGGGTTCTGAGGGGCAGCACGTGTAGGCCTAGGGGTTTCAATCCATGCGCAGGAATCAGCGTCCCCTGTGTTCAGATAATCGACGAAGCCCTGTTGGTTGGGGATTATTGTAGGGCCAGCATTCCTTTTCTGCACATCGATCAAGGGGAGGGGAAGCATATAGTCCGGGAGAGGACCCAATGCATTCGTGCTGTTGTCGGAGTCGAACATGTTCGGTTTAGCGACGTCCTGGCCCAAGGCTTGCATCTGTCCGTGCTGGCGGGGTTGGATGGCGCGGCCGGCCGGCACGAGGCTGCTCTGCGCCATGATCATACGAGGATCGACGGTCTGCATGTTGCTCTGGGGAGGAGGTGCCATATTGCCCTGGTTGGGGCCGTTCAAATTCTGAACGTTTGGCTGAAGGCTGCTGCCCTGTGCCATGTTGCCCGGATCAACGTAAGCTGGGTGGATGGGCTGAGCACCGAAAGGAATCAATGGAAGATCACCTAGCCAGGTGTCCATGAGATCCTGGAGGTCTCCAGGCATGTCAGTGTGCGCAGTAGGGGCTGTAGCCATGAAGGGAGGGTTGGGGTCCGCGATGGGGAACAGGGGCTGCGCGTCCGCGTTGGCTCCAGCAGTATAAGAGGGTTCTCCCATGAGGTTTTCAAGATCGTCAAGACCCATTCCTGCGGGAGCAAAGGTGCCTGGGATGACATTCTGCACAGCGGACTTGGCCGCGGGTGCCTTGGGAGTGCTGCCGTTGACTTTGGTGGAGGCATTCCCCTTCTCCGAAGAAAGTCCCGGGGTCGCGAGAGGAGGCGAGGTAGGTGTGCTCTCCAAGTCAATGGACTCGCCTGCGGATTCTTCGTCGTCTGCGGAGTACTCTTCGTTGCCGGAGGCAGGTCCCTCTACCACAGGCGCCTGAGCCAAAGATTGAGCTCTAAGAGCCTCCTCTTGCTCCTTTTTCATGGCCGCCTGTGCCGCCTGAAGCAACTTGGCCTTCTTACCATTCAGGTGTCTATTATCGCGAACGCGGTGGATGCTGCCAAACGGGTCCTCCACGAGAGTATGCAGATACGGAGGATCGAGAAGGTGCTTGACCACAGCCTTGTGGTAGATCATGGCCTCCATCACCTTTGAAAGTCTTTCTTTGAAACTCAACCACCTGGGCGGAAGCGAGAACTTCAAAAACTCATAGAAGAGGAGATCTGGGCCCTGTGTATTACGCCGGATCAGTGCTTCCTGCGAGTCGGTCCGTCAGCAAGATTACAAAGGATCTGGCATTGCCCGAAGAAAGTCTTACCAGTAGGTCCCACGCGGCTTTTTCTAGCACATGCCTGGGGTGGAAGGCGTTGTCCCAGGTGCCAAAGGATCTCTTGCCGTCTTGTGCCCAAGTGTTGTCCATCATCAGATTAGTCAACGCCACCACGATAGCCTTCTTGGCCGCGTGCGTCTTGGGGATGGTATCGTCTTTCTCGATATCGGTATCGGTCTTGTGGTCGGCACGCGCCTCACTCGCGGAATCGTAGATGGTGGCCTGCGGTATGTCGCTGGTTGGGTTGAGAAGTTTGTCAATATCCGGAAAGTTTCCGGGACGGACTCCGCGGGAGTTGGGATCCAAGGAGTTCCAAAAGTTGCCCTTCTGAATCTTGACGCGTTTCGGCTCAGGAGTTGTGTCTGATTCAGACTCTGACCCTCTACCGCCTCTGCCGCCTCTGCCCCCTTTACCTTTCCCTTTTTTATTGTTCTTCTTGCGTTTGGGCCTCAGCGCCTCCAAGTCTTTCTTGTTAAGTTTGGATCTTTTCGCGGGGCGCTCAAGCTCAGCATGACGATCAGCCAGGGAGCTTGAGCTTTCAGCAGCGATGCCTGGGTGACTAGCTGCGGTGTTGCAATTGCTGGATGGAGATTTTAGCTCGTTGACTAATCTCTGCTTGATCTGATGTTATGGGGGAGTGGCATACCTCTGAACAACAGCGTTCGACGCCTCATGCTTACGCTTTCGGTTGTTTTCAACTGCCTGTCTGAGGATTGGGTTGTCCGAGGCGCGACCAAGAGTCTGAGGAGGAGTCAAGAACTGCAACTGCCCAGCTGATGCTGGGTTAGCCGCAGCCATGAAGGGGTTCGACGCCACGGAACTCCAAGTCCCAAATGGCAATTGCTCGGCATTGCTACCACTTGCGAATGTAGAAGCACCTGGAGCTCCGAAGAGATTAGAGTTTGTGTACAGCATACTACCAGGACTCTGCTGCCCGTAGTGGACTCCCACATTGTGTGAAGAGCCGCAAGCAACAGCCTGCTGCAATGCGTAGTTGGATCTCGGGTGGATCAGCTCTGATGAGGGCTGGGTGCCGAGTTCCATCGATGGGTTCTTGGAATCCATATCAGCAGGCCATTCCTCGGGGTCACTGACATCAGTGACGTCAACAATTCTAGCAGAGCTGCCCCAGTGGTTGGGAACTGGCTCATTGGGCTGCACGCGCTGAGCAATTTCGACGCTTTCGATACTGGTCGTCCCACTTCCAGTATGTTCAATATCGTTTGAGCTGCTTGTGGTGGATTCATCACCATTAGATCCAACATCGGCTAGGAGAACGACGTTAGTAAATGGCCACGCTGTGAGATTCAGGTGCAGCCAGTCATTACCTTGGACAAAAGCCATCAATACATCAAACCCCCTTTCATTCATAGATTCGCCCGCAGTGTTGGGCACATCGTTGTCAGGGGCAGCAGCCTCAAGACTTGCATTGATGAAGTTTTTATAGTCCCTGACGGGACCATCGAAGTTCAAAGGGTTGACATCGAGATCGCCGGGTCCATCCGCTCTGTGTGGTGTTAGCTTGGATTAATTCTTGTCCCAGAGATGTCGAAGACTTACTGCCGAGACAGTCCAGGAGGTCCAGAGGGTGTGTTGTTGTCACCATAAAGGTTGAGAGGGTCGATAGCAAGATTGTCACGTCCATCCGCCCTGCGTAGTGTTAGCCTGACTGGATCTTCTTTCCAAGATGTGTCGAAGACTTACTGCAGGAGGGATGTTCCAAGAGATCGAGAGGGTGTGGTGATTTCTTCGTTATCATCACTGTCGAGGTTGATGGGCTCGGTATCAAGATCTCCAGCTCCATCGACCCTGTGTAGTATTAGCCTGGATGGATCTTTTCTTGAGAGCTGTTAAGGACTTACTGCATGAGAGATGATCCAGAGGATCCTGAGAGTGTTGTGGTTTCGTTGTTGTTAGTGAGACTGCGACGCTGTCTGAGCTGTCTGGCAAGACTCAGACGCGCCTTGCAGCGTTTGAGGATCTTTGATCCCAGCATTTGAAAGTCACGCTCCTTAGAGCAGCGTCCTTTCTTCTGTATCCAAAGAGAGAGTTGATGATTTGAGATGAATGTTGAGGATACAAAGAAGGGGGAATGTCAGATAGTGAAGATATGTATTTCACTTTGTGAAGATGTGTTAGAGAGTGAAGACGTGTTCACACGCTCGAAGCAAGCAGGAGATATTGAAGAACAAGAGAAGGTATGTGCGAAGAGATGCAGATTCAAGATTATGTACTTGCAAAGGATGATAATCTTGAGGAAGTTAGAAGTGAAAGAGATGAAGATAGAGGGGTGGAAGGAAGGGGAGAGAGAATGGGGGGAAAGAAGAGGAGGGGATATTAAATAGTAAGTCTGAAATTGAAAAAGAAAAATTGGGGTGCGTCAGTGAATATCAGACCTTGAGGATTTTTAAATTATCAACACATTCACCCAATGTTTGAGGTTTCAGGTGTGATGGCTGATGGAAATTATCTCCCCTGGCAGAGCACTATTCACTTATAACACGACAGCTGCCACCAAAGAACGGTTGGAACAACGAAATAGGAAATCTTCATGCGGCCACTTTGACCTCTTGGGAGATTTTGTGCCAGTAACAGAGGTAGAGCCATAGTCCAATATTTTTTGTGTTGCAAAAGGGCTGACACGGCGCGTTCTTGATGGGCGAACTACAACTCCAGGTTGATAATTTTAGCTATCGGGGCCTAGCCTAGAAGCCTCTGGTAAAGGCCAGGCTGCAGTAGCTTCGAAGATGAATCAATGCTGAACTTCTCCTATATCCCTCCGGTCTGATACTCACATCAGCTCGTCCCGAAGCTGTGCCCCGACGAGGTAGGCTGATGTTGGCCTCGCGCGTCCTAGGTCGAAGGTTCAATTTGATGAGACTCTCTTTCATTAAAGCGCCTCAACTCGTGACTGAATCGGCATTGTTGCTATCGTTCAAGAACGGCATATACCAGACTTTCAGACTCCTGTCAGTCTGCGGATTAGGAGGCAGAATACCGTCGTCAGGTTCGTCCCCAAAGTATCTTTGCCCTGAAGTTGTTGCGGCCACATTGCCCAAAGGATGCACCACAGTACTGCTTACTGACTCTGCATGATGTTAGCAAAGAATCGCGCAACATGCTGTGGCAAGCAGCAACGTAGACTCACCGTCATGAACCTTCCACTCCCATTTCGGTTCCTGTGCTCCAGGATTATACGTGGGGTTCTGCCAAACTCGCATGCAACCATCGGTTCCTCCCGCCCAGATCTCATGCGAATCTCCTTGGCCCGTGGCCACCACGTCGATCTTCATGCGCTGATTGGTGAGAGCCTTGCGCCCTTGCAGCCACCCAAGCAGTTGGCCGGTCACTCGGATATCATAAACCAGGACGCCATCACTTTTGCGTTCAGCGACATAAAGATACCGTCCACAAGGACTCCATAAGAGTTGCGTGACCCCGCGCCCTCCTATGTGAGGATCTGCCTCTGTTTTCGCGATGCTAAACGTTCCCAGAGATTGCCCGCTTCCGTGCGAGTCATAGAGCCCGACGTGTCGCGTAAATGTCCCTGCAGCCAAAATGCCTTGTGCGCTTGTATCGACGGCCAGTGCAGAAACGATGCCCTTCATGCCAACACCACCGCCCACCACTTGTTTGCGCTTACTTGGTATGGTAGGCATCGTTGTGACAGGCCCGTCGTTTCCTGGTCGCGAAACATCAAACAGGCAGATGAGGCTATCGGATCCAGTGAGGAATTGGGTGCCTCCTAAACTAGGTGGATAGATCATTGAGTGGGGTGTAATGAAAGCCTCTGTCATGGGATTGACCAGCGAATAAGACGCCATCTGCATTGGCGCCAAAGCAGATGCCAGTCTAATTGGGTGATCTCTCACGGAGGAGAGAAACAAGGTGGTGGAAGGGTCTTGGAGGGAGAAAAAAGGGTACGTGGCCATAGCATATGTCGGTTCAGCAGAGGCCAGTGTCGAATAGGGTGAGAGGTGGATAGCCGATGATCTCTCTTCAAGTAAGTCTGGTGGCCTACAGAAGAACTGTCAATTCATGCGTTTGAGATTCTTGAGCCACGAGATACTGACAATATATAGCTCCTGATATGATGGTCTGCCGAGTCGGTCAATAACGTAGTTCCATCAGCGGACCTGTGAGATTCCATTAGCCGTGATCTCAAGTGGGAAGGTAAAGAACGTGTTCAGACCATTCGGCACTTTTGATGATATCTGAGTCAGAAAGCCTTGAAGCTGCTTGCGGCGTCCTCTCTATCCGACCATCTTGTTCCTGGCTCAAGGTACGTGTGTCCGTTCGGGGCTTCGGCTCCTCATTTCCCACCTTACTTGAGGTGGCCACACAAAGAGGCTGTGAGGTAGTGGACTCGTACTCAACCATCTTCCTGATATGAAGTTCAGAGCCTGCTTGGGATCGGGCTAGGATGTGCTCCTGATAGGATATAATCAAGCAGGACACATGCTAAGGGCCAAACAGGCGGTATCAATTATGAGTGACTCCAGTCCCAAGAGCTAAGTGATCCAATGCCTGTGAGGATTATAGCACAAGATAGAAGGAAATACTCGCTTCCAGCAATATATTGAATACGGAGGACGTGCTGGAAGAGAATAGATGGATGCAGTTTCCCTGGGTGGAATAAGGGTGGTAGAATTGCTAGTGGAGACTGGTGGCCTTCTCAAGAGAGACACGAAGCAGTGATGGAGTCAGAGCTATGAAGTATGGTCATTTCCGGGAGCTTGTACTATGTATGTCATGTATGTCAGTACCTTAGACTAGATAGTAAAAGTGAGGTCCTTCAGATGTGATATGGTTATCAGATTCCGATAAGCCAATAGTGAGCTGGGGCACGTCAGGGTCACGGGACCACGGAGAAACTTGCCGGAAGTGAGGTTAGCCCCCGAGCAACCATCGCTGACTTGATTGTTTTCCACTCACCAATCCATCACTACCTATCCATTGCGGCGCAGATTGGCAGGTACAAAGCGCCTTTTTCTTTGTTTGTGGATCATTTGTGCTTAAGCACTTCACATTCCGGTCTTTGCTGCCCCCTCACAGTGCGCAATGTTTTCCGCAAAGCCTGCAGGCACTGGCACAGGCCTGTCCCTCAACACCGGTTCATCCAACCTCTTGTAAGAACCTTCCATCCAACTGCGCGTGGTTCCTGCCTACGTTTGGTCACCAATATTTTGCAACTCGAAGAATCAGTTGCTTTATTTCATTATGGTCGCGAAATCTGACTCAGATGAGCTAACCAGAAATTGCACAAATAGTGGCGGCGGCACCAACACACAAACTAGCTCTGCGACCACACCAGCAACCACGAGCACTTCCGGTGGCCTCTTTGGCAACCTTGGAGCGAACAACGCAGCGCAGCCAAAACCAGCCGGGGGACTCTTTGGGAACTTGGGAGGCGGCACTACACAGCAATCGCAACCGTCCGGATCGAATATGTTTGGCGGCCAGCAGCAAACGAACAATGCCACCACTGGCGGCGGCTTATTTGGCAACACGACAACCACCACATCTCAGCCACAAACCGGAGGACTCTTTGGAGGAACCGCGGGCACTACCAACACTGCGCAAAGTGGAACTACTGGCGGGGGGTTGTTTGGCGGTCTAGGCGGTGCTGCGGCCACTCAAGCTCAATCCAAGCCGCTCTTCGGTGGCACTACAACTAACACTGCTACCACCGGAGGAGGTCTATTGTGAGTATCTACCTACTTTCTCAATCATCTCAAGTGGTAATGCATCCTAACAAAAAGCCTGTTATAGCGGTGGCGCCACTCAGAACACTGCACAGCAAACTCAAACTCAGAAACCTACACTTGGTCTGTTTGGCAACCAGAGCACCACTACACAACAACCCGCGCAGCTCGGTGGCACCACCGTGATTCCCGGCGTCAAGATCGACGTCAGCAACATCCTCCCCACAACCAAGTATGAGAGTTGTGCGGATGAGATCAAGGCGGAGCTTGAGAGGTTCGATAATTACGTGCTGGGTCAGATCAAATTATGCAACGAAGTCTCGAACATGATTCCTACAATCGAGACACAGGGACAAAGCATACCACACGACGTGGACTTCGTTCAAGGGAAGCTTGAGACCATGCAACATGCGCTGGAAAACGATGCCAGCGAAATTGATCAGCTGCGCAATCTTGTATCGCGCGATGCGGCCGAGGCCCAGGTTGCATTCCGCGCCATCGACACCCTGAAACTACCCCTACAATATCAGTCTACCGGTGGAGCTGGTTGGTGGACGTCTCAGAACCAGAAGACCGATGCACAGACACTTCGCTCGACGCGTAAGAACACTCTGGCCCTTCCCGATGATGTTGAGAGCGATCCTGCCACTGCCACCAGCGTGAACGGGGTGCCTGTCAACCTGGTGGATTACTTCTCCCAGCGTTCGGACGAGATGGGAGTTGTGCTTGAGCGCTACAGTCAAAGTTTGAAGGAGATCGAGGACCACCTTCACGGAGTTGAGTCTACTTTGGAACGACAGATTCATGACTTTGTGGCGGCGCGGAGTCGTGACGGGCCGGCGTCTGGAACTCCCAAGTCCATAGTCAACGATCTTGCTACTGTGCTTAGCGACGTGGAGGCTGGTATCTTAGGTGTTGCCGGGCGCCTCGGCGGCGTGACCGAGCAGGTGCAGGAAGTTGTCCTTGGTCCTCCTTCGGCCGCTGATGGCAGGCTCAACCTCTGAAGGACGGGTTCTACTTGATACGTACTTGCTCCGTCGGCGCTAAGTCTTTGTTTTTCTCATTGTACAATATAATGTTCTTGGCGACGGTGAAAAGCAAGGGATCGTGGCACTTTTGTCTGTTTGGGTTAGCATGGTTTTAATGAGGAGTTCTTTGTGTGATGCAATACAGGGCTAGGGGCGCCGCCGGCATATCATTATGGAATTTTAACATAAATTCAAGATTGATGATCTTTGGACTCGAAGGATCTAATGGCTGAATGGAAAGAATAGACTACGTGTCTTATCAAGAACAATTTCTCTAGATAAGCCTAATGAAAATTGCTATCTGGAGTCTGGAGTATTCATAGTAATATCGAGAAGATGAGGTCCGACGGAGGTCAAATTAAGGCCGGGCGGTGAGGGGGAAAACGCAAGAGGGCGGCAAACTGGCGTGATCGCACCTCATCCCCGGATCCACCTTCTTAGCCTCAATTCCCGTCTTATCAATCAGTCGGACTGGGTTTACTCACTCGGCATCAGTCGGCTTTGCTGGCTTGTCACCATGACATATACGACGATAGCTATTTCTAAATTTCTACGCTAGCTTGTGATACCGACTGTGAGTTCTGAAAATTGGTTGCATCATTCTATCTCGACACCCCATCCAAATGATCGCCTGTAGACTCACCCCAGCACCAGCACTAGGATCTATGATCTGCGAGGCGGAAGAACCCCCGAATGCCGCCCCCCCCTGAATCTAGAACAGCTCCTGCTTCTACCACCACCACAACATGAAACCAATGTCCACGTCTCCAAATGTCGGTGTGACGCTGCCAACTGATGACGCAGCGCATGTACGGGCTATCTGCTCCCTCACATTCACTTGTAATGTATGATCGCGGACAATTCTACTCAGTTGCAAGCTGGGTCGATGTCCTTCCCCACAGTTTCCAGTCGCGATGACGCGATCGGCGCCGAATCTGTGGCGCCCGGGGACTTCGGAACGTTTTCTGGAACCCGTCGTCCCACGGTTGCTTCATGGCTAGCTATCCTGCGGTCTCCGGCCTCTTGGGTGATTTTGCCCATCGATGGTGCAATACATTGTCCGTGAACATCAGCCCGGTTTGGAGATGAGTCTTACTGCTCCCAGCACGTCTGCTGACAATTAGGTCGGGGAATCAGGCTGCTCTACCTCATGCCTATATATGAGCAATAACTCCCAGCCTCTACCTGTATTCCATAATAAGCTCGTTGCAATACTATCATCTTGTGCACCTACACTTGCTTCAATTCTCAGTTGCATTTCATCTATAGAGTTCAGTTTCTGTCTACCCCTCCAAAATGGCGCCCTCGTTGGTGGACCTTGTTCCCTCCCAGGAGCTAAGATCCATCTCTATCACCAAGAAGCAAGACATCGCCGGCAACAAATTTGGCTACCAGCCGGGAAGGACGACTGTGGAAAACCACGAAAACTATGCGTACCAAGACTTGCTACCGTCCTTTCCTGACCTTCATTGGGCACCATTAGAAGAGATCCCTCATGAGGACAGAGGACTTCATGGCGACCCCGACTTCCGAAACCTTCTCCAGGATGCGACAGATGTTTTCGACTACACTCCGAAGATTGGCACGGAAGTTCATGGTGTCAATCTTGCCAAGTTGACAGACGCTCAGAAGGATGATCTCGCCCGTTTGGTTGCTGTTCGTGGCGTGGTCTTCTTCCGTGACCAGGAGGATCTGGATATTGACGCCCAGCGTGAACTGGGCAGGCATTTCGGCAAATTGCACAAGGTATGAAGCCAATTTCTCATGGTGTCTTGAAGCTCATCGATCTAATGATTGCTACCAGCATGCCACCACAGCCGTTCCTAGAAAGGAAGGATTGGAGGATATTCATGTCGTCTATGCAGGCGATAATGCTGCCGACCAACGAGCAATGTTCACGCCTAGCTTTCTGTGGCACTCAGATGTATGTGACACGCATTGCCTTTGCGTATCAGTCGCAGCCTACTGACTGGTAACAGGTGACCTATGAAGTTCAACCCCCCTCGTACACATCCCTCAAGGTTCTGACTGGCCCCCCTCGGGGAGGCGGTGGAGATACCCTCTGGACATCTCAATATGCGGCATACGACGCACTTTCATCTCATATGCAGACATATCTCAAGGGCTTGACAGCCCTTCACTCTGCCGAAATGCAGGCTTCCGACTCCAGAGCCCTTGGACGCACGGTTCGTCGTGAGCCTGTCACGACAGAACATCCATTGATTAGGACAAACCCTGTCACCGGTTGGAACAGTCTCTTCTTCAACCCTGGCTTCGTGACGAAGATTGTCGGGATCCCCAAGACTGAAAGTGATGCTATCATCCGCTACCTCACTGAAGTGATTGCAACAACACAAGAGATGCACGCTCGCTTCCAATGGAACAAGAATGACGTGGCCATTTGGGACAACCGAACTACAGTAAGTAGCCGCTCCCCTGGTTTGGTGACTGCACCTGTTTGCTAACGATTTCGTCAGAATCACTCAGCTTCTTATGGGTTTGCCCCTCACCGTCGCCATGCGGTCCGAGTTGCATCCCATGCTGAGCGCCCGGTCTTGGACCCAGCAGGGAAATCGCAGGAGGAGGAGTACATTTCTCGTTACAACCTCCCTCCTGTCAACAAGGATGGATCCCGTCAGTCAAACTACAACGACTGAAGAAGATTGTCATTCAGGGTGCTTTCAACTTATAAATATTGTGGAGCGCTAGCGTTACTTCGTTTGCTATTTGTTATTGTCAGACAATGACTGCAAGAGCGGGCTCTTTATGCAGACTTGGAAGATTGGGGTCATTGCAATTCTAGCGTCTTGATCCACAGGATCCAGCGAGTTTATCATGTCATTGAAGCCGGAGCGTTGCATGGGCTTTTGTCATTTACTATGAGCGTTTGCGGGGCACGTGGCTAGGGACCATCCTCCTTCCTCAACCATTTACCGATACCAACTAATTCAATCATTACCATTGATTTCTTCTTGAATCATCATCCTGATGGCCCATTCCATAAGCTCTTCAGTGCTACAATATGCCCGGCTCCATGGGATAGCAATGAGCTATACAGACGTGGATCCTCTTGAGCATGTACAAGAGAGCTGTATCCCGATTCCTAATCTTCACTCAAACTCCCTTTCTTGGTTCCGAGACCACCTTCACAAGGTGCACACATCGCTCGAACAGAGTCTTCATCATGAGAAGCTAGACCTCAAGAAAGAAGGCGCACTTTTCCTTGCATCCGCTCTTCGAAAGATCGAACCCACCGACATCGAAAGTCACTGGGAGAGTATCCTGCCGCCATGGGACCGTTACGATAAGCTGAAAGTGGAGACACCACTCTTTATCAATGACGAGGAGAAAAGTCTGCCCCCCGGTGCAAGACCTGTCTGTTACGGCCTCGACGATTTCCAGCTCAGTCCATTGGAGGACGATATCAGCGATCGCGATGTGGTTTTAGCGAGAGGCTTGGTACATGGGATAGACACTTCCGGCGAGAACATCCGAGAGGAGAAGCTTGACTGTACGAAGGATGCATTGCGTTTGATACAGGAGGCTCGAAAGAGCTTTGATCTTCGCTTTGAGAACCTCGAGGATCTAATACGGAATGAATTGGACTTAAAGGAGGCGGGTGTACATTTCTCGTCTTGCTCGCATTGGTCGCATGCTGACTTCTACAGGTTCAAGCTTCACGTTCACGTTCGAACTCCCCTGACCTTGTCCCTGCCAGCGATGACCAGTTCTCTGACGAGGAGGAGCCGTTTCCTACGGTTGACGAGACACAATCCAACTTCAGCGTGGCTGCAAAAGATAATGACGAAGTCTTGGAGGATCCATGGGGCGTGGTTGTGAGGGTCAACGATTCAACACATGGCCGGCTGGATAATACCCTACTCGTGGGAAAGGAATCTGATCAGCCAAACTTGCACCAGGCTCACACCTCACCGCGGATTAATGATGATGTCGAGCTATCTGGCTGTGTGGTGACTCAATCTAACTTACTGCAGGACTGCGAACTCTCTTCCTATGCCAGTCATCTCTCGATAGGCGATGCGAATTCCAGCCATGGTGTCTCTCAAGTGACGTATACTGAGATGACTGATAATATTGCTACATCTGACTGTATTCCTTTCAACGAAAGGGTCTTTACCATCAATACTCCTCCAACTAGCGACGTGATTGTTCAGGAGCTCATCCAGTCCCAGACGACGCTCACAGACTGCAATCATATGCAACAATCGCAATCGAGCACGGTGGGGCGCACATCGCTCTGCAAGAGCTCATGTCTACCACAGAAGCGTAAATCCAGTAATGGTGGAACACCCTCGAAAACGAGATCTCCAATGGGAAGACATAATAAGCTGTCTTCAGGCAATAAAAGACGTGAGACTCTGACTTTAGTGGCCTCCTCGAACCTAGGCTCCTTGGTCTCGTTTATGCAGGTCAGGGGACTGAGTACGAAAAAGTCCGTGACGCAAATTCCCAATTTCGGTTCGCCAGCTCTCAAAGCAAAGGCTAAGAAAAGAGCACCGGTCACTCGACTGCCCGAGGAAAAGGCGTCCATCTCCTTGGATCTCGCTCAGCAAGTCCCTCTTGCTCCACACAATCTCTCGGGTGGCTTGAGATTGAATCTATCAACCCGACTTCTCAGAAGTCACCCAGATGTTGTGCGTCACCTCGAGGCGAGCAATCTTGTCAACTCAATAGGCTATATTGATCCTGAAGAAGACATATCAGCCACTGCGTCGAGTAATGGACACTCATCTCAACGCGCCGACATAATTATAGCTGCCACGACGGCACTCATACTAACGAACCCCCAAGCCACCACGCAGCTGTTCTTACCAGGACATAAATCCAACATACCGGACATCGCTGGCAGCATCAACTCCCCTCTTCGCGAAAGGGTCTTCTTGCTTGCAAGGAAGTATGAGGTCCTGTATGTTCTCATATGCCACAGCAACCCAGCATACAACTCTACTGGAGATCTCTTGCTACACAAGAACATCCTGAAATCTGTGACATCTTTCATCGCTTTCTGTGACTCCCTTTCGGGCTTCTCTAGCGTTCAGTCATTATTGATCCCAGCATTTCCTGATACTATTGTTAGGTGGGTTTCTGCTATTGCAGGCAAATGCCAAGCCTGATATACTGCTTGATGCGTGAGAGCTATTCTGTATAGGTCATACTGTCTTGTCCTAGTCATATAATTGCACAATCTCGGACCTTGTTCAACACGGAAAATTAGAGGAAGAGACCCTGAAACAGTAGTCACATGTTGCAGAATGTTGTTCCGATGTGAGTCATATTGTTCTTTGGTTAGGCAAGTAGACAACGCTGGAGATCCTGGCTGCCTTTGCCCGCTGTCCCAAACCCAGTTGCTATGATCAACTTGTGAATATAATTTCAAAATAGTTGATCTCTCATCGGCGCTCAGGAAATTATGACTCTGGGGAATGGGGGGTCACTCAATATCTGTTACTCCGTGCCAAACTACGTATTACTGAATAAGAACAACCTATCAATGCATCGAGCCCAAGGTTTAGATTTCTAGACTGGAATGCAACAGCTCAACCGTGCGCTTTCGACATAGACCATGTATACATATCCCTGCATACGGCCCCCAAGCAATAAAACCATCCGTATGATTAGCAAAGTACATATATACACAAGCACAAGATACCACCTCCCTCCCTTTCCTCTAAGACGCCGGACGTAAAGTCTAAATCAGCCTGCATGCGTGACACAAGCCAAAGCAACTTGCCATAAATAACAAACGAACCAGGAAGATCCGGTCCTACCACACCAAACCTTGGTTCAACCTCCCACTATCCCTTACTAGCTACGCTACCGACTCTCCGCGAAGGGGGTTCCTGTAATGCAAGCGTAAGGCTACAGCCCCGTACTGTCGAAGTATGGCCTCACGCCCGGAGGCTCCCCGGGATAGCCGGCATGGCGCAGATGTCCTCCGTCGCCTCTGGACAGTAAGTCCCCGTCCCTGTCTCTGTCTCTGGCTGTAGGGGCACCGACAAGAAAAGGATTATTCGGTCCGTCGTCGGCTCCGAACCGAGCGAGCAGCACGCGGTCGTGCGGGAGTGTCGAGGACCCGGTCGTTGGGCGCGTGCTGGAGCCGCCGCCTCCACTTCCGCCACCTAGCCGGGTGCGGTGCTGTGTACTCGTCGTCTCGCCTTCGAGGCTCAGAGTTAGCATCCTCTTTCATGAGGGAAGTGGAGTCTCTGCATGAACGTACGATGTCGCGGGTCCCCCAGTAACCGCCCCGGCGGCAGCGGCGGAGGCATAGCCACCGCATCCGCTTTCTGTTTCTGCTTCTGGTTCTGCGTCGCCGCCCCCTTCGAGCTTCCCGTTCCACTGCGTTGGTGGCGATGCAGCTGTTCCACGCCCTCGCGGTCGACCGGGTACCGGTGCAATGGCGTCTGCGGGGGCATCGAGGATCCCAGTGTCGTGTGCGTGTGCGTGAGCATGTGCATTGGGGGAGCTGCACCTGCACCTGCACCAACACCAGCACCAGAAGCTGTAGCGGTAGCGATAGCGGTAAACGGCGACGGTGGCAGTACGTTACTCTGGTGTGACTGTGACTGCGCCAGAGGAGGAAGAGGCAGCGAGTTCAAGGTCTGATGGACCGAATCCGTCGCCGCGGTCTGCATCTGCGACTTCATGGCGCGCGATTTCAACAAGTTGTACAGGTTGGTGATCTGCGTGAAGCGGGTGCATTTCTCGCGATACATGTCGACGAGTTCTTGGTTCTTTTTGCGGAGTTGGTCTTGCGTCGTTTGCATGTCTGGTTGCCAAGGGAAGTGTTGGTATCTGGTTTTGGTTCTGAAGGGTGCTGGGTGCTTGGGAGCTGAGAGGGGCGATCAAGGACTCACCGGATATTCGTGCTTGTAGGGCGGAGATCTCCGAGTTGGCGTTGTGGATGACCTTGTCCATCTGGGTGTTGAGGTTGGTGTATTTCTCGGTGAGGGTCTTTCCGAGGAACTCTTGGTAGAAGCTGGAAGAGTGGTCTGTTAGCGATGGGGTCTCGAGGAGGTTCTTACGTGCTGGGGCGAGGAACAACGCGCACACTTCCTGGGTGGTCTGGTACGTCCAGAACAGCAGGGCCCGGCCGGCGCATTCCATGATCGTGTTCGGGTCCAGTCCGCTGAGCACGCTCGTCTTGTAGTCTTCGGACGGGTTGAGGATGGTGGCTACCGCATCGTCTGGATTGACGAGGATGGTTTGGCAGGCTGGGCAACGACGGTCGACTGACGTTGGATGTGAAAGACCTAGATTGCTGGCACATTGAAGACAGAAGATATGTCTTCGGAAGGGTCAGTGACCGAGGTGGAAAGTTGAAGGCGCTGCTGGGCTTACGAGCAGGTCGTGACGACTGCTCTCTCTTTCAGCTGAGCTCGACATTTGAGGGAATTGCATCGAAGGTAGAAATCCATTGTTGATAGTTCTCGAGTTCCTTAATGGTGTAGCTTGACGAATGGTGAGAGTGATTGTATGAAGCTGCGCGAAAGCTAGATCAGGAAGGCATTCGAATGTACGCAGTATTGAACAGCCACGAAAGTGTCAAAAATGGTAAATATCTCAGCTTCGACTATATACTGCCAAAGGGTTTATACGGGTATCTTAGCATACATAACATTTCTCGTTCTCTAGCGCATCCCCTATAAGTCTACGGTCTTCCCTGCGCCAGCACTCTAGAAGAAGAACGTATTTCCGGACGCGTCGCGCCTTGTCGTCCGCATCTTCTCCTCAAACTCGGGCCCGGGCTCGTATTCCCGCCACAAGCTCGCAGGGAAAATGTGCTTGTTGCGCTCATACCAGCGTCTATCGACCACCTTCGTCAGGGTGGGATCCTTATCAGCTCCTTCCAGCTGGTCGCTATTCGGCTTTGCGAGAGGATCGTCGGATCGGGAAGCCGGCGGCGGCTTGTTAGAATAATCGAATAACAGGCCACCGGCGCTCGTGTAGCTGGGGACACTGTTGGCGATAAAATAGTATAGCTCGTAGTGCTGCATTAATCAGCCAATGCCCCATATTAACTCAGGTTGTGGCAAGTACTCACATGTGGGACAATAACCTCGCCCTTAACCAGCATCAAGTCATCGACACTAATTCTAGCCCATTCGCGCCGGTTGTCTTTGCGCGCTTTGGATGCTTGGCTGTTCCCACTGACACCGAGCTCGGCTCCAACCTTCCGGCATCTGTCGAGGAACAGCCATACAGGATCGCCCTTCTTGACCTTCACTGTCCCAGCGGGTATATTCGTTCCATCGTAGAAGATAAAGGGAATCAATATCTCGGTGTTCTTCACAGCTTCCTGCATAGCCAGGAACTCCCGACGGAGAGCATCCCGCGCCTCTGCCTCGGCCTTCAAGGCCGCTTTTGTCATCGCCTTCGGTGGAGGAGGAGCATTTGGGTTGGGTGTGATGCGCCGTGATGGTGGCGCAGAGCCATCGTCGACCGGAGTCCTCGAGGCGGACCGCGGAACGCTGGAATCGCGTGGGGTGCCGGCAGCGCTGTCGGCCTCTTCCTCTTCCTCCTCGTCGTTGTGGAATGAGAGCTTGCTCTTCACGAGCGGCTTCTTCTTTTTCTTCTTGGGAGGAGCGTCGCTTCGGGGAGTCGGGCTGCTATTGCTTTGCGATCAGCATCGTGGGGCAGCAGCGGAATAGTGTCAAGCCTTGACTTACCCGTCAGTGATGTCGCCCGTAGAAGGAGTGGCACTTCTCGAAATACCGGCTGAGCTTCTCCCAAGCGACTTATCGTGGGCCTCTCGTTCCTTTTGCTCGAGGACCTCTGCGCGGCGTTTGCGGAAATCGGAGAGGTGCACCAGACCAACCGTCTGCGACTTGAGTAAGTCTTCGGCAGAGACGGTCTGGCTTGTGAAAGATCTCGGAGTCGAGCTATGGCTGGGCTGTTCTGAGTTCGACATATTGTCGAGAGGATCTGGAGTTCTATCTAGGATAGAGTGTAAGTGGCTTGCCGTTCTTCCGCACATGCGAACGACTGACGTACCGGCACGTGATTGGGGACAGACTCCGGATCGAGGTGGTCGAATTGATGCTTGTAAGCCAACAATGTCAATGGCACGGTAAGACCTGGACCAAGACAACAAGCTTTCGATAGCTTCTTTTCTTTGACCTCAGAATCACTTGACCAGGGGAGGGGTTCTTTCATTGACGTTGAAGGTTGGCCGCTCGTCGCGAGCAAACAAAGCCAGAGCAAACAGGCCAAACCCGCCGCCCGTGCGATCTCCGCAGGATCGCCGTAAACAGGATCGCATTTCCGCTACGCCTCGTTACATCCGTTCACTCCATACCTACTGCAGCTCTTCAAGATGATGGACGACGAAGACGACGATTTCTACGATCCCGCCGACACGGTGCCGGCTCCTCAACATCAGAATGGTGCCCAGAATCCTCCTGCGGATAACTATGGAGAGGAATATGAGGAAGAAGAGATAGAGGTGGATGAAGATGATGTATGGTTACGAAACCGCTGCACCTACATTTGGCCGTCTAACTCAAGCTCTAGGATGACTTCAATATCATTACTGAAGCGCCCGCTGATGCGCCACCTCCAGAAGCGTGAGTCGAGCTCCGGGAATAGCTCCTACAGCTTGTCTAACCCTCGAACAGCCCACATCCTCGTCATGCCAATCTACGCGCAGAATCACAACGCCCCTTGTCCGCAGAGTCTCCTCCTGCTCCAAAACCCTCCACCCCCGCTCTCGCCACGCCCAAAGCTGAATCCGCCACGCCCGTGCCTGTCAGCGCAAGACCTGCTGTACCGACTGCACCGCAAAGGCCGGGCTCTTCATATCCTCCAGTCCAAGTGTCCACGATCGACGTTCATGCCAACCCCGTCCACCCGACGACGGGCAAGCCCATCCTACTGACTGACATGGATGCGGACTTTCCGGAAGACGACAAGCCATGGCGGCGACCGGGGTCCGATATCACAGACTACTTCAACTACGGGTTTGATGAGTTCACATGGGCCAGTTACGTGTTGAAACAGCAGGAGCTGCGCAAGGATATTGGGGACCAGAAGAGACAATTGGACGACATGCAGGCTTTCCTGGGGATGGGCATGCCGCCGATGGGCGGTGGTCCCCCGGGGCCAGGCGTTCCTCCAAGCAGCGCGGCCCCTCCGATGCCCGGTATGCCCGGTATGCCGGACATGTCGCCGGATATGATGCAGGGAATCCTCACGAGCATGATGGCCCAAGGCCTGGATCCCGCCTCGATGGATCCCATGACGTTCATGCAACATGCTCAGGCGCTCATGGGCGGCCAATCCGGCGCAGGCGGCGGACAGCAGGGTCAACCTGGATTTGGGGGTCAAGGTGGGGGTCAACAGCAGATGGGTTACGGAGGAGGTTTCGGAGGAGGTGGCCGTGGACGGGGCAGAAGATGGTAGTTAGAGTTAGGTTTCATCAAAGTATCAGTCACCTTGTTACGATAACGGCTATGTGGGGGGGTGGCATTTTGGATGGTTAGATGGTAGGATGGAGTTAGAAAATTCCCAAGGTATATGCAATCCATTAATTAAAAAGAACCGAGAAGGTTTGACAGGTCCGGAGTCGGTCTGGCCGGCTCGGGAAAGGGAGCGAGCGGGTAATGATGTGCCAGACTGGAGATGCTGGGGTAGTAGGTATACCGGGTGGCTGTCAAGTATATGGCTGTCCACACGAGACGATATGCCGTATTCTGTCTTTCAATGTTCAGTGGTAAGCTCTCTGGGGTGACCGGAAAACAAAGAACAGCTTGTAGGAAAAGTCGTGGTGGTGAATCCCTCGGCAGAAAGCAAGAGAGGATGGAAGCTTGTTGGTCTTGGCATTCTGGAAATTTCTCGCGACTCCAGATCAGATCTTCGTTTCCCCGGCCGGCCGCTTCCTCTTCTTCTTCTTTTGCTCTCCACGCCTTGACTCACTTCCATCCTTAATCACTCCTCTTTGATTTGCTCGCTGCCTCTTGTGCTCAGCACCCTCAGTCACATCACCATCACAATGGTAGGTTATTTACCTCCGTCTTTGTTACTTGGAGCTCCGCTTGAACTTTTCCGCCTGTTTCCACCGGATTGCCAATTCCTCTGAGCATCACCACCATCGAGCTTAAACTCTTGAACCTGTTGCTAATCTGTTATTTGTCCACACAGTCTTTCCTCCGCAACGTCAAGAACCTTGCCCCCCTCCTGGACCGCGTCCTGGTCCAGCGTGTCAAGCCCGAGGCCAAGACCGCCTCCGGTATCTTCCTCCCCGAGAGCAGCGTCAAGGAGCAGAACGAGGCCAAGGTCCTCGCCGTTGGCCCCGGTGCCGTCGACCGTAACGGCCAGCGCATCCCCATGGGCGTTGCTGTCGGCGACCGTGTCCTCATCCCCCAGGTACGTTTCGGACATCGCCTGGTTTGGCAGAAGGAGCATCGTTTTTGTCAGCTCCAGCACTTTTCCGGACATGGCTAACAAGGACTCTGGTATAGTTCGGTGGTAGCCCCATCAAGGTTGGTGAGGAGGAGTACACCCTCTACCGCGACTCTGAGTACGTACACCCCTTCATTCATCAACTGCTGCCAACCTGGATTCTGACCGTATAACTCTAGGATCCTCGCCAAGATCAACGAGTAAATTGGACTAGCCAAATAATGTCCAACGTCTTGTTGTCTTTTGTTTTTCCGGATGTTCGAAGCCGCCTATAACGTGTATTATACCTCCCTTTTTCCGCAAAATCATGAGCCTCAGCCATTCAGAGCTTCCTCATTCGAAAAAAACTCTCCCCATTAAAAAAGGCCCGATAACACGCTATGGAGAGCTTTCCCTAGTGTTAGCGTTGGGTCCTATCACCTGTTCTGCTGCGCATTTATTGCCGAAAGCGTGAAATGACTGTTTTTGCATACCACACGATGTACTTTTGTCGCCTGTCAACTACTTTGCTCTCGTCGTGTCTGGAGGTGTTTGTCGCGATGAGAGTATGTAATACGATATGATAATCTCCTCTCTTTTGATTGCCTGGTTTTGTTTTCTTGGGGCGTCTTGTTGGTGTCGTAGCTCCCAGCATCAGATCCGTCTTAGTCGGGCACTGGTTCAATCACTCGTCGCCCGCAGGTATCGCATTAGCCTTCCATGAGACGCTACACGATGCCTGTAGAGGAAGGCATGTCGTGCACAATCGTACGTCCATATTTACGGTCCCGAATATCCAGAAACCAACAGCTACTCTCGTGTGAAACATATAGCTATCCGATTATGTAGGAATCCGGGTCAGCAGCAAGGACTTTACGAACATGACATTTATGCATCACGTCCTGTCCAAGCCTGCAGTGTGAGAACGAGTTTAGGGTGCGGCTGTGTAACAGCAACACTGGAGTGTATGTCATCAACCAATAAATCATGGTGTATTGCCAGGACGAAGTCGTCCGCAATGGAGGTCACGAGGACGGACTCGGTGGTATAGCTCCTTAGGGGTCAGTCCGCACTGGTCCGAGTCAGCACATGTACTTAATTAGAGCATATGGCCAGATTATCTTGGGATGACACTGTCGTTATGGAGGTGGCTGCTCCCTGTTCTCCAGAAGCTTGGTCGTTGCGGCCGATGGAAGGATGGGTGTTGATCGGCTCTACATTTTCAGGTCAAGACATGCATAAAGTATAGTGGTGTCTCTATGAGACTGTGCTGCTCAGAGAAAGTATGATTTATTCTTAAGGATGTGACAGTTTCGTATCTTGACTACAAGTATTCGAATAAGCGTTTGGTTGAGGAGGTAGGAGAAGGGATTAGGTAGTGGTTGTTTGGTTGTTTATTTCCTACTCAACTTCGATACTCCGTAGGAGATATATAGAGGACAACGGATGTGTTTTCAACAACAAGGTTTGGCCTAGTATACGAGCGTGCTCAAGAAAGAATGCATTAGGAGTCAAAACGCATATCGATTTACGCAAGAGAGAAGATGAAGGAAAGACGAAAGGAAGAAGTATCAGCTTCACATCTCCCTCCTGCCTCGTCAACGTCAACAGCATTAACCGAAGGTCAAGCACAGACAAGAAAGTATGTAAGTTACCATTTCAAACGCACTACAACAACCAGAACCCAACCCAACCCAACCCAACCCTCTACCTGATAATGTCAGTAACCACCGCAATTCCCACAAACCCCCAGACATCCATCAGCAGTAATCCTCCCAGCCCAGTTAGTGCCAGTGTATATACGCTACCCAAATGCAAACCAAACAAAACTGCCCTTCTACCCCCCCCGGCCGTTCCCCAAGATAGCTACCTAAGAAAGGAAGCCCTGCCCTTCCCTTCCATCCATCCGCCTCCCGCCTCGGACGTACGGAACCTCCTCCTCGTTTCCCACCGCACCACCACCCCTGCCCGAAAATCTTTTCCCCCCTCCCCTTTATCTTGATCTTGATCTTGATCTTGATCTCTGCAGAACAGATCTCCTAACCATGTGGATCTGGGAAGCCCTTCCCTTCCCTCGGATCTTATCTTGTGGTACGAGGGGGAGGTGTAGTTTATTTGGACGTCTGTTTGGGGCGTTACATACGGGTTTCGTATTGAATTTAACTTACCGTACACAAGACACCATATGCAGACATGGGCACATGGTATTGTACATTATGGCTTTTCCACACTGACTTACACTCTACTATACTTTCAGTTCAAACTGAGCATTGATTGTTGGGCTCGGTAATTTGGTTGGTTGGTTGGTTGCTTGGTGAGGGGAGCTGTACGTACTGTACAGCACACACATGCGTTGCTGCGCTGCGCTGCACATGTGTCTAATGTGTTCTTTGTGTCCTGTGCACTGTGCTATGTGCATGTGGATTGTGCACACCGCATGTCGGGAAAAATAAACACAGGGGACAAATGCAGAGCCACACCACACCGCATGTAGGGGAAAGAAATAAAGGGGAACCTGCTTTGCGCGATTGTTGGAATGGATGGCTAAATGTACAACACATATTGCAGCAGCAGCAGCAGCAGCAGCAGCAGCAGCAGCGTTTTTGCATCGGGCTGGTTTCTCCTGTCTACTTCATCAGTTGGAGGGTTGACAAGTCATCCTTGCATGCGCGGGTGGACCGCGCTGCCTTGCTGTCTTTTCGTTCTTTCGAATCTACTCTCCCCTAGTTCATGCGGGGATGGCTCTAATCGCGGATACCAGCCAAAACATTTATCTGGCCTACAGGCCTACAGACCAAAGACAACAGATCGTATCGTTGTATTCACGACTATCACAAGTCTAAGCAGTGTTTCAACTCCAGAACGGATCAAGTCCCGTCTTTCCCTTGCACTTGAAATCAAAGCAAAGCCGGGGAATCCATGTGTGTGTGTGCCGTCAAGAAAAGAAAAAAAATGAGTAAAATAACAGAATGACGTAAAACAACCGTATCATGCCATGCATTCAGAAAATAGAATCTCATAGGAAGATTAAATTAAAAATAGAAAGGGGAATCAGCAGAAAAGACCCTCCTTTTCCTCTTACGCGGAACCGAACTCCTTGATGTCGGTCTTCTTGCCGAGAAGGGCAAGGGGCACGATACCACTGACGTGCATCTCGGGGCCGTAGACGTGCATGTTGAGGCCAAGCTCCTCACCAACGGCCTTGATGTTCTTGAGACCCTCCTGGTAGTTGGGACCGGCACGACGAACCCAGATCTGGACCTTGTGCTCGTTGAGGACGGGGGCAACCTCGCGGAGGGCGCGGATGACACCCTTGAAGGTCGAGGCAACGTTGGTGAAGTTGGCAATACCACCACCGATGAAGAGAACCTTGCCCTCAGGGTGGATGGGGGCACGCAGCATCAGGTCGAGGATGGTGCGGGCGTAGTTGAAGGTCTGAGTCTCGGTGGGAGCACCGGAGTACTCACCGTAGTTGGCGAGCTCGCTGACGAAGCCAGCAGAGGCAATGGCATCGGCGTACACGACCGAGGCACCACCACCAGCAACCAGGGTCCAGACACGGCCGTTGGCGTTGAGGACGGTCAGCTTGAGGGAGGCACCGGTCTTGGCGTCCATCTCGGAGATGAACTTCTCCTCCTTGCTCAGCTCACGACCGAAAGGAGCGGGGAACTCCATAGGAGGGCCAGCATCGATGTTGACCTTCTCGCTCTTGATGACGGGCATGCCCAGGTTGGCGGGGCTGCGGGCAATGGCCCACTTGGTACCGCACTCGAACTCAGCGGTCTGGTCGAGCTTGGCAGCCAGATCGAGGAAGTGGACTTCAGCGGAGGTGGCATCCGCGTTGGGGATGACAACCAGAGGGTTGATCTCAAGGTAGGTGAACTGGCAGTCAACGTAGACGGCGTAGAGGCGGGAGATGAAGTCAACGAGGACGTTGTGGACACCCTTGGGGACCTTGCTCAGGAGAGTAGCAGCGATCTCCTCGTTGGAGGGGTAGTTCTTGAGGTTGACGGGGATGAGGAGCTTCTCAGCCTTAGCATCGACATCACCGACATCGACACCACCCTCGTGAGTGAAGAGGATCCAGTCACCCTGTTCTGAATTAGCATTCGAGCGGAAAGTGGCAAGCGGTTTGCGATCTTCCTTACCTCACGCACGGAGTGGATGTTGATGTAGTACTCAGTCTCCTGGGGATGAGGCACGAAAGGCTCAACCAGGAACTGACGGAGGTAGCCGGCCACGGTCTCGACCTGGATCTCCTTGCCAGCGCGAGCCTCAATCCACTCCCGAGCCTCAGCCCAGGTCTTGTTCAGGGCCAACAGGCCGCTCTTTCCACGTCTCTTGATCAATTGATCGGGCTTGGCCACGAACTTGGAGCCGGGGGTCAACAGCCACGGGTAGAGGACCTCAGCCTGGTCGAGAACGTCCTTGACGGACTCATCTTCGGGGAAGTAGAGGGAGGCGAGCTTGGGGGGAGGGTTGTGCGTAGAGGAAGGAGGGAGAGGAGTCGGCTTGATGACGGGGGCACGAGTAAGGTGGTAGTTGAGGATGGCCTTGCCATCAGCCTCGAGAATCGATTTGGCGGACATGATGATCGTAAGAGGAGGAGAGGGAGGATAGAATTAAACTGAAGTATGTGTAAGAGGCGGAGAACAACAACAACAACAACAATGGAGGATATAGAGGGTGTATATGGGAAGTCAACCCCGGATTAAGAATATACCTGATAATTGAGAGAGTAGGAGGAAGAGTCAAGAGGAAGAGGAGGAAGAGAGGAAGACCAGAGATATTTTTCGTAGGTTGGTAGGAATTATTACCAGATGCGAGATGTCACTGGAAATAGATCGGAGGGAGGAGGGGTGGGTTGAGGAGAGAGTAGGAGGGGGGGGGAGAGGGGACGTTCAAGTGGGCAAAAGAGGAAGAGTAAAAAAGAGGTCGGAGAGTGAGAAAATGAGAAAAAAAGGAACCAAACGGAAGCTGAGACGGGCGCCGATTAGTCGACTCGGTGATGATACTGAGTATGCAGTGTCCGATGAAAGGAGCAGGTGGAATAATAAACGGGGTGGTGGGTAGGGAATTTTTTCTGGACTGGCCGCCGCCAGAGTAGGAATTGGGATGGATAAGTGCATGGAATGATCGTCTCAAACGGACTTACCTCTGGTTTCCTGGAGCCAAAATGACCAAAACACGGTGATACCAGACGCTATTGTGGCCGATACCAGGAATACCAGGGGAGTTGTGGAAGTTGTTGAGATGCAGTGGAGCCTCCGTAAGAAAAAGCGGGCCGGGCGAAGACCCAGCCTGTCATCCTGGATTGGCGGGCGTTGGGGATCCTCGGGAGGGTCAATCCAGAGTATGAGAGTATTTTAGTCCCGCAGTATCTGCCCTACGCTGTAGCCTCAATACCACGCCCCCTAGAACTATGCAAAAGAATTTGTTGGGTACGTGGTCAATTTGTTGGCCATAGTCTCGTACGAAACCGGAAGCAATTGCAGCACGGTGGCCAGATGATTTCCCCAGAAAATGGTAGAGAACATCAGAACATCGAAACATAGAGAGAATGAGAATTCTACAATATACTGTACGGAGTACTGTCAATCGATATTGACATGCTGTACGATGATGTAATCAATTTCCCTAGGCTCTCACGGCCACGCTTCTGTTTCCCCAGTTTCTTCAAAAGTCCGCCGCGGTCGGTACCTGAGGCTGCCACTGGCTCCGATAAGATAAGGAAAGACTGCCGACTACGATGGAAATGAGGGGCAGAGCCGACAATACGGAGTGCTGCACAAGCAACAACAATAATAACAAAAACCTACGATCGACCCATCGGACTCAACGGTGCACCGTACATACCATCCCGAGTACTACTACTCACTGCCAAGTAGGCAGTTGCTCCTGCGATCAGATTCCAGATTCAATCTCCATCCTCCAATCCTTTACTTCCACCTCATACCGCTTGCTCAATCTTTCGGTGAGGGGTGAGGGGAGACAAAACAAACGCAATGATCCCAGCCAACTTACAGGCCTCGTGCATAGTCTACGTATCGGACCAGACCAATTCATCCCATCCATGTCCCTGGCCTCCAGTTTGCGGATCCCAGGCTCCACTCCGCTCTAACCCCCAACCAGGCTACCAGCTCAATGCTAGCACCTGAAATGAACGAAATGAACCAAGGGAGTTTCGGAAGACGGAATGGGTATCGGTCGATTTCTCGATGGCGGTGCACTATCGAGACAATCCGATGTTCCAATCATTGAATTTGGCGAGTTTCGCTTCGAACCCGCGGGATAGAAGATTCACGAGTACTTCAGATACTGACTGGAAACTCCGTACTTTGTCGCTGTTGCTGACGGGATTACTGCGGGAAGTCGAAGTCCTGATGACGGCGCGGTTGATACGAGTAAAGAGTAAAGAGGGATTCACCTGATGCCATAAACTCCGTACTCCGTTCCTATCGTAGAAGACTCCGAGGAGGAGGGGGGTGATGATGATGGTGATGACTGCTCTGTCGCATTCCAACCCCGGCAGTCAATGATAACAGAGTCGCATTCTCGAAGTATTCCGAATCTGTCGAGTACCTGTTCAAGTAGTGGATGACCCTATTGCTGCGCAACTCGGGTTTCCCCAACTGAACGGAGGCGGCTGTTTGAGCCAGAAAGAGCCAGAGTTGACGGAGTGACGGTTCGAACCGGCTTTCAGTACGGAACGTTACCAACTTTCCACCCCATTCATACCACCAGTGGTATTGTAAGTAATGGAGTTACGACGCCAGTACCCCATAATTCTTTACTCTCCCCCCCCCATCCCATCAAGCTCCCGATATCGTCCCCCTCCTCCAGCGCTTTATTTTTTATTTTAATTTTTTTTAGAAACTTGCATTTTTTTTTTGTTTTTCACCCATCATCCGCCTCTTCCCCATCAGTCCATTCATCTGTCTCGCCGATTCTCGTTTCTCCATCTCCTTGATTGCATTACTCTCTTCCTGTTCCCTTCCCTTTTGTTCCCCTCCTCATCCTCCTCCGTCAGGTCGCGACATTTGGTGTGACTTCTCTTCCTCCTACTCCTCCTTCCTCTATACCACTCATACCTACATATTAATATCCCTTCCTCTTCCTTAATTCTATTTCCCCATCAGTCCAAGCTCTGTTGACAGGTAAGCATCTCCCCTCCATTGTCTCCAATGCCCGTCTATTCGACTCCCTCGATCTGGTGCCATCTCACCCACTATGCTATACCTATACCACAGTGCTGACCGACAATCGAATTCGCAGAGTATCAGCCATCATGCCTAACGGTGCTCCTTTGATCAACACTGCCAACGGCGCCTCCGCCAACGACAACATCACCCGCTTCGACCCCCCCAGCCGTGTGCTTTCTCCCCTCAACCACACCCTCTTCCACAACAAGACGAGATGTTTCGTATAGTAAGTTCCACTTGATGGTTCATCCGTGGCTCGTCATTGACAATGGCCACAGTGGTATGCAGCCCCGGGCTGTCCAGGGTATGCTGGACTTCGACTTCATCTGCAAGCGTAGCACTCCCTCCGTCGCCGGTATCATCTACACTTTCGGTGGCCAGTTCGTCAGCAAGATGTACTGGGGTACCAGCGAGACTCTCCTCCCCGTCTACCAGGATGTCTCCAAGGCCATGGCCAAGCACCCCGACGTTGACACCGTCGTCAACTTCGCTTCTTCCCGTTCCGTCTACAGCTCTACCATGGAGCTCATGGAGTGCCCCCAGATCAAGAGCATTGCCATCATTGCTGAGGGTGTCCCCGAGAGAGTACGTTCGACTTGCTGAATCCGTATCAAGTGGGCCATTGAGACTAACGGTGTGGTAGCGTGCTCGTGAGATCCTCGTCACTGCCAAGGAGAAGGGCATCACCATCATCGGCCCTGCTACCGTCGGTGGTATCAAGCCCGGTGCTTTCAAGATCGGTAACACTGGTGGTATGATGGACAACATTGTTGCCTCCAAGCTCTACCGCAAGGGTTCCGTCGGTTACGTCTCCAAGTCCGGTGGTATGTCCAACGAGTTGAACAACATCATCTCCCAGAACACCGACGGTGTGTACGAGGGTGTTGCCATTGGTGGCGACCGTTACCCCGGTACCACTTTCATCGACCACCTTCTCCGTTACCAGGCCGAGCCTGAGTGCAAGATCCTCGTCCTCCTCGGTGAGGTCGGTGGTGTTGAGGAGTACCGTGTCATTGAGGCCGTCAAGAACGGCACCATCACCAAGCCCATTGTCGCCTGGGCCATCGGTACCTGCGCCAGCATGTTCAAGACTGAGGTTCAGTTCGGTCACGCCGGTGCTTCCGCCAACTCCGACCTGGAGACCGCCGTCGCCAAGAACAAGGCCATGCGTGAGGCTGGCATCCACGTCCCCGAGACCTTCGAGGAGCTTCCCCAGACTCTTGCCCAGGTCTACAACGAGCAGGTCCAGAAGGGCGTCATTGTGCCCCAGAAGGAGCCCGTTCCCCCCAAGATCCCCATCGACTACTCCTGGGCTCAGGAGCTCGGTCTCATCCGTAAGCCCGCTGCTTTCATCTCCACCATCTCCGACGACCGTGGCCAGGAGCTCCTGTATGCTGGTATGCCCATCTCCGATGTCTTCAAGGAGGACATTGGTATCGGTGGTGTCATGTCCCTCCTTTGGTTCCGTCGCCGCCTGCCTACCTACGCCAGCAAGTTCTTGGAGATGGTTCTCATGCTTACCGCTGATCACGGTCCTGCCGTCTCTGGTGCCATGAACACCATCATCACCACCCGTGCTGGTAAGGACCTGATCAGTGCCCTGGTCTCTGGTCTCCTGACCATTGGTTCCCGCTTCGGTGGTGCCCTGGACGGTGCTGCTGAGGAGTTCACCAAGGCCTTCGACAAGGGCATGAGCCCCCGTGACTTCGTCGACACCATGCGCAAGGAGAACAAGCTGAGTATGTGAGCCTTGTTTCGCTGACTGGAGACATTTTTACTGACTTCCTTTTAGTCCCCGGTATTGGTCACCGTATCAAGTCCCGCAACAACCCCGATCTCCGTGTCGAGCTGGTCAAGGAGTACGTCAAGAAGAACTTCCCCAGCACCAAGCTCCTCGACTACGCGCTTGCCGTCGAGAGCGTCACCACCTCCAAGAAGGACAACCTGATCCTCAACGTCGACGGCTGCATTGCTGTCTGCTTCGTTGATCTCATGCGCCACTGCGGTGCCTTCTCCCCCGAGGAGACCGAGGACTACATGAAGATGGGTGTCCTCAACGGTCTCTTCGTCCTTGGTCGCTCGATTGGTCTCATTGCCCACTACCTCGACCAGAAGAGACTGCGCACCGGTCTCTACCGCCACCCCTGGGACGACATCACCTACCTCCTCCCCGCCCTCCAGAAGGGTGGCTCGGAAGGCCGTGTTGAGGTCTCCGTCTAATTTCCTACCATCCCCTTTTAATATACTTGCATTTCATGACCTAGTCATAAAATCCGTCCCAGCTGACGTCGGAGTTATGATGGCTTGTTTTTCTCTTTTCTGCATTGGCTTGGTTCACTTCATACCTCTTCCTTTCCAACTTACAATCTGTAGTGGCACGTGTGGCATGACTAGCTGATAAGGTTGATGAATTTAACGCGATGATTCAGACAAGGTGCTTTTCATAGAATAATCAATCGTAAATTATGATTCTGAATTGACTTTTAGACACGAATATTCCAATCTTAAAATGAACATTACTGAGATAATTCAACAGCTAAATGCATCTCCGATGGTGGTAATTTTGGCGGGGACTGGAGTCCGGCGCCCCACATGCCAGGCCGAACATGCCCGGCAGAAAATCAATCCCATCACCGCCAACAGGTTCATCATCGGTCCAGAGCTTCAACCATAGCTTCGAGGTTTTGACGCGCAAGAAACCTCGATCCCATTGAACAAACAAAGAGGTCTACTGTCACACTCAAGCACAACTACGTGACGCCAGCCTCGTCCCTTTGAAGCCCAAACGCACACAACCTTCTCCAATCTCCATCGATCTACGGTACCACCTCGAAACCACATCCCGTTCCTACCGCACCAAACTCCCCCCCCCTCCAGCTTCCCCAGAATGGTCCGCATCAAACACCGCTACCTCCTCCTCGACATCCTCTACCCGGACCCGACGACCTGGCCCCGCCCCAAGCCCGCCTCTGCATCGTCCTCATCGACCCCGCAACTCCAAATCCACGCGCCCACCTCCGACGCCCTGACGCCGAGCCTGCTGGCCAAACTGGTCCGCGAACAGGTCGCCGAGTTATTCGGCGATTGGGGCGTCGGCCGGCTGGGCGGAGCGGGTGCCGGTGGTGTTAGTGGTATGTCTTTCCCTAACCCCATATTTCCCTGGTTGTGATGGTGTTCGTGGGAGGGGATTGCTATGCTCCAAGCTAACCGTGTGTCTCTCTCTCTGTGTGTGCGGCAGTCAAATACCTTTCCCCGGCTACATCGACGGCGATTATCCGATGTCCTCGCGCGTCGTTCCGGTTGGTGTGGATGGCGTTGACGTGTTTGGAGGCGGTGCCGGAGATTGATAAAGCTGGAGGAGGACGGAATTTGACGAGACGGTGTGTTGTGCGCGTTGTGCGGGTGTCTGGGACGATGCGGAAGGCCGAGGAGGAGGCGATTCGGCGGGCGAGGAGGGAGATTTTGAAGGTGCGTGGGGGTGCTGCTGCTGATGATGATGGTATTTTGGAGGGGTTGGTGGGCGGGTTTGCGGAGGGGGTTTCGGGGGGCAACGGTGTTGGTGTTGAGGTGGATGATGTTATGGATGAGGATTTGAGTGATGATGGGATGTGAGGGTGTGCTTTTGGGAATGGTGGGCTGTACTGGACTTTGGCTTGCGGTTTTGATATATTAGAGATACCCTTATTATACAATGTAGAGATATATTTTTTTTGAAACACAAAAAGAAATGTCATGACTTTCGTATCACCTTCACCCCGCTGTTCGGTATCGAGCCTCGGCCCAAATCGCCGTATTCATCGTCGTCGTCGTCGTTGCCCGGGTGGTCTCCTCCTGCCGCCTGCTCGCGCGCTTTCGCCTCGGCCTCCAGTTGCTGGAGCTCATGCTCGTCGTACTGCTCCTTCGCGTCCAGCCACCGCTCCTGCACATCCCGCACATCCATCTGACCCAACCCCTCCCGCACCGCCACCTGCCAGACGGTGTCGTTGGCGCCCTCGGCGGGCCCAAACACATACCCACTGGCGCGGTCGATGGCATGCAACAGGTTCATCATGCTCTTCTTGTCCTCAACGGCGAGCGTCTCGAAGGCGACGAGCCCGAACTCCTCGACCAGGTCGACGATGGCCTGGTTGAGCGGGCCGAACTTCTCGTGCGCCAGGCGCGACGACTCGGCCTCCAGGTGCGGCAGCAGGTAGCTGAGGTCCTGCACCTCGGTGTAGTAGTCCAGGTTGAAGGGCAAGGGAGCGTAGTTGGCCAAGTTGTCGATCTTGGTGAGCACGTTCAGGTGCGGGAGGTCCATCTGCAGCATGGCGCGCAGCGAGAGGAGGAGGGCGGAGATGTACATCGAGGGGAGGGTGAGGTTGTAGGAGTCGATGAGGTGGATCACGATCATCTAGATTACGCTCGTGTTAGCTTTTTGGGGGGATTAGTGGGAATGGCGGCGCATACTCTATACCCTAGTTTCTGGATCTTGAAAAATATATTGCGCAGGGAGGAGTGGTGTGTGAAGATCTCGACTTGGCCGGGGCAGTCGAACAGGACGTAGTCATCTACATGTTTGAGAAATACCAGTATCAGTGCATTTGTGTCTCTATAGTAGGTTTTGGTTGCTTTGGGCTTGGTAGATCGGGATGGCGCGCATACCTCCGAGCTCCTTCAGCCCCTCCTCGAGGAACTCGAAGTTCTCCTCTAGCTCCTCCAGCGCATACAGCACGCCCCCGTTTGGTCCCAGCTGGTCCTCGCTCATGATATCCTCCAACGTCACCAGGTCGCGGACGTCCAGCGCACACGGATACGAGGTCTGGTCGTTCGCGGGGTCTAGGTTCACAATCGAGCATTTGCGGCCGATGGCCCCGAGGAACTGCTGCATGCCGTTGCAGTACGTCGACTTCCCGGCCCCTGGGGGCCCGATCACCAGCTGTGCGAACGGCATGATTGCTGCTTTCTCTCTGGCAGCTTTCCCCAGAAAATAAGGTCGATGACAATCGAAAGCGTGATGATGATGATGCAAATGGCGGGGGAGAATATTCCATGGAGGGCGGTAAGTGGCGACAGAAAACGGATCTGAAGGCGCTGCCGGGCGACGGAGCTTCGATGACGCCGGGACCGATCAACAATCGGTTATTTCGTTCGAAAGCTTTGAGATTCCTCAGCCAAGGGAATTTACAGAAAGTATCATGGCATCTAGTCAGTTTGCATCTCTCTGAGCTGACTGGGGTCTGGGACAGCTCGTGCTAACTAGCCTGCAGATCAATTCGTCGTCGCGTCCCCGCCTACGGATGCTATATCCGCGCTCAAGTTCTCGCCCAACCCCGACTCCACGCGCATCGTTGTCTCGTCGTGGGACAAGAACGTCTACCTGTACGATCTCCGGGATGAGAATGGGGCGGTAGGGGAGGGCAAACTGCTGCAGAAGTTCGAGCATCGCGCGCCGCTGCTGGATGTGTGCTTTGGCGCAACGGAGGATGAGATCTACACGGCCGGGCTGGATTGGGATGTGCGGAAGTGAGTTACGCCCTTTGGATTTTGAAAGTGATACTTCGTTGTCGCGGCTTCCCTTCTTGCCCTACTCAGGTCTACTGATAACCGAACAGAATCGACGTCGCCTCGTCCACGCAGACCGTCCTCAGCACGCACGAGGCCGGCGTCCGCAGCGTCGTCTACAGCCGGGACCACCACCTCGTAATATCGGCCTCGTGGGACTGCACGCTGCATGTGCACCTGACCAACGACCCCGCCACGCTCCCCGCCGTCATCCCCCTCCCCTCCAAGCCGTTCTCCATGTCGCTGACGGCCACGAAACTCGTCGTCGCCATGGCGTCGCGCGCGCTGCACATCTACGACCTGAAGGCGCTGGCCCTCCTCACCGCCCAGTCGGAGGGCTCGGCCCCCGGCGCGCTGAACAAGGTGGAGGTCGAGCCCTGGCAGCGCCGCGAAAGCAGCCTGAAGTTTATGACCCGGTGCGTCGCCTGTATGCCCGACGATGCCGGCTACGCCTCCTCCAGCATCGAGGGCCGCGTCGCCGTCGAGTGGTTCGACCCCTCCGCCGAGTCCCAGGCCCGCAAGTACGCCTTCAAGTGCCATCGCCAGACCGCCGACGAGGTCGACATCGTCTACCCCGTCAACACCCTCGCCTTCCACCCCGTGCACGGCACGTTTGCCTCCGGCGGCGGCGACGGCGTCGTCGCCCTGTGGGACGGCATGGCCAAGCGCAGAATCCGCCAGTACCAGAAGCTGCCGTCCAGCGTGGCGGCCGTGGACTTCAGCGCCAATGGCAAGTACCTTGCCATTGCCATCAGCCCGGGCTTCGAGGATGGCAAGGAGGACGTGGCCGAGGGAACGGTCAAGATCTTCGTGCGCGAGCTGGGTGAGACGGAGGCCAAGGGCAAGGGCGCTAAATAAATACACCTTACCTTAAGCTTAAAACCTAAATCATGAAATCTATATCCTGTGATGACTGCACGCTGAATTCACTTCCAACAACAACCTGTCTATGGGCCGTACAGTTACTGGAGACTAGTCAGGTAAACGTAAAGTAGTCAACGATGCTAAATGTTCAAATGGTATCATTTTATATCTTCTCAATGGAGAGAATCGTCATACATGGGATGTTTACAGAGATCAACTTATGCGGCCGCCTTCCTGACGGAGACAGAACCGTCCGGCATACCGAAGTAGGCGGCAATGGGCTTCTGCCCGCCAACGCCGCCCAGGGCCCGAGCCTGCGGGCCCGTCAGGCCAGAGAAGATCCCGACGTCCAGGACACCGGGGATCTGCTTGATCGCTCGCGACAGGGCCTCGACCTCCCAGATGCCGTCCTTCCCGCTGCCTCCCTTGCCGGCCGCGACGTCGGACTGCGTCAACAGCGTCGGGAAGGGGGCGTCGATGATGTAGAAAGCCTGATCGGTTTTCAAAGGGCCTTGCTTGGGGTCGGTGTTCAGCCGGAGCGCGGGCTGGATGCTGCCGATCTCGCGGAGGGCCGTGAGGACGCGAGCGGCGGCGATCGGGGCGACTTCGATGGGGATGTACTTCCAGTTGGACAGGAGGCGCGATTGGAGTTTACGGGAGTCTGCGCGCGAGGGAAAAACACACATGAAGTCAGTGATTTGTGGCATCATCCATATGGGGTGTTTCCAAAGGGAAGGAAGGAAGGAAGGGGGACGACGCACCAGCAACGCAGATGAACTCCTTGGCCTGCAGAGCCACGATCTTCTCCTGGAAGAGACAAGCACCGCCGCCCTTGATCAGGTTGAGATCGTCGTCCACCTCGTCGGCGCCGTCGAAGGCTACGTCCAGCACCGTGCCTTCCGGGAGGGAGTCGAAGTCGACGGCCGTCAGCCCGGCCGACAGGATCAGCTGCTTGGACTGGAAGCCCGTGGGAACGTATTTGGTCGCGGAGGTGTCGACCCCGGACTCCTTGATGGCCTCGACCACGTAGACGATGGTCGACCCGCTGCCGATGCCGACGAACTTGGCGTCCTTGGGGTAGTGGTTCTCCACGGCCGCCTTGCCGGCGGCGCGCTTTGCGGTTTCGATGACGCTGACGCTGGCCATGGTGGAGTTCCGGCGATGCGAAGACGCGAAAAGGACGGTTGAGATGGGAGGTGGTGGGGAGGGACGGATGAAGCGTCTCCTAGATTGATAACAAGGATAATTGAGCAGCGTAGAAAGAGAAGAAGTCGACCGGGTTCTGCAGTTCGTATTAATGGTCCGGGCTAGACGGAGGCGGGGCTTAAAACTGCCAGATCGGGGGAGGGGAGGAAGAAAGAGGCTACTGCGGAATACGGACTGGACGGACCAGTGGTGCCCGCCGCCGGTGGGGTGGATGGAAAGGGCACTGCTGCCAGCATGTGGAAGAGTTTCTAGGGATTCTAGGGAACTTGTTGAGAGCTGCCAATTGGTGTGCCACTCACAGAATATTGTTGAAACTGCCCCGAGGAACTAACCCCGCCATACTAGCTGCCAATTGACACCTCCAAAGCTAAAAATGTTGTTCAATGGTGGCGTTGAGTCTGTTTTATTGCAAACGAGTAACTAAGGTATTGTTATGGAGAGTGACATTTTGGCCCGGCGGGGTTGTGTTTCGTCATAGTCATTTGTGCCTCAGGTGTAAAGTACTCCTGCCTGATCCGTGCGCGTTCATCACGTGTCAGCGTTGAGCAAGTGCTCCAACACTGCCAACAATGAACTACCTAGTACACATCACACATCACCAGCTACAGCCAGACTACAGAAGACCCCAGTGTTGGGTCTTAGCTCTCCGTTTCACAGAGGCTTGGTTGATACAGCTCGAGCCTCTCACCGCCTACACAATCTCGACTTAATTCAGCATTTTGTGAGCATTGTGAGCCGATCTGCTCCGCTTATCTGACGATAGCCCCTCATGACTGAAGCTTTCCCCGGTGCCCTGGTAGGGCCATCATCCAAGGAAAGGAAATATGACCGGCAGCTGCGGCTGTGGGCTGCAAGTGGCCAACAAGCGCTCGAGGAAGCACGTGTACTTCTAGTCAACTCCGATGGCCCATGGGGTAAACAGAGCACCGGCGTCTCCGGGGTAGTTGGAGTGGAGACCCTCAAGAACCTCGTGCTTCCTGGCATTGGCGGTTTTACCATCGTGGACCCTGCGGTGGTAACGGAGCCTGACCTTGGGGTCAACTTCTTCCTCGAGGAGGACAGTCTAGGGAAGTCTCGAGCCCAGGAGACTTGTCGCTTGCTGAAAGAACTAAACCCCGACGTAGAAGGAAACTTTGAATCCAAGGTATATTGCACCTGTAAGAAGGTCCCTATTCTCTCATGGTCCCAGTGCTAACGGCAATCACCCGGCAGCCGGTCACCGAGCTTCTGCAAGACCCTGAATTTCTACCACAATTCAAACTAGTACTGGTCTCAGGTCCGGCAAACAAGTCGACTCTGATCACTCTCAGCAGTGCTGCCAAAGCTCTTGGCATCCCCGTCCTGTATACGCGCTCAGTGGGTTTCTACTCCACCTTTTCTCTTCAGCTTCCAGCTGTTTTCCCCATAGTAGAGACACATCCGGACCCCGAAAGCACGCAGGATCTACGCTTGCTCAACCCCTGGCCGGAACTGGCAGCTACTCTGGCTAGCATTAGCAACCTGGAGACTCTGGACGATCATCAACATGGTCATGTACCTTACATCTTACTCTTGCTTCACTATCTGGAAAAGTGGAAGGAGACCCACGACGGAAATGTCCCCTCCAACTACAAAGAGAAAACCGCATTCAGAGATCTAGTGCGGTCTGGTGCCCGAACGGCCAATCCTGAAGGTGGCGAGGAGAATTATGATGAGGCCGTGGCCGCAGTCCTAAAATCACTGAACCCTTTCACTTTGCGGAGTTCAATCCGCGAGATCTTCGAGATGGAGGAGTGCAACAATCTGACCTCGGATTCGGCAGATTTCTGGCTCATCGCATCAGCTATCCGTGAATTCTACACGAAACACAATGTTCTTCCGCTGCCAGGCTCGTTGCCTGACATGAAAGCACAGTCAGCCGACTACGTGTCGCTGCAGAACATTTACAAGTCTAAGGCACGAAAAGATATGGCAGAGGTCGTTGGAGTCGTCCGGAGGCTTGAAGCAGAACTCAGCCCCCGACCCGCGCAGATTGCGGACAAGGATATTGAAGTCTTCTGTAAAAATGCGGCTCACATCAAGGCCATTCATGGTCGTGACCTTCCTCAATTGAACGGTGAGAAGTATACTGTGAAAGCCATCAAGAATGCTCTGGGTGACCCTGAGTCACTGGTCTCTGCTTTTCTCGGCTTCGAAATTCTTGATAGTATAATCACCGATATACAGAGCGGCAAGCAAGACGAGGCAGCGTTGGATTCCGCCCTCGCGTGGGAGGCAGGAGTGGATCGGGTGATTCAGTCCCTTACGTCGGAGGCCTCGGCAGCCATCAACGAGGATGCCAAAGAGCAAATTATTCAGAGAACTCAGGAGCTTCGGCGGACGCATGGCGGGGAATTGCACAATGTGTCTGCCCTCACAGGAGGGCTAGTCGCACAGGAGGCCCTCAAGGTTATAACCAGGCAGTATGTTCCCTTAGACAACACCTGCGTATTTGATGGGATTAAAAGCCGCAGCGAGATGTATAGACTCTGAACACCCCTTGTCAACCCTTGACAAGAGTCAATGCTATGGAATGAGACCACGAATAGCCTTTTATCCTGTCATTTACCGGCGCGGCCGCGCGTATAAGATGTCCAGAGCATAAGCCAGCGAGTCGGCCAAGTCGGCCAAGGCCAGCTCACTTCAACATGTCGACTCCGTAGTGGTGGAAGGAGCCGGACGAATCCTGATTATTATACCTCAAACATTCCTCCACGACTCCAGGCACAAAGGCCGAGCCTCGCGGATTCCCGCCATCATATTATCAGCTCTCCCCCTTGCAGACACTCCTTGATTGATCAACATGAGACCTGTATCTCCGTACATCCACTTTAGATTCTCTTTTCCCTCCGTCTGTTTCACTCTCGCTCTTTTTCTCCGTCTAGGTGTACGCTCAGGACTACGCTCAGGACGATTCGAAGAAAAAAGAAGAAAACGGTTGTTCTTACGTCATTCAACTGAAGGAGATTCTGAATAGATGTTTGTCTCAAATCGAGAACCGACATTAACAAAATGGTGCGGGATCTGTGTGGTTTGTGGTCAAACCAGGGGCAGCAGCAACCACCCAGATTTCTCAAGTGGAGGACATCCGATGCGTTCATCTGCTTCGTGGTTTGCTTCGCCGTCTTCACGGTACAGGACCCTTATCCAACCGTTTTCTGGTTATGTTTGCTGACGGTTGGCCATTTGACAGGATGTCTTCATGTATGGGTTGGTACGCTAGGACTCTGGGGCATTAGTGGCGGGGATTTCCCCGACAGTTTATATTAACCTTCCTTGCAGATTGTGCCCGTGGCCCCAACGGCCCTGCGCGATAGGGTTGGGATGTCCGACGCCGATGGTAAAGTCTTTTATGGAGATTCGACGGATTGCTCAAGCTTACCGTGACTCAGTTCAATCGTGGCAATCGACTTTGCTGTCTCTTTACGGAGTATCTTTGTTAGCAGTTTCACGTGGGTCTCTCCAATTCTTGAGCGCTTGTACGATACATACTGATTGATCCTCTCTTAGCCATCTGTGGGTACCTGGCCGACAAATTCCAGTCACGATGGTGGCCCTTTATTGGGGGCCTGGTGGTTCTCGCCGCCGCCACTGCTCTTCTCTGCGTCGGGACGAGTCTTGCTTTGTGGATTGTCGGGCGTCTCTTTCAAGGAGCGTCTGCCGCGGTTGTGTGGACTGTGGGAATTGCGCTGCTCGCTGATACAGTCGGGCAGGAATATATGGGCCAGGCGTTGGGATATCTGGGAATGGCGATGACCATAGGAACAATGACCGGCCCGCTCCTGGGAGGAGTCGTCTACGGTGCCGGGGGCTACTATGCTGTTTTTGGGATGTCGTTTGGCATAATCGCATTGGATGTCATCTTTCGACTCGCCATGATCGAGAGAAAGGACGCACTCAAGTGGCTGCAGGCCGATGGCCGACCGATTGTCCCGGCAGAGAAGCAAGGAAGTGGTAGCGACTTGGAAACTGCTGTTTCACCGGCGGCCTCTGAGGGCCTGAAAGGTCCCCCGCACGAGTGTCACGAGCAGGAGCGCTCCTCCTCCTCCGCCTCGACCGATGTTGTATCTGCGAAGAAACGGCCCAACACCATGCATACACTCCTCACCTCGGGCCGCATGATGACGAGCATGTGGGCGTATTTCATCCTCTCCCTCATCCTGACGGCCTTCGACAGCGTGCTGCCGCTGTTTGTCGAGCAGAAGTTCGGCTGGGGCCAAACCGGCCAAGGGCTCATCTTCATCGCGATCTCCGTGCCCCAGATCCTTGACCCCGTGGTGGGGTACATCATCGACAACTACGGCCAGACTCGACGGTACATGGCGACCGGGGGGTTTCTTATGGCGGTGCCGGCTTTGGCCTGTCTTCGCTTTGTGACCGAAAACACGGTGGGCCACAAAGTGCTCTTGTGTGCGCTGCTTGTCCTGATTGGGGTCGGCGTGTGCCTGATCATGTCCCCGGTTCTGGTGGAGGCGACCTACTACGTGCAGGACCGGGAGGCGGAGACGCCCGGGATCTTTGGGGAGGGAGGAGCCATTGCATTTGCGTACGGAGTGATCAACATGGCGTACGCGGTGGGGACGATCATCGGGCCCTTTTTCGCGGGCTTCATCAAGAACGGTGCCGGTTGGAGCACGTTGAGTTGGGCGTTGGCGTTGATGTCCGGGGTGACTGGCATTCCTACCTACATATGCCTGCGGGGCACTGTGCGCAACGGGGCTTCTTCCAAGGTCGAGTCGCCCTGATCCAGAGGGTAATGGTGGCTTCGTGCAGTGGTGGGATATGTGATATTTTGGGCGGTGTTTTGGGAGTTGATGCCTTAAATGACTATATACGAATTAGCTAGATTGGCTTGACTAAACTTGATATAATGATACTCACAGTGAAAATAAGATGGGCAGGTTATTGCCAACTTTGTTAGTATTGCGGCCAATGTTGATAGTGGTCCAGGGTGCTGCTCCTATTGCCCGTGATGAGGAATGAAGTGCGTAAGTTGGAGTAGTCGCCAGAGAGGGAGGGTGGAGGGAGGAGGAGGGTGGATCTCCCCGCAGAACCGGACCCACCACTGACTGCACCACCGGCACAATCTAAACATCGGGATTCCATAGCATTGCCATCAGCCGGACTACAGGGAGACAAGGTAGGTAGGTCCTGTACCAGACACAGCAAAATGAATGGTACATAAATTCCCCTACGGATGGCTACTAGTCCAGCTCGTCTCCCTCTTCTCCCCCCCATCCCTTCCACTACACCATTAGATCTCATCACCATGGCATCCCCACAGATCCACCACGCCAGCCTCCAAGCCACCTTTAACGGTATCGAACGAGAAATCGACGGTCTCCCCATCCACGAGTTCCGCGGTATCAAGTATGCCGACATCCCCGCGCGGTTCGAGCAAGCTCAGCCGCTGGAGAGTTTTGATGGCGCTGCCGTTGACGCTACGCGATACGGGTACTATTCTCTCTCCCCGCCCCTTTACTGTCTGTCTATACATGTTTCTGTTCCCAGCTAAAAAACCAATTCTCAGACCGAGATGTCCGCAGGCTGATGTCGACGTCCGACATCTCCTCCGCATCCCCGAGGATTTCGTGATTGAGAAAGAACCCGAGGATGAGTTTGAATGCCTGAACTTGAACATCACCGGGGCTCCTTTGGCCGCGTCTAGGGGACCGCTTCCGGTTCTGCTGTGGATCTATGGTAGGTGGCTCTTACTACCCAGAGGGGCTTTCTCATGTGGTTGGGAGAGGGGTTACTGATTGTGCTGCTGTTCTACAGGCGGATCACAGGCTGTGACGTTCTGTTCTGCTGCGTCAAGGATTTGCGGTAAGTTTTCTGGTGTCAGACTGGACTCCAGCTGTGAATGTTAACTGACTACGTGGGGCGGAGGGACTCAGATCCGATCAAGATTGTGGCTGACTCTATCAAGAGCGATCAGCCTGTTCTCTTTGTGTCGTGCAACTATCGGCTCAACATTTTCGGGTTCGGCGATGGGAAGGAGAAGAATCTCGCGCTCAAGGACCAGAAGTTGGCGATCGAATGGGTGCGGAGGAATATTGCTGCCTTCGGGGGTGATCCGGTATGTGCCTGGGAGGCCTGGTTTACATGAGAGAGGATTGTCGTTGATTGTCTCATGATCTAGGAAAACATTACGCTGGCTGGAGAGAGTGCTGGCGCGGTCTATGTGCACGCCCATCTGCTCACTGGCACTCCGGTGAAACGAGCGGTCCTCGCATCGGGATCCATCTGTCTCTCCAGTCCTCTGCCTTTGGAGAAAGGCCAGGGGCTGATTGCGACCTTGGAGGCCAAAGTTAAAGACCTGGGGCAGCCTTCTCTCCGTCACGCTTCGGTGGCGGCCATTGTCCAGGCAATAGAGGAGTGTAAGATGAACTCGTTCTGGCTCCAAGAAGACGAGAGCTTTGACGGGTGGGAGGCGACACCCGAGCTGGTGGAGGAAGTCATGATTGGAGATACAGAATACGAGGTGAGCGCGACAACTGTGGTATTGAGTCTTGACTAACCGCGACATTAGTCAGTCATCTGGAGGAACGGCATCGAGACGCTCGATGGGCCAACAATCGCGGCTGCTTTCGAGCAAGATCCCGCATGGGGAAACAAGCTGCGCAAACTATACCAGGTCGTGGCTGATCGCCCCACGGCTTGTAAATTGGGAGCACTGGATTTACTCCATGACACGCGTTACTCCCTGCCGGTGGAGGTCGTCTCCGACAGGCTCCAAGCGGCTGGCAAACGGGTCTACAAGTATGTCGTCGACCAGGTCAACCCTTGGCAGGCGTCTAGCCGAGCGCACCATGCCGTGGACCTTCTGTTCCTGTTTGGGGGCGTTGATCTCTCGTTCAACCGCGCGGCTGAAACCGTTGGTCGAGAGATGAGGGAGCGGTGGGTACGCTTTGCAAATGGCACACAGCCATGGTCCAAGGCACGACGCTTCGCCTTTGGACCGCTTGGAGAATGTCAGGAGATCAATGAGGAGCAATTCGCTGCCCGACGACGGGTGGAGCATTTGCGGGTGTTGCGAGAGGCGGGCATGGGGGTGTACATGCCCATTGTGTTTGGAGTGTCGGCGGGGAAAATTAGTCTCATGAATTGATCTTGATGATGTAGGGTATATACTCAGTACTCAGTAGTAGAAAAGGAGGAGATGGAGATTGAAACCGGCAATTCTGGGCTGTTTGGGGATCCGAGAAGGTGTTTTCCCCCACTGTTACTCAGATCTTACTCATGTGGGGTCACTCCACAAATGATCCCCAGCTTCCCTTCCACCTCCTCCTCTTCGGCAACAATTCTCCCTCGCGACATGCCGAACTCCATCTCTTGCCTGCTTGTGGCCTCACAACCTCCTTGTCCTCGCGCTCAGGTCAGCCAGCCACCCTGTCAACATTGCCCTCTGGTTTCCGGGATAGCCGGTGGTCTCAATAATTCGTTCATTGTTCACTGTTGCCGTGGCGCGGCCCTGACCCCACAAACTGAAGTATATCAGGATGGCTCGACGCCGGGGATCCATGCCTAACAATTGGCATTCGGTCTTTCAAGTCTATAGCAACAAACTATCTCTCTGATTCCTCTATCCTCGTTCTGTCTGTTCTGAACCTCCCTCATCATCTCAACATGCCTTCCACAAGCGATCTGTCAGATCCCCAAGAATACCAGAAGATATTCCACTGGGCAGAGACGCAAAAGGACGGCACGATCCCGTCGTTCAACACGCGACGGAATGATCCTTATGAGGTGTGTCACTACTCTGAGACAGTGTAGTTGTGCTAGCTCGATGCTAATCCATTCATAGTACCAAGCCGGGTTTGGCAACTCGTACGTTCAAATGTCTTCCCGCATCAGCAACTCAACAAGCTGATATAGCATACAGATTCGTCTCAGAGGCTGTCCCTGGCACCATTCCACAGGGCCAGAACAGTCCCCGCAATGTCCGCTTCGGGCTGTATGCGGAGCAGATCACGGCCAGCGCCTTCATCGCCCCCCGACACTGCAACAAGAAAGCCTGGCTGTATCGTGCTCGGCCGGCCGTGGCACACCAGGGATTCGTGAGTAAGCGAAAGCGTTGACAGACCAGACCACAGACTGACGCACAAATCAGACCAATCTCCCCGACAACAAAGACACAGAGGCGAACTTCCTCCCCATGAACCCCCGCGTCCACGTGTCGCCCACCCAGCTGGCCTGGTTCCCTTTCGACATTCCTAGCGGCGAGCAAGTGGACTTCGTCGACGGACTGAAGACTGTGGCCGGCTCGGGCGAGCCCACCCTCCGCGAGGGGCTGGCCACGCACGTCTACACGGCGAATGCCAACATGACGAAGAAGGCCTTTGTCAACTCCGACGGGGAGATGGTGATACTGCCCCAACAGGGCGCCCTGGACATCCAGACCGAGTTCGGGCCCTTGTTCGTGCAGCCGGGCGAGCTCGTGGTCATCCAGCGGGGCATCCGGTTCCGGGTGGAGCTGCCCGATGGGCCGTCGCGGGGATACATCCTCGAGATCTGGGGCAGTCAGTTCGAGCTGCCCGAGCTGGGCCCGCTGGGAGCGAACGGTCTGGCCAACGCGCGGGACTTCCTCGTGCCCACGGCCAAGTACGAGATCGCGCAGGAACCGTGGGAGATTGTGTACAAGCTCGGGGGGAAGTTCTTCAAAAGCACGCAGAACCACAGTCCGTTCGATGTCGTCGCCTGGCATGGTAACTATGTACGCTGCCTTGCCTCCTGCACAGAAAGGTGTAAAGGCACTAATACTTTGCAGGTCCCATACAAATACGACCTGACCAAATTCGTCAACGTCGGCTCCATCTCCGTCGACCATATCGACCCGTCCATTTTTTGTGTGCTGACGGCCAAATCGCGCGACCTCACCGCTCCCTTGGCGGATGTGCTTATCTTCTCCCCGCGCTGGGATGTCGCATCACGTATGCCCCTAACCTCTGTCTTCTTATTACCATTCAATCCTAATACTTCGGGCAGACACCTACCGCCCGCCGTACTACCACCGCAACGCCGCCTCGGAACTCATGGGCCTCCTCTACGGCGACTACGGCGGCCGCTCCGACGCCTTCCAGCCGGGCAGCGTCTCGTTCGAATGCGGGAGTAAGTGCCCCGTCTTTCTTTTTCCTACCTCCACTATTGTTTACCGATGAAACCCAGAGGGAATGTAACTAATATGAATGAAGTGGTTCCCCACGGCGTCGCCTACGAAGAATTCCAATCCGCCACCGCCACCGCGCCCCCGGCCATGCAGATCTCCCAGGCCTCCATGGCCTTCATGTTCGAGTCGAGCCGCCCCTTCACGATCACGGACTATGCCTGGACCAGCGAGAAGCGGCACGAGCATGAGCCGAAGATGTGGGATGATCTGGTCGATCATTTCTCCGAGCATACGGCGGAGGTGGAGGCGTTGTTGGCTGCTGCTGCTGCCCGGGGGGTGAAGGGGAGGGTTTGATTGCCGGTTGGTTGGTGGGTGATGGTCCGGGGTTGATGGGATTGTACATAGTGAATGAGTGAGTGCTCGAGTTGGGTGGTGTTAGCGACAATGTTGAGTTTTACCAGTTACCTATGGCTGGTGTAAGGTTGGTTGGGGTTAGGGGTTTGGAGAGAAGTAATGAGGCAATGAAGTATCTATTGCCTCAAAGGGACAGACATACAGCCCAGCGGGACAGGCGAGATGATACCGCTACCGCGGAGATATTCACAAGCATGGCGTTTGATGTGAAATGTAAAGTGTAACCTGGGAGGTACGTACCTCAACACAGTATGCGAACAGCAGACCTCAGCGAGCTAGTGCTGAACAACCTGTGTACTGTACCGACGCAATCGCATACGCACGCACATACACAAGACTCATCCACCCGCTTTCCAGAAATGGAAAAACCCTCCACACGGGAAGTCCGCCGCAGCCGGCATCAAAAAGCCCGAAGGGGTAAGTCAACTCACGGGCCAGGGTTACTAAGTAAGGTTCCCTCCTCATCTGTACATACAGTACACTACCGGACTATATGCAAGACGGGCATTATTTAACCTCGTGCGCGGGAAGCTTTACCCCCCCCCCCAGCAAACCCCCAGCTTCAACCCCATCGTTGCAGGTCCTGGCAGATATCGAACTGGACTAGACTAGACTAGACTAGACCAGACTAGACTTCATTGTAGCCAATAATGAGCTCGCGAGGTGGTACAGGCTAGTATAGTGCTTCCCAGCCTCCGCGGTTCCAGTTCTCTGACTTCGGTGCCGGAGCGGGGTGAAGTTGCTGCTGCTATAGAGTGGGAACCGAACCATATCACGGAATGGCAGAGTGGTGAGCTGTGAGCTTTGGAAAGCTGTGCGCGGGCGCGCGGGTGCTGCTGCTGCTGCTGCTGCTGCTGCTGCTGCTGCTGCTGCTGCTGATTTCTGCTTTGTGGTTTGTGGGAATGCTGGAAGGATTAAGGTCGATGGATGGGATTTGGTTGGAATGTACTGTACTGTAGAGAGTAAAGATGGAGCTGAGGGCGAAGCTATTGGATCTACGAGAAAGTAGTTACGTACGTACCTTGTGGCAGTGGCTGACCACCCACAGGCGGTGCTTTGTGCCTTGTAATGTTATGGCTCTACTCGTGATTGGGTACTTGGTAGCTCCGGAGTTGGATCTTGGGAAGTCAGGGGATTCTGACAGTAGCAGCAGAGTGTGCAGGTAGCCGCTCTGATCTCCTGGGAACCACTCCCCGCGAGGACGGGAGACTCGATGCTAAAACCCTACCCTCGATTGAAACTTTCATTCCTGGGTCCTCTTCTGAAGGAAAACAAACAAAATCCCCGTCAGATCTGTTAGACTCCGCCAGATCTATTAGACCTAAGCAAGGGAGCTACCGACTGGACCGTCTTCCAACCATGAGCGTCGTCCTTTGAAGTGGCACGGCAGAGACGACCAGCAGCCCCGCCAGAGCGACGGCCAAGTAGAAGGTCGAGCGCACGGCGAGGTCATACGAGAGGGCGACGGCCGCGACGTCCTGCGCCGGGATCTTGCCGCGCAGATCGGTGGCGCCCAGATGGATCACGGTTTGCGGGTCGAGGGCCGGCGCCGTGGCCTGCAGGGCGCGCGCGAGGCGGCGCAGGAAGACGGCCTGGGCGATGCTGATGAAGACGGCCTCGCCCAGGTCCTGCGAGAAGGTCATCAGGGCCATGCCGGCGGAGAGGTCACCGACGCTCAGCACCGCCTGCGCCGCGATGAAGGGGATGGACACGCTACTCCCGGCCCCGATCCCCAGCAGAATCAACGATGGAATCCACAGTCCCTTCGGGGTCGTCGGCGAGAATCGCGTCATCATGCTGATGCCGGCGGTCACGAGGAGGGCAGCTGGGATCATGATCGCGGTGTAGATCCCCGTCACGGACATGAAGCGTCCCGCTGCCATCGCTGATACGAGAACCGCGACCACCAGAGGTAAGGTGTTGATGCCTGACTGCAGGGCTGTGGCGCCCCGGACGGTCTGGAACCAGATCGCTAGCTGTGTATGTACCATGACTGTTTAGTTTGGGATCTTGTATGAGTGAAGGATAGAGGGAGATTTACATAGTATTGCACGATCGCGCGACACGCCGAGAGCGAGAGACTGAAGAGCGCCCCCGCCAGGATGACGCGTTTCTTGATGATACGTGGAGGTAGCATCGCGCTGTCCTGCTTCCAGTGCTGAATGAAGCAGAAGACCGCGAAGACGATGGGTGCGAGCACGAGGAGCACGATGATCCGGGCGTTGTTCCAGCTGTACGTCTCTCCGCCCCATTGCAAGGCGAGCAGCAGACAGAGTACGGCGGGGGCGAAGAAGAAACACCCCAGGAGGTCCAAATCTCGCAAGCGCTCGATCTACGATTTGCGATTGCCCGAGGGCATCTGCGGGAGCTTGAGCAGCAGGAGCATGGCGGTGGGTGCAGCAGCGGTCGGGAGGTTGATGTAGAAGCACCACCGCCAGGAGAGGGTGGAAGTCAATGCGCCCCCAATGATGGGCGCCGCGGCCATTGCGGTGTACTCGCTGGCGCTGATCACGCCGAGGTAGGCGGCCCGTTTCTGGAGCGGGGTGGACATGGCGACAATGCTGAGGGAGAAGTCCAGTGGCGTCAGTGCCTTCGGGGTTACTTGTGAGGCTGTCTTTCCTCCGAAGTAGACTTACACCATACACCCCTGGCTGATGCCCGAGAAGCCGAGTCCGGTAATGGCTCGTCCGATGATGAAGACCAGCGAGCTGGACGCGACCCCCCACACCAGAATCCCAGCCTCAAAGATGACCATATTCACGAGGAATACCCATTTGATCGCGTAGTTGTCGTAGAGCTTCCCCTGGGAGAGCTGGGACATGCATGAGGTCAAACGGAAGGCGGCATCGTACCAGCCCACGTCTGCCACTGAGCCGAATTCATCGGTGATGCTGGGGATGGCCGTGGTCAGAATCGTTGCATCCTAGCGAGAGGGTCAGTTTCGGACCTGGCTCAGAGACGAAGTTGCAGACGTACCAGTCCGACCAGAAACACACAGAGGGAGAGCGATATGCAAATCAGAAGCAATTGCAGGCCCTGGGCGTAGTTGTGCGTATCCTCTGCTTGTTGGTTTGAGGGGTCCTCGGAGCGGACGAGACCGTCTCGTCGCTTGTCTGGATCTTGCGGCGTCGGCTGCAGAGTGGCATCATCTCCGATTGGCGTAAGAGCGATTTGGGGCTCCATGAACAATAACAATGTCTAGCGGTGGGAAATGTAGTGCTCACGCTGCGAGAGGCAAAAATGGGACGAAACGAGAGAGAGAACACGGGAGATTGTCGTGCAGCTGCAGTGAGTAGATATAAACCAGTCAGTCCACGCCAACCGGTGTCAGCTCGGACTCCCATGCCCATGCATTAGCAAGGAACCTGATAAGATTAGCCCAGTGGCAAGCTGTCTCGTTCTGAGATCATCTCACTGGTACCGTCTAGGACGCTAGGAAGCGCAGTAGCAGGGATTATCAGGCTCCTGGCCCGTCCGGATCGATCACGACCCTGCCTGATTAAACTTCACACTGCTAGTCATCACTGGGGGATACCTCTATCAGCCAGACAGCAGAGCGAGTCCCTCAACCTCTCAATTCAGAGCAATAGCTGATGCAGCTTCCAGCCAGGAAGGAAGCACACCCACCGCAGCAAGCCCATATACTGCTTCCTTCTCATACTAGCTAGCCAGCGGTATCCTCTTGGTGTACGCACCGTCAAAACCTCACACCAAGGTGATAATGCCCGTAGCCACTCGTAAACAAGCACAACAAGCTCATTCACCTCCAACAACGCCATGTCCCAAAAGTCAAGTCCTGGATCGCTGCAGAGATCCGATAGCTCAGCTTTCGGCTTGCTCCTACCGCAAATCAGGCGCATCCCTCTGGTCGGAGTGACAGCTGCCTGACACATCTAAGCTTCGACACACGGTCAACCAATGCCATCCTTGATCGGGCTGGCACTCATTCCTCTGCAGCAGGGTCAAGTCCTCATGCAGCACCGCCGTGCGTCGATAAATGCAGTGCTGTGATTGACGCGAGAGACAGATCATGAGAAAGATTGATGGAGGGATGGGATAGGCAACATCTGATGGACTGGGGACTTTGCACCGCAATAGAAGCTGTGTCCCGATGGAGAAGATGCATGGGGAGATGGCACGAGGGAAGCGAGGAAGGCCTGAGTCAATCTCGTGAGATGCGAGGGTTGTTGGGTTCAACTTTGATGGGACTTGTAGATCAGTTGGACTGGGTAAGGAAACGGGGTAAGATGATGCGTGGTGCTGTCCGCTAGGAAATGCATTGTGCCGGGCAAACAGACGGAATTTTCATCTGCAGTGAAACTTCCAGTAAGGACCGCACCGTGAGCAGGAGAAGCTAGCTAGCTATCGACAACACAACCTGCCTCTTTGACAAGGGATTCGTCCATTCGGAATTTACGTCACCAACCCATGACACCTCTCCAGCAATGGCTTATGTGCCATGTCCCTGTCGAGCCTCTTTGTGTAGCTGGTCTACAAAGCCGGTGATTCCACCGACACATAGTATCTTACCCCCAACCGGAAAACTAGATACTCGACAACAGCAGAACCGACTTCAACACGGCCTTTTTATTTTCATGAATTTGGTATCAACACGGGCCAGAAAATACGGACATACAATTACTTTAAAACGGTGTAGCCAGACCGCGGGCCCCTGCTATTGTATCCCTTGATTTCGAATGATCCTCCCGGGAGTCCTCTCGAAGGAAGTCGACGAAAGAAGAGCCTCAACTTTGCCAGCGGGGAGGTGGAAAGGAAAATGTCTATCACAACGAAGAAACTGATTACAGGAAGTAATCCGGGGTGCGCCTCGAGACCATGGGCTCTCCTGCGCGCGGGCAGGGATCGAATTGTAAGCTAGAGGGCCAGTGTTAGCGAGGTCAACTTCCAGCAGGCAGGGGAATCGACCCGAAAGCACATACAACGTATACTTGAGGTGCTCATCAATCTCCATGATTGCGGCTTGGTTGCCGCAACGGTAGCAGTAATTAGGAGCTGCAAGACGAAAACCAAAATTAGCCGCGTCATCACGCCGATACCTCGGGCAGAGACAGCAATACCTGAGAAGATCGTGACCACGTTTCTATCCTGCGACCAGTTGTAACCCTCCATTACCAGCTGGTGCGCCCGTGCAACCAGAGTCAAGCCGTTGTTGTGATTGAACGCCTCCGAGATGTCCTGTCCGAATGTGTAACCCGCTCCACGGGGGGAGATCCCCCAGCCGCATCGGTCGTCGGGGTCACTCCACAGCAGATCACACATGGGGCCCTCGTGCGGCACCTCCTGGATGCGGTCCAGGGAGCGGATGTTGTCGAGCGTGTCGATCGACGGACTCAGACCGCCGTGCAGACAGAAAATCTGGTTCTCAATGAGTGCGGTGAGGGGGAGATAGTCGAAAAGGTCGGTGAAGTATTTCCACACGTTGGCGTTGCCGTATTTGCGCAGGCACTCGTCGTAGAACCCGTAGACTTGCGTGATCTGGCGGGACTCGTGGTTTCCTCGCAGGATGGTGATACGCTGCGGGTAGCGGATCTTCAAGCAGACAAGGAGTGTGACGGTCTCTACGGAGTAGTAACCACGGTCGACGTAGTCACCTACACGGGGAGGTCGGACACGCGCGTTAGTCGGAGACACACATACACCCACGCACACAGGGAGAGGCAACCCCCGGGATGAGGGATCGCCGCACGCCTCCACTTACCCATGAAGAGGTAGTTCGTGTCGGGGTTGGGACCACCGATGCGGAAAAGCTCCATCAGATCGTGGAACTGGCCGTGGATATCACCGCACACAGTCACTGGGCATTTCTGCGAAGAGGCAGGTTTCCGGTCAGCCCGATCGGTCGCGACAGCGAAAGTCTCATCGGTGGACGGGGCCAACCAGGAGAATTATGGTGATCATCATAATCAAAGGACACATACCACGGGCTGAACGTTGGACTCGTCTTGCAGTACCTCTCGCGCCTAGGTGGGGGAAAAACAAAAGCATGATTAGGAGCTGGTCGACAACAGCCGGAATATCCAATCAACAGAAAGACACACCCGATCACACAGTCTCCGAACATCTTCCTCTGCCAGCTGCTTGCAGGTCATCAAGCTCTCGATCCATCCGTCGAGGGTGGGTATGGAACCCGGGTCGGTCGTCGGGGAGAGGTGGTGAGGTTCGGGCGACCGCGCGGTATCGATTTCCATATTGTTATCCATTGGGAAGACCACCGAGGGGAATTGCAGGTGGTAGGGAGCGAGATTCGGGCGAGAGCAAGCGGCGATGGGCGGTGGGGTGTGAAGGGAGAAAGGTCTCGTGAGGTGAGGTAAGGCGGGATTCTTTTCTTTGGGGTTGGATGAGAGGGGGGAAGCAAGACGGCCGGGGCGAAACGAGACCTAATTTGGGGCAACAGGAGAGGGAGGACGAGGAGGAGAAAAGCGACACAAAAGGCTGTCGCTAGAATAACTAGGCGATAGCAATAAGGATGAAAGGGGATTTTCAAGTTGGAAGAGTTGATTGGGATGGGAAGACTGGTGGTGGGGAGGGGGGAAAGGGAGCTGGCTAGAAGGAGGTGGAGAGGTGTGAGATGAGTTGGATGGGTTAGCAGGTTAGCAGGTTAGCAATCTGCCAGGGTGGACGGGCATCAGAGCAGCAGAGCAGAGGAGAGCAGCAGTTTAGCAGTTTAGCAGTTCAATAGTCAGTCAGTCATATCTGCAGTGCCCGCCGCCCGTGCGTGCGCCACACCGCCACACCGCCCACCTTTCCTGCTTTCTGCCCCAGGAATTTTCCTTCCTGCGCCACACTTGCGAGTTCTCTCGGTTGTGGTGGTGAGTGTGGCACGGGCGGAGAATCTAATTACAATACCGACATTTACAACACAACAATTACGACAATTCCAACAGACAATCTCAGCAATGCAAACACAGAGTACTACAGCCGTCTTGCACATTCCGTCAATCATCAATTGCACAAGTTACAGATTAAGTACAAAATTTGCAGTCATTCATCCTCAAAATGGCCAGCCAGTCATTCCCGTGGAGCATTTTCGTCATTAAGTCATACTACATGTCCCCTTCCCCTCCAATAATTTTGGGCCGAAGTGTGGTTTAAATGATGTCACCGCCAAATCCCCCAAACCCGCCGAATCCTCCTCCTCCGCGTCCGCCGAAGGATGGTCCCCGCCCCCCCTGGCCAAACGGTGCTCCGTCTCCAGGTCCAACAGGATCATATCGTGCTCCTGGAGGCGCTTGGGGATCATATCCTCCTCTCCCTCCTCCACCTTGCCGTCCCGCAAACAGGGGATCGTCGAAGGTCGGATGCATCCCACCCCCGCCGCCGCCCACAAGCCCCGGGCCAACGCCACCATAAATCGGATCATGGGGACCCAGACCTGCTGGGTACAGATCCCGATCACCAATACTCAGTGGGTTCCGACCGCCCATCCCCGGATAACCCCGAGGGGGTCTCTGGATCTCGAACTCATCCTCGAAGCCCGGGGGAGGAAAGTCGCCGGCTGGAACCGGTCGGCCGGGACGCACGGCTAGAGGGTCATCGAATGGATAAGGGCGAGCAGGTTGGGGGAGAGAATCGTCTCGGAGAGGGTCGTGTCGCGGTGGCCGCTCCTGTTGCACCTCCCGCAACTGGCGGCCTGTATCCTCGTATCCTTCTTTGTACAGCCCCGGTGCGAGTTTCTGGATGACGTTGATCTTGAACAGGTTGATCAGATCTTGGACCCGCGGGGGCGAGATAAATGTTTCTCTGAGGGCGCTGGGGAGATCGGCGGAGGAGGACAAGGGGAGCGCGGATTCGGAAATGTAGTCTTGGACGGGGAGGTCGAACGAGGTCGTCTTGTCATCGCCCAGGGCTAGCGCGAGCACCACGGCTTTGTTGCCCAGTCGGCTGACCTTAAGCAGGTACTGCATGGAGGACTGGGAGTGAGCGTAGCGAAAGGCGAAGCTGGTGTTCGAGTTCCATTCGGCCGGTAGACGCGGGCTGTCGGACGAGCTTTCTGTAGGTGCCCATGAGATTAGTAAATATGCTTGTAGGAACAGAGAAAGGCGCAGGTATCGCGTACCAAGATTGTGGTCCTCTCCCAGTCCGACGAGTCGAAAGCCCACGGCTGTCATACAGGCGTGGCCGATCACAGCGACAGCCTCGTAGGGGGTTTTCAAGCTGGGCGACGCGCCTTCGTCCTGACGGATGGCCGTCGCAGCAAGCTCCAGGACATGATCCGGATTCAAAGCATCTGCCATAATGGTGTGTATGTTGAGATTGTGGGTCGGTTCAGATATGAGTAGATGGGGTAAGTAAGGTTAAAGTGACGGTGGCGTAAAATGTCCGCGATGTTCTTATCGGCTGGGATGAGCTTACATTACGACGCCTATCGCTGCCTGGCCGACCGCATTGGGTTAGTCACTTGGAGCTGAGCTTTTGACAGCACAACGGACTAGAACCGCGGAAATTGCGCAGGGTGAATACTACTAGGTAACTTATAGTTGAAAGGGTGATTTATGTTTCCTTTCTCTTCGGAGTATTCAATCCCATGCAGATTCTTTGATAGATCATGGTTCTTATCGGGCCCTATCCCACTCGTGCTTTCCGTGCTGTATATATACCTAGTATCCCACAACGCAGCGGCTGCCGCTCCCACCAAGCAGAAGTATATACTATACCGTACACAATTGAAAGTGACAACCTACTCAACTCTAACCTCAACCGGTGTATCCCCCTGCCTCCTCCAATCGCCCCTCCGAAACGCGTCCAAAGCCTTCAACCTCTCCACGACGGCCCTGACCCTGACCAACGCACTCAAACCGTGCGATACGCCACCGCCATCTCCACAGCCGGCACCAAACATACATCCGCGAGGGTCACCCCCTCGCCCACGGAGTACGTGCTGTCCGCCCCGTACCGCTCCAACAACCGCTCGTACGCCGTCAACCCAGCGAGGTTCACCTCCTGCACAAAGCTCAGCTGATCCTGCACCTCGTCGCGGATCTGCCGCACGCGGCGCGCGATCCGCCCGTTCGAGAGCGGCTGGATGTCGTTGGTGATGAGGTTGACGAGCTCGCGGACGCGGGCGCGGGCGAGCGGTGCTGCGTCGAGCGGTGGCAGGAGTGCAGGTCAGTCCGGGTGCGCTTCTTCGAGGTATTCGAGGATGGCGACGGATTGCGTGAGGATCGTCTCGGTGCCTGTTGTCGGGTCGGTGATGACCAGTACGGGTAGGCTGCGGCTGGGGTTAAGGGCGGCGAAGGCGGCGGTTTCGTGCTCGGCGGAGCGTAGGTCAATGTAGTGGTGCGTGAAGGGGAGGGATTTGTGGTGGAGTGCGATTACCACGCGGTTGGCGCAGGTGGATTGGTAGTAGGTGTAGAGGATGTAGGTTTTTGAGGTGGGGGGAGGGGGAGTCATTGTAGAGGGTAGGTGGTAGGGTGGTTTATCGTACGTGAGAGGTGAGTTGTTCTAGGTTGGGTGGTGGATGAGGTCGATGAGGAAGGTAGTTGGAATCTTAGTGGGAGGTCGACTCTAATTTGTAGTATCTGGGAGCTCAGGGGCCTCGTCATCGTTGATGAGCTTGTTTCAGTCGAGATAGGCCTGATAAGCACTAGGCTTTGATCCTAGTGCTTGCTAATATCAAGCACTTTAGCGTCGAGTGAGAATGGTAGTCATTTGATATGGGTGTAATCTCCGAAGAGCGACTAAGTGGATGGTGAAACATGTTCTTGATGACTATCATATATCTAAGAATAGTACATATGCAGTAAGTGAAAATGAACAGGCTGTATGATTGGTCCTGCAGAAACTATATGAATGCCTGCATTCAGTTATAATTGCTGAGATCGAGAGACAGGATCATAGCATGGCCTTAGGGAACTTCTTCATCGCTTGGCGCACACCAAGGTCAGCCAGAATCTCCTCCGTGCCACCCAAGATAGCATCGAACTTGTACGTCCGATGGAACATCTCAATCACCTTGCCCATCCCGGTCTGCGTCAGACCCCGGCCTCCGAAGATGTTGGTAGCTTGTTCGGCGATCTCCTGAGCTGAGCGTGTGGCGTGGGATTTGAGCAGGCCGATGGGTCCGCCCAGGTGAGCGGATTGCTCTGCATAGCTCATGTTGCACATTTGGTACGCGATGGACTCGAGCCAAGCTTGGTTGGATTCGCAGAGGGAGATCATCCGAGCGAGCCTGTAATCCCGTACATTAGCGAAAATCAAAGGGGGAGGATCTCGAAGTGGTGGATTTACTTTTGCCGCATAACTGGCTGCTCGATCAACTTTTTCCCAAAGACGATGCGCTGGTTGCACCATTTTAGACACTCCTCGACAATGGTGGCACACATGCGAATGACGCTGCTGGCCATCATGAAGCGCTCGTGGTTGAAGTTGCTCATGATCACAATGAAACCCTTATGCTCTTCACCCAGGAGATTGTCGACCGGCACCTTGACATTCTCGTATTGCACAAACGCCGTTGCGGCAGTGGTGGAATATGAGGTCTTGATCTGCTTCGTCTCGACCCCCTCCCCACGAGGGATCAGGAGCACCGAGAAGCCTTTCTCTGTCCGACAGCCGGTAACGAAGTAGTCAGAGAACATGCCGTTCGTGATCCATTTCCTGCAGGAGTCAGCACGTGGGGTCCAGTGCAGGATTGATGGCCATACTTGGTTCCATTCACAATGTAGAACTTCCCATCCGGGGTCTTCTGAGCCGTGGTGCGTAGACCAGCCACATCACTGCCCGCGAAAGCTTCCGTGATGGCAAGACACATCTTCTTCTTGCCAGATAAGACCTCATCTGTTATCTGCTGGCGAAGAGGTTCATTGCGCAACCATTGCTGAACGGCGGTCAGACTGATGGCCATGCCTGCCATGTTTCCGTCCTGAAAGCCTGCTCATAGTCAGAAATGTCGATTCTGGAATCGAAACAAAGAACTCACCTCGAGCATTGGCCCTCACCAGCTCCTGCGAGACGACCAAGTCATGCAGATAGTCGAAATCCTTCCCATCAACGACACCCCCCAGCAACTTCCGTCCATGCAAATGCTTACCCGGGCCCAGCCGCATCGCCAGAATGTTGGTCTCAGCCATGCGATCGATCAACTCCTGGCTGATATAGGTGCCGTCCCTCTCCTTCTCCTGCGCTTCCGGCGTGACATATCGGTCCGTGAACTCGCGCAGCGCCTTCTGTAGTCGCCGATGGCTGTCATTGTAGTAGGGACTCTTGAACGCGGGCCGCAGCCACAGCGGCTCGGCGTAGGGAACCTGGCTGAGACTGCCCGGCTCGGGGGTCACGACTTCGGGGCTCTCTCCGGCTACCGTGCCGATGCACAGACGGCTGTACCGCTCCAACACCTCCTGGCGATGGAGGTTATAGAAGTCCGTGGTGGCATCTTGGCCGGCGATCTGGTTGAGGACCACGCTGCCACCGGGGTGAGCATCGAGGAAGTCGGTGAGGTCGTAGACGCGGTGATCGATGATGCACCAGACCGAGTCTTCGGTGTTGTGCTGTGCAACCTCGGCACGGGTAAAGGTCTGGGACATGGCTGGAGGAATTCGGCAGGTAATCGACTGCGCAGACAGCACTCACTAGGGGTGACGTCTTGTCCAGTGAATCCTGGTTGTACAAAACAGACTCAGAAATGTCAGGACTCAATTTGCGGGGAAGATATGCAGCAGCTTATATGCCAATCAAGGGGCGAAGATTACTACTGATGGCTATTTGGAGGATTTCCCCGGGTTTGGACCTGAACCGAGGTTATTACCGCATTGGGAGGGGATGGAGGGGCGATCACTCATCAACTTGATTAACTAAATGATCAGCCCATACCGTCAAAGCTCAGTCTGTTTTGCTCGAAGCTACTGTGCACTGAGCATTGCAGTTCGTCATTGACGTAAATGAGAGTTTGTTCATGGTTTTACTCGTCTTACCCGAGCATGTCGTCCTCAACTTATTGCTTGTGCAACGGGATATGGATAACTTATCGAGGCAAAAGATGTTAATGCCTCAGGCTGTAACAAAAGTCCAAAATTGAGCACATTCTTGATCTCTGGTTCCTGATGTGGGGCAAGTACAAGTACATCCCATTAATTCTGCGTGCTACCGATCATGCCTTCATTCTTATGACACCTCCAATCTCAAGGCATCATACTGCACATATACCGTCCCAGGCAAAATCGCCGTCTCCGTGTCCGTGGCATTGTACGGCAAATGCAACGTCAAGACATTATTTCCGACCACCAGCCAGTCAGCTGGGAACTCCATCCGTGATCGAACCTGGTAGCAACTGACGGCAGACCGGACAATGCAGCTACTGGACTGATTGAACCCGATCACCATGCTCAAGGGCTCCTCTTGGCCGTTGATATAACTCTCCAACGAGAGATTGTTGTATTCCTCGGCTGGGTTCCATACATCGGTGTTACCGGACGCGGTCTTCGCGCCTGCAAGCTGGATGGTCAACGTCGCCTTCTTGCTCTTTTGCAGCTGCTTCTTATCCAACTTGAAGTTGATGGTCCAATCGTGCGTGGTGTCGTACTCGACATCGGGATTGTTCGGGGTCGGACCAAACACGGACCACTGCACCGTGTTGAAATCCGTGGCAGGATCGCTGCTTCCAATCGTGTAATTGACTCCGTTGGGGAAGTCTTCCTGCCAGTCGTAGGCAGCCCAATAGATTAGATACTGCGGAGGGTGCAGTGGATGGGTTTCATCTCTAGCAACGCCGCGGCGGAATTCTCCCGATGACTTGTCGGGGGTGCCTAACCGCCAGACCTCGGTGCCTGCGGATTCCTCAACCCATGTCTCCTGAACTTTCGTAGTCTTGCCAGCCTGTACTCGCACGCCATCGCGTTCATAATCACCGAAGACACCGTCCGCATACACAGTGAGCCGGTACTTGCCCTCTTTGACGTGGTCAATGTTGAATTTCCCATTCTTGTCAATCTCAGCCCAGTATTGGTAAGATGACGGGTCAACTGAGTTGTCCTGGAAGTATTGCCCATCTACCGTGAGTACAGCGATCGGCCGGGTTGCTACTTTGGGAAGCTTGATGTGTCCCTGCACTGTACCTCTAACACTTGAAGGCGCATACCCTACCACGTGGTTGGCGATCGAATCATAGAACTTCACGTTCCAGCTAGGATTCGCATAAGTTTCAGCATCAGACCTCAGCTCTTCCAAGGTCGATTTGGACCCCTTTCCGCCATTGAAGTGGTAGTACTGAGGACCGAAAGTGCGGTCAAAACCGTAAGTGATATTTGGGGTTCCTTCTCCGTGGTGATTCGACACCAGGTAGTTGTAAACGATACCATCAACGGTAAGGTCGGAATGCAAGGGTCCCTAGTATGGTCAGCCTAGTCAAGGAGGCTTGTATATGACACTAACGTACACCGTAGTATGTATCCTAGCAAGTATTACAGTTAGTTCCCTGTGTGCTGCTCGTTGTAAATGGACCTCACCTTTGTGTTCATCACCAGCCACGCTCCGTATGTCGTGCCATCAGACGTGGTTCCATCCGCATACATACCGTGAACCGAGTTATCGCGCCAATCTTCGGAGTTATCAGCCATGTGCGACGTGGAAGATGAAGGAATAACAGCACTGACCATTTGAGAAAGTATACTTGGTGAAGTATTCCGAGAATTGAGTATAATACGCATCTTCGGGGGTGTTGTTGAATGTCCAAGTTGCATCCTGAACGACGATTTCTTTGCTGATAGCTTCTTTACTAGGGAGGGGAGCAGTCTGAACCTCGCTCGAAGTCAGGTGCGTCCACAAATCCGTGTTAGGCCGGAAAAGAGTCCGGAACTCTTGCAGGTTGCGCAAGAACGGCGTAGTTTCGTTGTAGTAGGCGAGCCGACTGAAAGTGTGCAGACCCGTCTCACCATCACGTAGAAACCAGTATTGCTGGAATTGCTGGCCTGTCGGAGGGTATGTCTCGTTCATGATCACACCGGCATATTTGGTTCCGGTAGCATCTGTCCCCTCCACGACCTCCATGCTGGGGCTTGTGGATCCAGGTGTGTAAAAGCCCGAAGGGATGCAATAGCAATCCAGGTAGGGACCGGTCCCTGTATCCCCTGATTGAGGACCGAGCAGGTCCTGGTTATCGAGGGAGAGGTCGACAATTCTGCCTTTGTTGGTTGCAAAGACCGCGGTCAGGCGGTCATTTGCCAGAGTGATCGTGCTTTCATTCTGGCTGGTTTGCAGTGTTGCAGAGGCTAAGGTGAGGCATGTCGCCAACACGCCAATGGCAGTATTTCGGCGCATCGTGACTGATTCTATAGGGCGGATCTTGACTGCGAAGTCCCTGCGCATCGTGACATGACGCACTGTCTATCGTCTTGCTTTTATAGTCGGTGGCGTGATGGAGGCCATCGGGCACAGATCAACCCGGATGAACGATCGTCCTGACTCATGACAACAATTGTAGCGCAAGTCTACCTGCTAAGTTGGATTCGAAGCGATGGTTGTTGGGCTGTAGGGAATGCCAAGGGACGATCGAAGCGGAAGGTCCCCCGCCTTCGCCTATGATCTGGGGAGAAACTGGATCAAAATGCGGGGGAAGCCGCAGGCCAAGCAGAATGCAATCTCTCACGGAAAATTTATTCGGCCTTCATTCACCCGACATTATGCCTCGCAATGCATGCAACGCTGTGCGGACTTGGTGCGGGGAATCCAACGTTACAGCAATACCTTCAACTCTTCTGCAATCCTCACTTTCCCCCTCGACCCCCTACATCCTGACCCTGATCTTGTTTGACAGATCACTAGCAAGACTTGAAACGTGACCTTGAGCTGTGGTACACTCTCCTGACCGTATCGAGCCACCATGCGAGGAAGAGTACAGGAGGAGAGGGCAAGCACGAGGAAGATAGGCACGATGTGTGAGGGAGTGTTGAAATCAATGGAGTGGCAGTACCCACAGGTATCAAACAAGATTCCAAGTTCATCTGCCAGGAACTGCATCCGAGATTGACACTTTTTCTCTATTTCTCAGGAAGTCAAATCGTCATTACTGGCGTGGTCCACCAAATTCAGAGCGGCTGGACCACGGTGCACCCGCGTATCCCCTAAGAGCGAACGATGTCCATCAAATAAGGTGTGCGGACTTGAATGAACAAGGTTGATAAGTGGATTGTTTCCAACGGATGGCAAGGATGGTATCGGATGCGGACCCGATACTTCTACAATTGTATCGGGTATACCCTCGGGTAAGCGACCTTCTGGCCGCGATTTGAGCCTCGTCGGAAACAATTCCTCTCATTTCGAGGTGCCAAGAGTGTATTTGATCGAACTGTTCCAATGGGACCCTGACCATGACGGCCGTGCGCCATGAAAGTGCGGATCCAGGCCCGCTCCAGTTGGGAATCTACACCCTATCCTTCCCCATGGGGTAGATGGGGTTGAGAGAAGCGCGGACGGAACATGGTATAAAAGGTCCAGCACAACACGATGAGAAGAGATTTGGAACTATCAATCCGCTCGCCATAATCTCTTGTACGGTGCTATTATTTTTCTAGTCTGAGTGGTGGCGATATATTGTCTCCCCATCTGGCGTGGCGCTAGACCGCACAATTCCTTGTTTAATTCCTTGTTACCCACTGTGAAAGACGATAAAAGCAACATGTCAGCTCTAGACACGTCTGATTCAGATGTCAAAGGAGGCGAGTACAATACCGCGACTCATCTCGAAGATGTATCCTCTAGAGTGCCAGACCAAGTCTGCGAGACTTGGTCAAATGTCTCCGCAAGCAACCCCCAGGAATGGCCAGAGTGGAAGAAAAATGCCCAGATTCTGATGGTTGCTTTTCATTCAATGGTCGCAACTTTCATGGCCGCAGGCATTATTCCAGCATACGACACCATGGCCGAGGTGTACGGGGTTACGGTGCCGCAAGCAAGCTATCTCACTTCGATGCAGGTTAGTCGACCTCGTTTGAGTCTCCGTGATGAAAAATGCATAGAAGCCCTAGCTCACATACATCCCTCCTAGATCTTGCTTCTAGGGATATGCCCCTTATTCTGGAAGCCTCTTACCTCGATCTACGGCCGCTATCATATCTTCATACTATCGGTGCTCGGGAGCATGGTATGCAACATTGGTGGAGCTCGCTGCACGACCTATGGAACTCAAATGGCCACACGCGTCCTAACAGCGATCTTTATATCGCCACCTATGGGTATAGGCAGTGGCATTATCACGGAGCTTTGTGAACCTGAAAAGCGAGCCCAGAAGCTGGGGTGGTGGACGCTGATGCTCACCCTCGGGACGCCAGGAGGACCCTTCATCATGGGTTTCGTGACGAAACACATTGGCTACCAATGGATGTACTGGATCTTTGCCATCATGAACTTCTGGCAGCTCGTCGCCTACCTATTCCTGGGCGAAGAAACTCTGTACATCCCGGAGAGCAGCCACAACTCTGCAGCATGCCCCCATAGATCCCACTTCTACCAGAAATTCATCCCTCGACGGATGAATACCCGACCCCTCAAGGCGCGCGAATTCGTCGAGCCCCTCCTCTACGTGCGGCTTCCGCGCGTCCTCATTCCCGCCTGTGCTCACGCCATAGTCTTTTGCTACGGCAACATCGCCCTCATTGTCGAGATGCCCATTGCCTTTGGGGAGAAATTCGGCTTTGACTCGCAGCAAATCGGCCTGCAGTTCATTGCTATCATCATCGGCTGCCTGCTTGGCGAGCAGCTGAGCGGTCCCCTTTCCGACCGTTTCTTGCAGATCGTCCAGAAACGCACGGGTCATCACCGCCCAGCGGACCGTCTTTGGCTGTCCTATGTCGGCTTCGGCACCGTCATCGCCGGCCTTTTGGTCTGGGGGTTCCAGCTCAGCAAGGCCACGTCCTGGAACGTGACTCCATGCGTGGGCGCGGCAATCGCCAGTTTCGGTAACCAGGTGATCACTACTATCCTGATCTCATTTGCTATTGATAGCCATCGCGAGGTGGCTACAGATATTGGGGTTTGCATCAATGTGTTTCGCCATCTTTATGGATTTGTGAGTTCGCAGACATGGTCAAACTTGAGGTTCGTGCTGACTTTGAGTGCTCTGCGGCTAGATTGGTCCATTTTATTTCCCCGACATGTTCGAGACATTGGGGCTGGCTGGTGCGGCCGGGGTTATGTGTGCAATTGTTGGAGCATGCGCTATGTTGCCGATTGTTGCTGTGCACATTGTTGCTACGCGGTCAGACTAGTAATAGTCGACAAAGGGGTAGGTCGATATCACATCACGGGAGGATAATAGATTTCATAGGTGAGGTACGCACAGCTTGTTAAAGATCGACGGTTTTGGAAGAAGTCCCGTGCAATCAGAACTATGACCCGGGCATAACAATACGCCTATTATTCTTACAAAATCCTATTAAATAGCGTCCAGGCTAACGCCCTCGGGAAGGTGATGCCAGTAGTATGATAGAATTCGCTGTCGATTGAAGTTGTCAGTCTCTTGAGATAGTCTATCAAGAGGTTTTGAAATTGATTGATAGCTGTGCGATCAAGTCTACGCTCGACTTTTCAATAAAGTAAAGCATGAGAAGCTCATCTCTGACTCTGCTGTCCAGGCAATCTGGTCACGGAGAGTAATCGTTGTCATCCACTATACGTAAGTGACCGAATGGTCGAGTAGAATTTAGAAGGAGAGTGAAATCTAGTGGGTAGCAAGAGGATTATTCGAATAGAACCACTAGACTACTATTTACATCCACGTATAATTACACTTCCAACCCCAGTGAGCGAGCGAGGCGAGACCCACGGAACCGGAACCGAAGCTCCCGCACCGCACTTGTCCGTGGCCTCTTTCCCCGGAATTCCTTCCGTCTCCATCAATTCCCCAGACCCAGACAGCGCACGCGAATGTGCTAACACCTTTCTACTAATCCATCTATGACTAGTCTATCTTCTTCGAAACGCTGGGCTTCAGCAGATGGCTCTGCTACTCCACAGAAACGTTACAAGATCACGGTCGCGTGCGATGAATGCCGCGTCCGGAAGGTCCGGTGTGACGGCATCCATCCCGGTATGTCTGGTCCGAAGCTGTACCCCTACCATCGTTGAGCTGACGCGTGTTGTGCAGTATGTGGACCATGTGTGAGGAAAGGAAATCGAGAGAAGTGCATTTATACTGGAGACAAGAAGCGAGCTATGCAAAGGTCAGTCCAGCCTTGTATCCTGCTTTGTATCTCAGGCATAAATTGAATCATCGTCTGCTGACATTGCTCTGCAAAGCTATGTCAAAGGCCTTGAGAATCGGTTAAAGCTTCTCGAAAGTCCCGGGAGGGCACAGGTGGGTAGTGCTCAATCATTGGGCGCCGGATCTCCGCAGGTAAGCCGTGTTGGCATGAATGATCTCGTCTCCGAGTCTGATGTCCTAAGACATTATCATAAAAGGACTCACAGAGTAAATGTTCTGAATCTTAGACTCGATTACCAAGTCCGCTTCAAACGCCAACGTCGAGTGCAGTCGCTCCACCCTCCACGAGTCATCGGCAGCATCTCCCAACCACATCAGTCGCTGATAGCGCGGGTAGATCTCTTTCGCCATGTCTTCTATGCGAACAAACCCCGGACGCTGCATCGATCTGTATGCACAAGGATAGAGTGTGCCAGGATACGGCTCCTGACAACCGGCAAATCCCAAGACAGCATACAGATGGCGTGAACGCAATGATGGGCGAGGTGGAAGAAGAGCGGCTAGCCCAAGGCTTCTTTGGCAGCTCCAGTGCTGCCAGCTTCATCCGACAAATCAGAACCGCTATTGACCAAAGGGTCCCGTCACCATATCGTGGAACATCCGACTCGATCCTCGGAGCGGCATCCTCGTCCGGGCTGAAGTCCTCGCGAACACAGCGTCCGTCTGCAATTTCTAACTACGTCCTTCCGCCTCGAAAAACGGCAGACAGTCTGATGGAGGTTTACTGGACCTTTGTCTTTCCTCTTTATCCCCTCATCGATAGTCTGAATCTACGAGCTGAATACTCGAGGCTCTGGACTGGAGAGCCTTCTCACTCGGACGAGAATATGCTGATGTGCACTTTCAACGTGATCTTTGCATTGGCCTGCCAGCTAGCTGACTTCATTCCACCCGAAGAGCGGGAGGCGTCGGCAGATGCATTTTTCTCTCGCGCCAAAGATCTTCTTCAATTCAATCTGTGGAATACAGGCTCCGCAGAGCTCATTCAGTGCTTGCTGCTCATGGCTCAGTATCTCCAAAGCACAGACTCCGCTCATCAGTGCTGGATCGTCACTGGGTTGGCCATTCGAAATGCACAGAGTCTGGGACTACATCTTCCGCAGACTAGTGCTCGTCTACGTAATCCTCAGGAGAAGCAGCTGGCCCGGAAGATCTGGCACGGATGCGTGTTGATGGACAGGTAAGAACAGCCCCACCTTTTTTCCCATTCACAGAAGCTAAAGAGTTCTAGGGTAATTTCCATGACTTTCGGTCGCCCCTCCATGATAGCTAAAGCGTCCGGTGGCTCCGTGCCGCTACCAGCGACTGTCGACGAAGAATATATACCCTCTGCAGGCACCGACATAATTCAACCGGCTGGTCGACCTTCTGTGATGGCATTTTATGCCAAGTCTTTGGAGCTCTACGAAATTTTAAATGATATTCTTCTCAGCCTCTACAACCCTAATCCGGATGAAAGTCCGGAAGATGTTTACGATTTTTATTTCAACAAACAGACCACGGAGGGTGGTCATACGATGTTCGAATTGGACCGAGCGCTCACCAAGTGGTCACGAACCCTACCAGAGCACTTGCGAGGTGACACTTCTCTCGCTTACGGCGACAAAATGTTCTACCATCAGAGCGTTGTACTACGAGCACGGTAAGATTTCTCAATTTCGATCGCAAAAGACATCTGTTGAACTCGAGTCGCTAGGTTCCTCCATGTGCGCATGCTTCTTTTCCGACCCATTCTGTCCAAATACTGTACCTCCCGCGACATCGGAGTCGCCGATCCCCTTATCTGTCTTCAAGATTCATTTCCCCAGCGTATAGCACTCCAGTGCTCTATTATCTGCGTCAAAGTCGCACAGGAGGTTATTGGCCTGATCCACGGTCACATTCCCGCCGACGGATCGGCTGGTCCACTCCCTGCGTGGTGGTATAACATTCTCTGTGAGCATCTGAACCCTTACCGATTTTCTTTCTTGTTCTGCAGATACCTTGGAGACAGTTCTTAAGTTTTCTTATCTGACTATAAACAGACGTCTACACAGCTGCCACCGTTCTGATTGCCGGCCGCCTTTGCCCAGCCATCCTGGAAGAAGTCACTGAGCCCGCCATTACCGAAAGCTGGGACCATGCGCTCGAGATCCTTCGCAGATACCACAGCTACAGCACCTCCGCGCGTCGTTGTGTTGCTGCGCTAGAGATACTGTATGAGCGCGTTGTGTCGGAGGGCCGTTCGACGGATCAGGAGCTGCCCTCCCAAGCCGTTCAAACTGGAACTTCCACGTCGAATGGGTTCGGAGATGTGTCGCTCGGGGAGGGATTCAACAGTGGCTTGTTTGAGGGCATTGATCTGTTGGACTTTCAGGATATGTCGTGGTTGAACAGTGTCCCGAGTAATCTGTTCTGAGCGGGCTCTGGTGACGGAGAGTGTTGGCTTGAATGCTACTTTGGGACCTTGCAGAGGTTTCCTAGGATTACTACTTTGCGTTCTTTACTTTGCGTTCTTTCAACTCCTGCTATTATAGAGCAGCGACATACCCCGCATTATGCGTTTTTCTAAGCGACCTCACGCTAGCTGCCTTGGCATTGAGAAGCACACGGCCCAATCCAACCGGTTAGGCTCGAGTTTCCTGGATACGACAACTTCCCTAGTCATAACTGGGCACCCCCTCTTCTACTTGCCGACTTCTCTGGCCGAAGACTGAGCTAAGGAAGGATTACTTTCGGTGGACCATGCCCCGAGCCCCAAGTCTACTAAAGTTGCCAACAAGCTTCAGCCAGCCAAGTCCGTGCGGATGGCATGATGCTTCATTCATTTGACCAAGAGAACAGCCAAGGTCTGTCACTTGTTGCTTGTCAGCACTTTGTTCCTGGAGTGCTCAACCAGTCTACAAAGGTTAGGACACAACAATCGCGGAACACAAATGCCGGCTATCCTTGTGCTTTTTTGTGCACATACTACCACAAACCCCGACCAGCAGGGGTCCATGCCCTGCATTAACCACGTTCAGAGTTCTTGTGGATAAATGCGGGGTTGCATCACGTCACGCATGCTTCTCTCCCTGTTCCTATTGCTCGGACTTCCTCCGGACTGGTTGTCTAGCCTGCCATCCCGGTCATTGTGGGGCTAGTGGGACAACCCCAGATTGCTGAGGAACGGCATGTGGGGGTCAATATCCGGTAACTGACTCGTAAGCCGGCACTCATCCCATAGCCTTCTACCTGAGTATCTACTCCTCACTCACCCACAGTATTGCCCTCTGCTAGAGCCTGCGCTTGGCCCTCATGATCAAGTCAAGTTCAGGTTTATTCGCCGATATTTACCCGCAAGTCAGGCAATGGGTGCGGGATATCCGGAGTTCCTGGAGTCCTGACAAATGCTTCTCCATCTGTATACCTTGCGGGGGAGATCAGGCTGGGAGATAAATACCACCACATAGTCGCTGGGAGAGAGTGTAGAGACAGGCAGTGCAGGCAACACAGAGGCAGCAGAATGCACAGCTTAGGATCCTTGATCGCCCTCTTGGGTGGTCTTTCTCTTTGCTCCGCCGCACCAACTGAGCAGAACATCACCAGCGATATATACTTCTATGGCGATTCTCCCCCAGTCTACCCCTCCCGTAGGTTTTCCCATGATCTTCTCATTTGTCATTCACTGCTCACGCAGCACTTCAGCCGAGGGTACCGGTACTGGTGGATGGGCTGCAGCGTACGAGAAAGCAAAGAGTTTCGTCGCCCAGCTCACGGACGAGGAGAAGGTCAACTTCACGGCAGGCTACAGTGCCAGTAATGGGTGCTCGGGCAATATTCCAGCAGTCTCCCGTCTAGGCTTTCCTGGCTATTGTGTGTCGGATGCGGGAAATGGGCTGGTATGTGGACCCAAGTAGGATTGGAGTTGTCTTTTCTAAAAGCTGTACACAGCGCGGAACGGACTTCGTGAATGGCTGGGCCAGTGGCATTCATGTTGGAGCAAGGTACGCATGCTACAGCAGTCTTTGAATCTGTTGAATTCCTTGCTAATTCCTCGCTTCTAGCTGGAACAAAACCCTTGCTCACCAACGGGCTCTGTACATGGGACAAGAGTTTCATCGAAAGGGTGTCAACCTTCTGCTGGGCCCTGTGGTTGGCCCCATCGGTCGTGTCGCGGAAGGCGGACGGAACTGGGAAGGCTTCTCCACTGATCCCTATCTCAGCGGGGCGCTGGTGTATGAGACAGTCCAAGGTGTGCAGGAGGCCGGCGTTGGTGTCTCTGTGAAGGTGTGTATACTCCTTACTGCTTTATCTTAACCGCGAGTGATACTGATTGACACACTCAAAGCACTACATCGGAAACGAGCAAGAGACCAACAGAAACCCTGAGACAGAGAATGGAGTCACAGTCGCCTCGGTTTCCTCGAATATTGATGACAAGACCATCCATGAACTCTACCTCTGGCCCTTCCAAGATGCCGTGCTGGCGGGCAGTGTCTCAGTCATGTGCTCGTACAACCGGGTCAATAACTCCTATGCCTGTCAGAACAGCAAGACGCTCAACGGGCTATTGAAGACTGAACTAGGTTTCCAAGGTAAGAGACTCATATTACCCACTACTGGACACCGTTGCTTATACGCAGAAGGCTATGTTGTTACTGATTGGGGTGCCCAGCACGCCGGGATTGCTGGTGCTAATGCCGGGCTGGACATGGTCATGCCAAGTACCACCACATGGGGTTCCAATCTCACCACGGCCATAGCCAATGGTAGTATGGAAGCATCGAGACTCGACGACATGGTTACTAGGTAAGCTAGGCCACCTTCACTAGTGGTTTTCTCACTGACCCGGCCAGAATCATCGCTTCTTGGTATCAAATGAACCAAGACACCGACTTCCCATCTCCTGGAATCGGCATGCCCGAAGACGTCTACTCCGAGCACGAAGTTGTCATCGGAACTTCTGCCGATGAGAAAGACGCTCTACTTCAGAGCGCAATTGAGGGCCACGTTCTCGTCAAAAACGAGAACTCTGCGCTACCTCTCCAGTCACCCCGCCTCGTCTCTGTATTTGGATACGATGCCAAAGCCCCCGAGTCCGCAAGCTTAACCCTTTCATTCGACAGTGTCATGCCGGCCATCCAGAACTACACTCTCTGGGTTGGCGGCGGCTCCGGCTCCAACAGCCCAGCATACATCATCGCGCCTCTCGACGCCATTCAACAACAAGCCTATGAAGACAACACCGCTGTCCTATGGGACGTGAGCTCCAATGACCCGGACGTTGACCCTGCCTCCTCCGCCTGCCTGGTCTTTATCAACAGCTACGCGTCCGAAGGAGGCGATCGACCAGGTCTCGTTGATGCGGACAGCGACACGCTCGTGAACAATGTCGCCAACAAATGCAACAACACGATCGTCGTGATCCACAACGCGGGTATTCGCCTCGCTTACGATTGGATCGACCATGCCAACGTCACCGCCGTGATTCTTGCCCACCTTCCTGGTCAAGACACGGGCACGGCTGTCGTCGACTTGCTGTACGGCCGTGCTAACCCCTCCGGCCGACTGCCCTACACGGTCGCCAAGCAGGCATCCGACTACGGGGCGATCTTGCACCCGGTCCAGCCTGTGGCCCCGTATGGCCTCTTTCCACAGGACGACTTCACCGAGGGCGTCTACATCGACTACCGCGCCTTCGACAAGGAGAACATCACCCCGCAGTTCGAGTTCGGGTTCGGCCTCTCGTATACCACCTTCAATTATTCCGGGTTGGACATCCAGAGGACATCGGTCGAGGCGACACAGTACCCACCAGCCGCAGCCATTCAGGAAGGAGGCAACCCACGTCTGTGGGATGTGCTCGCCAACGTCACGGCGCAGGTGCGGAACTCCGGGAATGTGGACGGGGCGGAGGTCGCGCAGCTGTACGTGGGGATCCCCAATGGGCCGGTTCGGCAGCTGCGTGGGTTTGACAAGGTCAATGTCCCTGTGGGCGAGACGGTGGCTGTCTCGTTCTCTCTGACGCGGCGCGACCTGAGTACGTGGAGTGTCGAGGCGCAGGCGTGGGCGCTGCAGACGGGAGAGTACCAGGTGTATGTGGGGAGGTCGAGTCGGGATCTGCCGCTTACGGGGACGTTGACGTTGACCGTGTAGTGGTGCCACGTTGGATGTGGTTTTTAGGAGAAGCTCTGAGAGATATAACCCCGAATGAATCGTTTTTATCCAATACGTGTCTAGAATGACGTAGTGAACACTGACATCGAATACACCCTTATAACCTACAGCAATCACACCAAACACATTCCCTAACTCTCAGCTCCAGTAATAACCCTCCTCAACTCCCGAGCATCAACATCCCCCTCCATCAACCCGCGAAAGACGCCCCCCTCCCTCGCCAACAACTCCCTCGGCGTGCCATACTCCACCACCCGCCCAGCATCCATGACAACCACCTTATCAAAGTCGGCGATCGTGCGTATCCGATGCGCAATTACCAGCAACGTTGTCCGGCTGCTCCGGCTCCCACCACCCAGGAACCCCTCCCGAATCCCCCGCTGGATCACCTCATCCGTCCCCCGATCCACAGCCGAAGTCGCCTCATCCATAACCACCACCGCCGGACAAGCGAGCATCGCCCGCGCCAGACACAGGAGCTGCCGCTGGCCGTGCGAGAAGTTCGTTCCGCCGGGGGATACCCTCTCCGCCAATACACTGTTCCTGTCGTGCAGGTTTCCTTGCGGGCCGCCGCCCTGCAGGCTGCCCTGCGGATGCAAACAGGTCGATGATGAGGAGGGAGACCAGTGAACGTGCTGCAACGCGCGTAACACAGCGTCGTCGGTGTGCTCGTCGAACGGATCGAGGTTCGAGCGGATCGTGCCTGTGAATAGCACGGGGTTCTGGGGGATCATGGCCATTCGGGAGCGGAGGGTAGCTAGTGGGACGGTGGCGATGTCGTGGTTGGAGATTGTGATGCGGCCTTTGCTTGCGTTGCTCGCGCTGCTGGTGCTGGAGAGGGATGGGGATGGGTCCAGGAAGCGGAAGAGGGCCAGCGCGAGGCTGGATTTGCCGGCGCCGGTGCGGCCGACGATCCCGATTCTTTGGCCGGAGGGGATGTGCAGGTTGATGTTGTGGAGGACGGGTGGGGTGTTTGGGGTGTAGGAGGCTGTTAGGTTCGTTATCGTTATGGTTCCGTTTTGAGGCCAGGTGGGTGGAGGAATGGTGATGTTGGTGGTGGTGGTGGGGGCCGATGTGGATTCCTCGGTGGGGATGTCGGAGTACTCGAGGATGCGCTCGACGGCGTTGAGGTCCATCTCTAGGGTCGAGTAGGCGCGGCTCAGCGAGACCAGGGCGAAGGAGAGGTGGTTGGTGAAGACGAGCGCGAAGCCGGCCATCGCGCCGGTGATGTCCGCGCGGTTGACGACGGCCAGGGCGGTC